CTTGCTCCCCGAAACCTGTACTGATCTTATCGATCTCCACGATGGTCATCCTCTCAGATGTTATTCCCTACTTTGGCCGCTGCTTCGAGTTGCCACGGTTCAGAGTGACGGACACTGCGTTTGAATCTGGGTTTGAGCACTAAACCCATCACTTATTTTGATAAATTTCAACTCTGAGAAATAAAAAATATATTGGCTGGACTGTCGCACGTCAATCAATCTCATAGCGGAGTGTGTGGGAAGGTGCTTCATCTCTTCCGTGTTTCTTCTCACCGATACTCAACTAGACCACGTGAAGCACGGTTTTATTTTAAACACATACCATTGGCCATGCGGAGAGACAAACATGGGAAGGACTGCTTGTGTTGGGGTTTATTGCAAACATGATGCCTTGAATAAAGGTGTCAGTTTTTGTGGCAGTTAAAAGGGTAAAACCTATTACTATATCTTGTTACTGGCAAAGGAGGTCTCATAATGTAAATGCTCACCCCGAGCCCTCAATACTCTGATAGTGCGCTGTTTTTGAGTTGTACGCCTTTTGGCGTCTTCTGGTCCAACACCAGTGGAGACTAGGCTCTAAGAAAAGCCGTCTCGGGTGTGGACCAATCAAATTCAAGGACAGCGCATATTATTATCAGAGTTGTCTCTTTTGTTTGCATTTTGACTGCTTGTGTTGTTGTTATTGCAAACATGATGCCTTGAATAAAGGTGTCAGTTTTTGTGCCCGTTAAAAGGGTAAAACCTATTACTATGGGAAGGAGGTTTATTGCCTATTCATTTACTCTGTTACTTATATCCCCCAGAATGACACTAATTATTATTTAGTTTTTTGCATTTTATAGTTTAGCGTCGAACTGGGACAAATATCTAACGGAGAGGGTCCTTGCCTATAAACAGCTGGCAGTGTGCCAGCATTGGTTGAAGCAAGACTGACTCTGCTGACCAGACACTGTTTTGTCTAATCTAGTTCAAAGTTTACTTGTATCGAATCAATGCTGCTGAAAGATGCACTCCCAGAAGGCTGTGCGGCTGAAGGGATGTGTAAAAGTATGGCCAAAGGAAACGCATATCACAGGGTTACCTCTGAGAGCCCTTCAAATGACCTCCACTCCGCACGTTACGAAGCAGCATATTCCCAATCACTCTGCCAAACAATTATTTTTTTATCATTCTTAGAGCTGGAATTTATCCACAATAAGTATATAACTAAATTCACTAACGTGACGCCTTTGTTGCCGATGTAGTCCATTGGTGACTGAGCTGACACCATCAACTCCAATTTTAATCACAGATGGGTGGAGTTTGCATGTCTCTCTCTCCCCGTGGTCACGTGTATTTTTCTTCTGTTTTATTCCCTCCACACTTAGAATCAGCATGCGTGTAAGAGTATTTGGCTGCTATACATTTGCACGTGATAAGCCACTTCGTTGAGCTATCATTTGTAGCCCAGTCACTTCTAAAAAAAAGCGAAATAGCTCAGTGGGTCTTAGTTGGTAAAATGAAAATAGGTTAAAGTTGTTTTTTTAAACCATCAAATCATTGGTGCCAGCTCAGGCCACTTACCTTTGAACGATTCCGGCGACACCACAAGCAGAGGCTCTTTCAATAGACCGGCTTGCCAGCTTGTTCATTTTACATCTCATCCCCTAATAAGCCCATACTGTGTTCGTGGTGTTGGCGTTTGATATTTCGGGCGGAGGGGATCCCTTAAGGGTAAGTCCCAACAGAGGCTTGAGCTTGAATATTCCCCCAAGGAGATGTTGGCAGGGCAACGGCAGATCACGCTGCAACCTGACCCCGGATAATGACACGCAGAGGCACACCTGCTCACACAGGTGAGTGTGTACAGGTTTCTCGAGGCTCGTGGAAATTCGCGGAAGCACAACGATCGTGCACACAACAGGAAAACCAGCGTGAGGCACCGCTCGTCTCAAATCGTGGCCCAGAGCTCGTGGTGGATATTTCACATTCCTATGACAGGATCCAGCCTCTCTCTCTCTCTCTCCTTGATAAATACGTACATTTCCAAATATGTTCCAATGTTTTTTTACTGTTAAGTTCACACTGATTGGTTTAATGTGATCCACCAAAAAGACCAGTTGGCTCAGCGGTAGATTATTCGAGAGGTTGGAAGTTAGAATGCTGATTGGGAGTTGACTCAGCCCATCATCCCTTTAGGGTTGTTAAATGAGCACCACTTTGTGGGTAAGTCAAGAGTGGTTGTGCTATGGATACACTCGCCTCTGCCAAAGGTATGTGGATATTGCACCACTGGTTCAGGGCCGTGGGACAAGAAGTGATCATCAATACCTCAATGCTCATTTGAGCAGAAAGTCAATTAGACTTTTTATTTTACCCAAGAGGGATCTATGGAAGGGTTAAGTCGACTCCTGACTTTTGAACGATACTCTACCATAGTGAGACTTCCAGTCCAATGTGTTGAGACGTGGCAAGAAGATAGAAGTACAGCAGGTGGGTTCGTAAAACAACCCGTGTGGAACTTTGAGTGCTATCCACTTGTATGTGTGGGTTTTCTCCAGGTTCTACAATTTTTCATTCCCGCAGGCAAAACTTTCCTTCAAATGTAATTGCCTAAACATATAAACTATTAAACTAAACAGTTTATTTTTATTTTTTACCAGGTAAGGCTGACTGAGCTATATAGCTCTTTTTCAGAAGCGACCTGGCCACAATTGATAGCTCAACGAAGTGACCTTATCTTGTGGACATTTCTAGCAGCCGAATACTCTAAACGCACGTTTCTAAATGTGGAGAGAAAACCCGAACCAAGAGAAAAATCCACGCGACCACTCGGAGACCATGCAAACTCTAAATATACAAATCCCATGATGGTCTGTATACCAGGCGAGGTAGTTAACATCTCGCTACTGTAGTGCCCCACGGGTGAACCACGTGACTGTCCAGAGAGACGTCTTGAGACTCGGTGAGGCTTTCCTCGGTAAATAATCCGGGTGGTAGCTGCACATGCTTGTAATTCAGTGCTGTGGAGACGAGGCTTGGTGGAACACACAAATGTTGCGAATCTCCCAAGCTTGCCAGGATGAGTTGGTACAGCAGAAAATGTGGACTCCACCGAATGTTTCCCCCTTTTGCGCACGCATTTTATCCGGGTGCTCCAGTTTTCTGCCGCGTGTAAACACTCATCGATTAGCTGATGACACCCTCATATAGAGAGGGCCAGAGAAGTCGCACAATCATTAATTGGTGCCCGCTCATCGCCTGGCTGCCTTCCAGCTTTGTCTGTGGTTGCCCATCGTCGTGAGATTCAATTTGCATGGAGGACGCTGTAGAAAACGAATCTAACCATTAACCGGGTGAGGTCACATTGAGGTTCCTGTTTGTGCGATGGACCTGAAGAGTTATAGAGCCGTTTTAATCAATTCTAGATTTGAAGCTTTCGTGCCTGCAAGGATCCATACTCATTGGTTCTATTAGGTGAATAGGTAAATAGAACCAATGAGTATGGATCCTTGCAGGCACGAAAGCTTTAAATCTAAATTTCAATGGTACAGTATATTTATTCTAGTAGTGGTATTCCAAACTCCCAGGGTGGTGTATTATCATCTTGTGCTAATTCCAAGCTTTGTCAGTGGTGCGTTTTCATGCTAATTTCCTTTGTCAGGGCGTTTGCTGTTTGCCCCCTCACAGCTTAAAGGGAGGCGACCAGCGCTTGGCTTTCTTCACTCCAACGCTGTCCGCTGGACAGGTTGGTCCCTTCACCTGATGAAGCCCGTTTTAATCAGTTTAGTTGGGACTTTTTATTTTATTTTTCAAGCTTAGAATTGGGCTCACGCCTTTGTTAGTGTATTCCAAACTCGGACATATTTCTCAGTCGGCTTAGGCCTATCAAAACTGTGCAGTATACTGAAATAAAGTTCAACAATACCACCAGATATCGGTAGAAATCAACTCCTGCCGCCCGATACACAGGCGGACAACCACCGTTGACTTTCCCCTAAAGTGGTGATCACTTTATCTACCCCGGAGTGATGATGGGTTGAGGCAACCCACCCAACTGTGATATGAACTCGCAACCTTCCTATCGCTGAGCCACTTGGCCGGATTGTCATCTCACGAGGAGAAACGTGTGAATAGGGCCCGTCAATTATCATCCAGCAGTGCGGAAGGGATGACAACGGTGTCCTTGTGACGCCAGACCACGTGGTCACGACTGCAGTTGCCGCGCTCCGCCACATGGCGGCAGCACGTGGTCGAGGAACTCTTTCAGATTCGTATCCTGGTTTGTTTAAGGGGCCGTCCATAAATGAATGACGTCACGCGATTTTGGAGGATTTTTGACCCCCCCCCCCTAGTCACACGGCGTCACAAAAAGTCAGATCCCCCCCCCTCAAATATGACGTCACAAAGCTCTGCCCCCCCCCCTTCAAAAAAATAAAACATGCTTCAAATCGCTTTAAACTGTTGCCATTGTAGTGCGTATTTAATGTGGCGCTGCACTCTGATGTTGTAAGAGAAAACATTTATTAAAAAGTCTATTTAATTAAGTAGAACGTGTTGTCTATATTTATTTAAAGTTGCGCGTTTTGATGTGACGTCACATTTCTCAACCCCCCCCCCGTCGTCACGCATCGTCACAAATGTCTGACCCCCGCCCAGGTGCGTGACGTCATTTATGGACTGCCCCTAAGGCCCAGTGAGCTAGAAGCTTCTTTTTCACAATCGACTTTGCCACAAAGGAGAGCTCAACGAAACAAGGCTTATCGTGTGGGAATTTTTATAGCTGACAAATAATCTAAACAAACATCAAGACGCGTAGGCGAAGAGTCGTCATCCAGCAGTGGAATTGACATTTTGACACTTAGTTTGGCCCGGCGCCTCAGATTCACGGTAATTTATTATCCGTGCAATTTTGTTCGGGGTCACGAATTGCTTTCCTCTCAAAATTTCCCGCGCTTTTCGCAGACGCGTGACGTCACCAGCAGCGTTTTTGCGCGGCGAGCGCCGCGACGTCAACGCACACACCGCATCTTCTGACGCGATGATGTCATCGCGCCATCGACGGCGGTGACGTCATCGAGCCGGTTCACCACCACGGTACCCGTGAGCATGGATCACTCTTTCGCAGGTAAAATTTACAACGAAGATACTCGAGCGCGTTTGGGATTGCCGTCGTTTTTTTTGTTTTAATTACAGACCCGTCTAAAAAAAACGTCCGATTTACAGCGTCGTACCGAGGGGGTATTTTAAAGCAATTACAATTATTCTTAATCTGCGTGTCGCTTCCTCATCGGCCTGCGCGCTCAAAATGGCCTTCGCATGGGATGGAGAAGGCCGCATCCACAGCCGTGGTCTCAATCTACTGCTGGATGAAGCCCTAACATCCCCCCCCCACCAAACCATTCATATAGCTGCCAACCCGTAAGGTTTAGTCGTGCGCTTGTACAGGGAGATTGAGTTTTCAGCTCCATACGACGCACAGCCGTTGCAATGCGGGCGACCAAAACGTGTTGTTATATTCGTTTGCGTTTCTCCCTTTGTGGTGGGACTTTTGTAGGATGAACGTTGCGATGTATAAAGGGCACGGGGGTGACCAAGTAAGGTCTGAATTGGGTCTGTAATAAGGTCGGCACTGATAAGGGGTTGCCAGGTATTGCGATCCACTGCTGGATGAAGGCCTGAACCTCCCGCCCTCACCCTCCCACCTCAACCCACGAATTGCATTGTGCGTGTGGTCGCGGCTTGTTGATTTTAGGATGCAGTCGATGGTTCGACCGCCAGCGTCTTCGTAGAGGAGGCCCGTGTGTGGTGTGCGCTGTGCGGGTGGGTGTCTCGGAGTGAGGTCTTCACAGTATTCTGGACATCCCCGTCGTTGTCGTTGTTGTTGCTGCTGCTGTTGCTGTAGTTGTTTCCACTCCGTTCGCCAGCAGCGTTCGTCCGGTTCTGGGTGAGATTCGAGGATGGTGATGATAGCAGCAGCAGCAGCAGCTACGCGATCCCTCAAGGGGGCAATCGAGGCCGCCTCTTTGTAACCCAAGAATGTCAGTTTAACAACGTAGTAGTCGTAGGCTTTCGCGAACAATGTCATCCATAATACAGAGTTTTTTGGGGGTTATATAAATGCGTCGATATAAATGTGTCGTTAAACCCGACACAACCATTTGGTAAGGTTTGTCACAGTGGCGGCTGGTGACATTTCCACCATGTGTGCTGTTGTAAGTGACCTCTGAAAATCTGGTGATCTAATTCAGAAAAAACCTCGTCATGTTATTGGCCTTGCCGTGAAAGTGATATAACTGTCGGTAGGCATTTATAAACAATATGAAACAACACAACACTCAAATGCTGTCCCCCATGACCCTCAAGTTCACACTACACAAACCCCTTTAAATTTCGATTTAAAGCTTTCGTGACTGCAAGGATTCATCTTCTTTGGTTCTTTCGGTAAAGTCACGTAGAATGAGAATAAAATAATAAAATAAAATACCACAATAAAATTCTCACGGCGTTTCGGCCACAACACAAGTGGCCTTCTTCAGGTGAAAGGAACAAGCTAATCACTCTGCTATTTCAATGCTCAATGATCTTGTTTGATTTGTACTAGGTGCCTCTGTGGATGTGTAGGCTTTGACTTTAACATAGCCATTTCTGTGACCAGTCACAAGCTAATCCCTCAGCTATTTCAATGCTAAATTCTCCTGTTTGATATGTAAACCCCTTTGTGAAGGTGCCTCACTTCTCTAAATCAGCTTAAAAGACGCTACGAATCTTAACAACGTTCATTGAAGCTCTGTCGTCCCGACAGGTTTGTTCCTTTCACCTGAAGAAGGCCACTTGTGTTGTGGCCGAAACGTCGTGAGAATTTTATTGTTATTTTATTTTATTATTTTATTCTCATTCTACGTGACTTTACCGAAAGAACCAAAGAAGATAAACCCCTTTAACACTGCCAAAAGCCTAGAGCGTGTAGGCTGTGACCTGCTGTATTTGCAGAGTGCCACCTCGCGTTGTGACATCGTCATTACAGCCATTGGGCGACTTTTTGACCGCCCTGAATGGGCATCAAACGGCGTGGCGGAAAATGCGAAGCTAATCGCAGCACTTCCTAATATGAACAACTTAAAATAGTATCTTCATTAGGGAATTCACGTTAAAAAAGAAAAAAATTATATTAAAAAAATTATATTAAAAAAATAAGCAACATTTTTTTTTAGAAAAGTATTTTTTATTCGAAAATTTGTTCTCATCTCCAGTTGCTTGGTGGGGTGGCGGTCCAACGCCTCTACTGGACGAACCACGCCTGGTTTGTCTCGTAAACGGAACGTGCCAATTCGTTACAAGTACAGCACACCGGTGTGTTGGAGAGCAAATCCACAATATTTACAATCTCTGAGTACTGAGATTGTACAATCTGATTGTATTATGGACTCAAGAATGAATTTCTCTCCTCTTTGCGCCCTTTTTCAGTCAGTTAATTAAGCGCTCGTTTTATTGTGCGTTCGGCCTTTTTGGGTTTTAAACAAGCACCCAAAAGACATTGCCCTGAGACTTTACGTAATTCCACTTTCAGTGGATTTGTGTTTGATTGTGAAGGTCATCCATATGAATGTCCATATACCGTACTGTACAGGTATATTGAAACTAATCTATTTTATTTTTACCTACGTGACTACCGAAAGAACCAAAGAGTATAATCCATTTTTTTATTTTTATTAGGTAAGGCCCACCGTTTCTCAGTACCTGGTAAAATATAAATAGTTTTATAAAAAATAGTTTTTATTTTACCAGCTAATACTGGAGTTTTTGGGGTTTAATAAGCAGTGATTTGGCCAAAGCCAGTGTGGTAAGTTAAAATACAATCCACAAGGTTGAGTAGGCCTTGGACGATGGTTAGAGTGGTGTTTAGTTGAGTGTCATTGGTCTAGACGTGATAGTTTATGCTGCGGCTGTTATTGAAGCGACCAGTTGGAGAGTTGTAGCTGAAATATGAGAATGAGGAAAAAGGGAGTCGTGCGGTGCTGAATCTGTCTCGATTCCGCTGTGTCGATGGTGTGTACAAAGCTTAAGCGATTGCATTGTTTATATTGCTAGAGTTTTTCCAAGTAATCCAGAGAGGAGAGAGCATCTTATTGATATATTTAGATGTATTGTGTTTTATAGTTCGTGTTTTTTTTTGTTTAATTTGACTTTACACTGAAAAAAAACTTGAACACATACAAGTTGGATGTATTGTATAAGATGCGGACTGCAAGTTTAAATGTAATTAATTGTTGGAAAAGCATATGAATGACTTTTCTGTTTTAAGTATTTTAACAATTTATGTATTTTGGAGAGACTGTCTGTAATTTGACGCTACAAAAATATATTTCAGTTTAACACATAGGCTTTCACGACCAATATTATCCATAATACAGGGGGTTTTTTTGGGGGGGGGGAGGATTAGATCGCGTAAATATAACACACCGGTGTGCAATGCTAGTAATAAATTAGCATGTTCTGTTTACGTGACAAACCTTACTAATTGGCTGTGTCGGTTGGTGGCGGGTTTAACGACACATTTATATTTACGCGATCTAACCCAAAAACAACAAAACTTGTATTAATAAAAAGATATTTTGTTCTAACTGGAATCCACAGAGATAATTCAATCGGACAGTTCGAACTTGGCATGACAATGTAGACAACCTTGTCTTCGCTTAACATGGCGGAACAACAGTCCCAAGATAACATAAATATAGTGAACCAACAGAATGGAATGCTGACATTGAAATATTTGGCAGATTAAACTGCTGACCAGCAGGTTATTTCATAAACTGCGGGCTTTGTAAAATTTTGGTTTTAAAATGTATTTCTATGCGAACATTTTTTGTAAATGTTTCCTTTGGTATTCTTGTGTCAAAGTCTATGATTTTAGAACAAGTTTGATATATTTATTATTCTCACACCCAGACCTCAAAATAGGAACATTCTATTTGAAAATAATCAAATTACTGGATATAATCACTGGAAGTGAGGCTAAATGTATTTGTGTATTCGCTCATTAAATGTTTGCATATCAAACCTTGTATTTTATATAACTATCCCAGCTTGTAACATCCTCATGTTGCATAATGTCACATAGGTCCTTTGTGAATGTCGATTAAAAAGCACAATCCAATAAGTTTTTTATTCAGTTAATAATGTAACTCGGTTTTTACACCTTCGCATTTCCATGCAGGAATTGTTCTCTACCTTCCTTATAATCTTTTCAACTCTTCTCAGGCTCAGGCAGGTCAGGTCGCGAGTTCTACCATTCGGGCCGTGATGATTACGACAAGCACGGCCGAGGAAGCTCGGGGTCCGGACACCGATCATTCCAAGGTATGGATGTATATGTTCGGCTGTAGTCAGGTGGCCTTATTGCAAAGGGTACCAGGTAAAGGTGCAACCCCGCAATTGATTTATCACACAACTGCTGGTGGAAGGACCTCCACGGGAGGGATTTCTAGAGGGGATATTTACCAACACTTCCATGCCGGCCGAACATCTTGAGGGCTGGGATTACCCCCCTGCTTTACCCCACTACGTTTGGCCTGCCAATCTCATAACTGCGGTGGTCCCATTTATACTGCTGGGTAGACAGATTAAGAAACGTTCCCATTGTTTAAAATGCCGTGCCGGGAGATGTAATTGAACTGTGACCTCTGGATTGAAAGTCCGGTGTGCTCACCATTACACCATGGCATCGTCCCACAGTAAAGAATACTCAGTACAAAAACATAAAAAAAAAACTCAAGGCCAATTATTGCCCTGATAATTTACTCCATATCTCTGTCTGCTTATTGATGCTAATGATTTCACTTTCTGATTCCCTGTTCAGGCGACATGCGACCCGCTGAAGGGGAAAGAGAGACGTACAAAACAGCTGCCAATCTTCTGGCCACAATAATAACGATGATAAAGGACAATCCAGTTACTGATCAAGGTGCGATGATGCATTTATGTTTGTGGTTACGTGTGTGTGAGAGAGGTGGCCAAGCAGCTCGGGGGTCAGAGCATTGAGCTGGCACTGCTGACAGGCTGGGTTCAAATCCAGGCAGCTGTCTGTGATGAAACTGGCTCCTCAAGTGTACCGACTGGATGATCTCAGCCCAGTTGTCAGTGATTGCACAAAAAACCCATCGGACTCAATTTGTTTCTGCACTTAATTTCCGTAAATTCCAGCTCTGAGAATAAAAAATAACGGTTTGATTGTGACAAAGTTCCCTCTCATGCAGAGCGAGTGGGCACACGTTACCCTGTTCTGTGTGTGGACCAGGGATCACTGAAAGAGACCTCGCAGGTATCTCTGTGAAATCTGCTTCTGTGGACCATTGTCCAGTATTAAGGGGTTGCTCTGTTGTGACAGAGATCCGAAAAGATACTTTAATGGTTTGACACCGAGAGCACAATTGGGATAAAATGGGGGAAATGTGTTTTTAATTGTGTATGAGTATCTGCACACAGGGTGTGGTGTACAGCCCAGTGTCTGATCGTGTTTATGTGATGGGTTTGTTTTCTGCCCAGAGCTGCTGGATAATGCTGTGATGTTGGCAATGATTTATAGGGGTGGAAGGAATCGAGTCATGTTGGTTTTCTGTATTCTGATTTCAGTGAATGGCGCATGGTACCTGGTGAGGATAACCATGTGATGTGAAATTGTTGTATATGCAACCTTGACATGATATGAAAATATATTTTGCTGTTGCACATGACATTAGTATAGTTGTACCATATGAGTATATTTGTACTTCATTACTCATATTATTTTTAGATTTGTTTGACCACAAAATTGCTAATGTAAAACATGTAATAGAATCAAATTGGGTCATAATTCCCAGTTGCTGTTACTTGGTTCAAGACTTTAATTTCCATTGAACTCTACTGAGTTTTAGTCGGTGATATTCTGCATGTTAACTTCATGAAGACAATTGATAGTTTTCTGATGTCTGCATATGTATATATGTATATATACATTTACAATGTTTTACGTTGATGAGTGGCACAATAAAACTCTTGACGATGCATGTTGAAACATGGTTTCAAGTAAGCACATTTGTGTGCTTGTCCCTAGAACCATTTGCACAATGCGTTGTTAGGGTTCCAATATTTATGTTGGTTGATTGTTACATTGCATTAAAGCAGTCTGTTTTCCTTCCGCATCTCATTTAGGTCAAGGGTATGCTCATGAGCGATCCGCCAAAAGTGGGTAAGTCCTTGACCATCCCTATCACCGGAAGCTTTATACTAACATGACATTTTATTGAAATTTCGCCAGAATGCCTCTTTAGGAAAATACTGCAGGCCATAGCTATCCTGTTTCATCGTTGCCATCCCTTTCTACGGTAGAATGTTTTCTTTTCCATTATTACATTAACAAATGCATTTAAATGGTCAAATCGCACTGCAGACCATATCTAACACATGGTACTCAAACATTGCTCAATTCTTTTGTCGAGCTTGTATTTCTATGCTGAAATCAGTGGAGCACATTTTTTTAGCGGTAGTAGGGGTGGCTCACAAAACAATTACACCCACGAGTATCATTGTTGAGTTTCGACCTCACTCCTGCTTAGATTTCCAGACAACAGTGGCTCGTAATGCTCACAATGTGAACGTTATTGAAAAACACCTTCGATTTTTTTAATCAAACTATAAAGTTTCAGTGAAAGCGGCACATCTAGAATACGTCCAGTGTTTTGGGGTGTCACGGGTCATTACATTTTATTCTGTGCATGTCTTAAAGAAACACGATCAAAAGTTGAAGGGCTTTACTTCTCGAATGAGCATTGACGTGGCGCTCATCGCCTGTTAGCAGCCCTGAGCCGGTGGTGAAAATTCCACATTCCTGTGGTGGGAGCAAGTATAACTCGAGGACAACCACAATCGACTTTCTCACAAAGTGGTACCCACTTTATATATATTGGAGGGATGATGGGCTTAGTCGATCCCCAATCAAGATTTGAACTCTCAAACCTCTGATTGTGAGACACTCTACTACGGCTCTACATTGTGGCAATATAAAATCTTTACACTTAATCTCACAGTAAATAACACATTTGTTTCTTTAAGTAAACTAGATATTGTTAAATATTACATATTAAGTGTGATTTATAAATCTCCCTTAGCCCTACACTCAGTGTCAGTTTGTAGGTAAAAGTTCACGTTTTCGTGAAGATAATACCACCTTGATTTTCACAGAAGACAGCATTGGGATGTCACAGACTTTGCTAATCATGTTAGACATCTTGAAGAAGACGTGCCATGGTAGCCTGCAGTGAAACATTTGTCATCAGAATTCTGGCAAAGTTAGTATACCAAGTCTCTACCAGTAATAGATCCTACTGATGCTGGTTATCAAGTCCTGCATTAAATGGGAAATTTACCCTTATGAGGAAGGCGCTATGTACAGGTACATCCGCTTTCAAATCTGCTGTTGGACGAAGGCCTTCCTGCACCGTGCGTATTGTGGAGATATTTTAACATACATTACCATGCTAGTCAGTGTGAGTTGGTGGAGGCTCAAGTACAAAACCACTTCAGATTTTTTTCTCTCTGCTGTCTACCACATAGCCTGTTGTGTATGGAGGTCACTCATCCAAGAAATGTCCCGGCTCAAGCCTGCTTCTGAGACATCGTTGGGTCTGGTACATTCTGGGTGATTTGGCCTTTCGGCTCCGCTACGAATCAATCCGTTGTTCATGTGCGGCCCTGTGCGGGGCTGTACTGAATGAACCCGGCATCTGTTGCCTGCAGCTGTGTGTGTGTGCACGTTCGTCAATGCGTGCGGCAGACAGAACACGTGATAGTGGCCTCTTTCCCTGCTGGCAAGCGTACAGCTTGACAACTTTTAGCCACAGCTGCAGGTAACCACAGACGGTGATGTCCCCACTTCACTCGAAGCGTTCCGCAAAAATGGAACTGCAGAGCGCCCCATGACGAATGCGTAAAAACTGGTTCAGCATACGGCTCGCTTGGAGCAGCCGATAGCAAGACATCTACGTGCTCCCTGTTGCAGGCCACGTTAGCGGATGTGACATCACGGTGGCCTGTTCACGGTGGACAGACCATCGAGTTGCCCACCGAGTGTCCTCGTACCCCTGGTGCTCAGGGGCCAGTCAAACCCACGCCGTGGGCCCCGTTGTGGCCCGTGGGCTGTAGGTTGCACCATGTTTCACTCCCATGTGTTGACGGTTCCCCCGTTGGGCCGTCTTACCGCAATTCTCCCGTGAAGATTCAATGCATTTGCAATGCAAACATTACTTCAAGGAGTTCACCGTGATGTGAACTGGCAGCTGAATAAGCCAGTGATGAGCGCCGAACCCAGAGTCAAGTTTGCATGGATTGATTCCTGCAGCTGTCTGGTTATTTTGGCGTCTCTTTACCAAAGCCCACCATCTACGATGAAGTAGATGTTAAAGATCCTTTAGCTTGACTCCTTCACAAGAGTTGTTTACTGGGTTTCCGCATACCCCTGGGCCAGTCCATGTATGCCGGTGTCATATCCCATGTCTGAAAATTGGAAGCTACTTTTCATTAAGCAGCCATCCAAGCTCGTACAAAACACACTTTTCCCACTAATTGCATTTTTCTTCATAGTTTTGGCTTATTTAGAGTTCCTTTAGAACATATAAATTACACATTTCTTAGTTGACTTGAATTGTAGAAGGTTCCATTTTCAGTGATAGCTATGTACTAATGAGTCATTCTTGAGCTTATTGAGTTTGTTAGGGCTCCCAGGATATTGCAGTTCCTGTGACATGAAATCGTGAAATTAAGGATTTATTTTTTATAAGTGTGAAAGTTGCAGAGCCAAATGCAAGCGCTGCTCCATTGCACTCTGACTGGGTGTGTGCAGCACTCGCAGGCTCCATGAGGTTTGAGCAGCCCCCAGAGAGGTGCAGGACACGGAGCATAGATCATCACACTGCTCCGGTCTCCATCCACCCGCCCCCTCTTCATTCGTACATGTTTCTGTGTGACACGACTTGTGATTTCCAGGTACAACTATCGCGAGTCGTATAACTCCGCACCACCCACGGGCTCCAAACAGAGCGTAGGCTACAACGAGCCCTTCAGTCGTCCGGGTGGATTGGCAGGAGGCCCTGATCGCTATGACTACAATGAGCCCCCCAGGGGCCAACAACACGGCCCCCAGGGCTATGGAGGTGGCTATGATGATCACTGGGGCAGCGGGAAGGAGTTTTCCGAGCCTGGCATCATGTCCAATAAGCACGGCAACAGAGGTTACGCAGAACATGCTGCATTCAAGGCACCCGCAGATATGCGAGGCTTTTATGGTCGTGGCCGCACCTCCCGTAACTTTCACGGGCAGGTTGGCAGGCCAGGCTTCAACAGCCGTGAGGGCCGCCAGCCGACAGACCACGGGGGAGCACCCTACGGGTCGGGCTTCCGTGGCTACGGTACCAAACCAGGCCAGAGGGGCAGGCCCTTTGATAGGGCTGGCAGAGACTCCACGGATCGCAGGGACCGTGGGCGTGGGGGCACGCCGGCCTGGAGGGTCGCCGCGGATTTCAGGGAGAAGAAGGTGGTGCCCTTGTTGGGGCTGACCACTTCACGGAAGAAGAAGGCTGGCGGCCGAGGCGAAAGCGGCGGTGGCGGCAGCGGTGGCAGCGGCGGTGGCGCCGGTGCCGGTGGCGCGCCCAGCACAAGTCAGAAGCCTCAAAAGCCGACAGGCTCAGCAGGAGCTGGCACGGGCTCTGTAAGTAGAAGCCCCCCAACTCCTTAACCCTGTCGTCGAGCTCCTTTGAATGGTCACTCACATCCCCTAATTGGGGAGGATGTCATACCGTTTCTTCAGTGAGGTCAATTAACCGTTTCCCTTCCACAAAGGCTAGATATGCCTGTTTTAATTTCATAAGGATTATTAGGTTCCACTAGGCAATACTCCACATAATAGTTCTCTCATATCAGTAATTGCCATTTTTTTCATGTATGAACCTATTTCATTGTCTGCTGTTCAAGTAGATGTGGAGAAATATGGAAAATGTGAGAAGGTAATGTAATGTGGTTTGCAGATCGTCTGCACAATGTTGGATTTAAACGTCACGGCTATTACGCTTGTCTGAATCCAAATCTTTATTTCGACTGGAGGAATCCGATGAGCTATGAAGCTCTTTTTGACACATGTCCAGGAGGATTGTTTGTTTACCCAGGAAAGCCTCACTGAGTCTCAAGAGTACTTTTTAGGAGGGTCCTGGTAAGTTTTCGCAGTAGAAGGGGGCAATGTAGCTGTGTAATCGCAATTGAGTAATTTGCAGGTACTTTTTCAAGATTGGAATGTGTTGGCCAATTCCAGTCAAATTGCATGTGTTTTTTTATCTATGGGAGGAAAACAGAGAATGTAGCGGAAACCCATGCAGAACAGGGGTATGATGTTCGTAGATATGTTTGAACTTTTCGCACAGTACGTAGCCAACCGTGCTCGTCGGAAACTCTGCGTAGAAAGGTGCCCGAGTCAGAAATGAAAATGAAATCCACGCCCTTCTTGCTGTGAGGCACAAGCGTTACCACCGCGCCACCCTGCCGCCAACAATTGCTCGTTGCTTGTGACCACATGCGGTCTCCCACGCCCACCTGATTTTACATTCTGGCCAGATAATGTCGCTCTGCGAATTGTAACGAATTGCACGGTTCAGCAAGAGTTGTGAAGATACATTGATGAGAGATGCCGGAGGGGGGGGGGGGGGCGGGAGTGGTGGTGTCCTTGAGTGCGCACGCGCGCTCGTGTGGATGTTTGATGGACACGTTTATGCACGGGCGTAGGAGAAGTTGAGGGTGACGGACAAGCCAGCGGCCACCAGCGAAGCGACGGGCGCAATTAAGAGGAAGTTGTCACCTTCTCCGGGACCATCTGGCAAGAAAGCCAGCAATGAGGAGTCGGGCGGTATTGGCGAGCCTGGTAAGAGTTTGGATGGAGCGAGCCCATGGAGGTTCGTGAAGATGTTACGTGCAATCTTGAAATTGATTTGTGATTGGATTGGGAGCCATTGTACAAGGACCAGAGTTTTGTGAGATGTGATGTCACCGTTATAAGGGTGCATATTTAATCTGAGGATTAAATTAGTTTTTATTACCAGAATAAACACTTCAGCTCATGTTAAAGGTTTTATGTTAATGTTATACAGAAGTGTATTAAATATACTTCAAATGTAGTTCTTTGATAGCGTATTTTGGGGTCGTTGTCTGATACAAGGTGATGTCACAGTATTAGTTATTTAGTACAATTGCAATATAATTTGTTGATAAAATGTAAATCCCCACTGAGGCTAGAGATTTCCATTCATGAGTATGAAGCCAAACTAGGTTTTCCCCTTTTTGCCGGCAATAAAACAGGTGTTAAGATGTTAAAACACCGAACTGAAACCTTTTACAAGGAATCATGTCTGCATCAACCACAATACTTGTGGTGAGAAACCAAACAAAAAACATACTCTGATAATGTATGCATTGTCCTTGAAACTGATTGGTCCACACCAGAGACAGCTTTCTTTGGAGTCTCGTCTCAAATGCCGTTAGACCAGAGGACGCCTTGTGGCGAGGCTCCAAAGAAAGCTGTCTCGTGTGGACCAATCAGTTTCAAAGACGATGCATATATTATCTGAGTGTTTTTGTTTGCATTCTGACCACAAGTGTGGTTAATGCAGACATTATTCCTTGTAAAAGGTTTCAGTTTGGTGTTTTAACATCTTAACATCTGCTTTGTTGCCAGAAAAAAGGGGAAAACTTATTCTCATATTTTGATACTGGCAAAGGAGGTCCCATGATGTATGAAGCCAATTTCGTTGTTGGTGTTTTTGCGCCTCCAAGTGATTAGGAATAGCAACAAAATTGCCATTTATATCGTGTTTAAATGCCTCAGCAATTCAAAGTGCTTTGCATCTGATCTCAAGCAATGGAAGGGTACCCCCATTGGCAGCTGTCCCTATGAGACAAAGTGTACCAGCACCGGCCTGCAAGCGGGCATTAGTCTGCCAGTAGGGGGCCATGCTCGCTGTGTGTGTTGCCTATTGATTCATTTGTGGGTATTTTTTTCTAATTTGGACCATGATGCCATTTTGAATGATGTCACCGGGATCCTTTAATGGCCACTGTAAAGGAGATGGTGTACATTTCTGGTGAATACATCTGCAGTATTAACCCGATTCCGGCCACGAACCTCAGCAACAAGTGGCAAATGCGTTTACTGCTGGGTCATGATAAAATCCTCATGCCGCAGCACAACTTTAAACCCCACAATAGTAGCAGCATGTCAGGTATCTTTGCTTTCTAGGATCTGTCTCCTAAGTAATCCACCAAGTTTCTGGGTCAGACATGCTGTGTGCACCACCACAACTGTTTGGGTGTAGGCTTTTTTCCCAAGCCTTGAAGATCATACCTCCAACTAACAAATATGTACATCTTGCTTTGCAGAAACGAAAAAGGTCAGACTTCCTGCACATAGGTGAGTGTATTTTAAAGCTGCTTCAGGTGTTCGTCTTTTATACAGGGTGACTCTACAGAGCCACGGATGATCCCGTTTAGCCAATTGCCCGGCTATTTTACAAGAGACATCTATGTTGACAAGCACGGCAGCAGCAAAACAAAGGCAAACATCATTATTGCAGAGAACAAATACATAATCCTTCAGGGTTATTGCATAACTAACAAACGAGGTATTTAACGGTCATCAATGAAATGCCGCAAATATAATATTACGAGCACCGCAAAAGGATGGCGAATATGTACGTTTAATCATTTTGTATTTATGTTTAAGAAATTTGAATGATTTAGTATGTTAGGTCAAAGTTTTCAGTCATTTAGTTTAATATTGAATGTCATTGAATGTTATGCGTCTCGTGACGTCATAACCCCCCCCCCCCTTCTCACAACCTACACCCCAAACTGGTTGTCATGTCCGTACTCCTCTCTCCTACAGCCCAGTGTCTCTGAGGTCATCAGCTCCACCCCTCCACCTCAGCCCAATCAACCCCTCCACCTCACATCACCCCCACCTCCTCAGCTAGCCAAGCGTTTTTTTCTTCTTTTCCTTTATGTACTGGTGTGTTCCAGACAACAAACCTATTGTCATCGAGATTGTGTGGACATTTTGCATTGCGCTTTTTTTCTCAACAACACCCTCTGTTAAAACGTACTATGGTACCATACTTGAACATTTCTCATAAAGAGCTACCACACTGATGTTGAGATAAAACGCTTTAAGAATATTTTAATTATCTGCCACCTCAGGTGTTATCAATAATACTTTTGTGGCTGAATGGCTCACGGATCAAAAGCTTTTATTGAATAAATAAAGGCCTGACTGAAGGAATAATCATACCATTAAATTTAATAATAAATAGGTGGCTTAAAATGACAGTCATGCCATGTGTGGTGCCATTGGCTTAACTGTTGTCATGTGTGTCTGTGTCTCCCCTGCTGCGATTCCTCGCATTTGTGCACCTTCTGGCAGTGCTCAGTTCTCGTGCCCGCTGTGTCGCTTCCGCACAAAATACGACAGCGAGATGGAGCTGCACATGCAGAGCAAGTTTCACATGGAGTCTCTGAGGCACCTTCAGGAGGGTTACCTGGATGACCCCCACATCTCCAAGACCATTAATGTGAGGCACGGAGCTCCCTCCGGGTGCACTCAAAACAGTGTTAATGTCATTGGCATTCTTTAGTAGAGTCTTCGTCTAGTCCGGGGGTTGGCAACCTGCGGCACCAAAAGCCGCTTGTGGCTCTTTTAAGGATCGCTTCGTGACGTTATTTATCAAAGGACCACCGTCTCGTGTTCGCTACATGCACTGTGGCTCTTGAAATATTGAGGTTTTTTTTTTTACCGATTTCGAAATAAAATGGCTCCTATTATTTTGGAAGCCGACCACTGGTCTAGTCCAGTGGTCCGGCCTGATAACTCAGCGGTAGAGCGAGCCTCTCACAATCAGAAGGTTGCGAGTTAAAATCCTGGTTAGGGATTGACTTGGCCCATCATCGCTCTGGGGTTCCATAAACTTACTACCACTTTGTTCAGTGGTTATGCTATGGATAGACTTGCCTCCCCCCACGGGAATGTAGAATTTCTGCTGCTGGCTCAGGACCATTAACAGGAGATGAGTACCGCCTCTGCTTATCTCAGCCGCAAATAATTTAGACTTTAGTGGATCATAATCTCTCTGGGCCCAACAGAAGCACTGTGGACCCTCAAAACATGTTTACGAACCGCCATGCACCAAACCGTAGACTTTCAAATAAAATATATATATAAATCGTACAATCTGCGACAAGTCTTTCTGCGGCCTTGTGGGCCACCAGTGGTCCACGGACCAAAGGTTGGGAACCACTGACTGAGTTGACGACAACCTGTCGAATTAAAGTTCAGTCTTCATCTGTGGATTTCATGAATCAAACTCTTAGTCAAAAGAGGCCGCCCCCCCCACCTCTTCCAATATCAGACCAGCCAATAACTCGGTAAATCTTTTTTATACTAGCCTTTTGCTCGTCCAAGGATGGGTGTATTGCAGTAAATCTGAAACTTGCAAACGAAAAGCCGACCGCGACCTGATATTCATTGCATCAATTCGTGTGCAATTTGTAAAGCCATGGTGACAGACTTATTGCATTTAAAGGTTATCATCATGACGTCCTTTTTACTTCTATGTCTCAATAGCGTTACAGAGATCGCGTGACGTGAGGGTTCTGCCTTTGTAGTGAGGGTTATACGTTGACGCTGAGGAGGGGGGAGGAGGCGCCTCGCCCTCCCATGTGGAGTGACATCACCTGCTAATTATTACTAGAGGGGGGGGGGGTGTCCATTTGGAGGATGTCACCTCATGATTATTAATGGGGGGCGGGTCCATGTGGAGGACTAACCTGTTCATGATTATAATGAGGGGGGGCTGGTCGACGTGGAGTGACGTCACGCGCGTTACACACTGACATTCGTATTGTATCATAACGCAGCAATCGTCATTTCCACCACTGTTTTCTCAGGAGTTCATCGAGCTGCGATACCAGAAACGTAAGGCTTCAAATCAGATGTTAAGTGACCACTCGGACAAAGTCGTGCCCAGCAAAGCCAACGGAGGTTCGTAGTCAGTGTAATGTTGGTGTGTCCTTAATTACATGAGTGGATTTTACTGTACCTTGCTTATAATTTGGGTTGTTTTTGAATGACCTCTGAAATTAAAGATATTGACTTGTATAAACACACGATCAAAATGAATGAATGCTCACTGGTTGATTGAAAACATCGTAAGATGTAGAGGACTGCACAGTTTAGGCAAATTGTTGGCACCGGCTCACTGCCTGGCTGTTGCCTACCCACTTGCCTATGGGTCCTCAGCGATTGTGGTATACAGTTTGCACGGATAAAGCGTCATATAGGTGATGCCGATGAGCCATTTTTGTGCCAATGTCTCAAGGACCAAGTTGGGACTGCTTGCTTGCGTGTGTCCACAGACGACGCGATATTGGACGACAGCATGGAATCCATGGAGGTTGTTCGCTGCTACGCCTGTAATACCAATATATTTAATGTTACATGGGTAATTAGGAAACACATGGATTCTGAAGAACATCAATTTAATAGAAAGGTACGGTCATTCCCTTTATGTCTGTTGAATTTCTTTCATACCGTACGTAGCGAACCGTGCTGTCCATTTTTCTGCAGATGCAAACGTTCTTGTTTTGCTCTCCCTTAAGAGTTGTGAATGGATTAAATTTTGATTTAAAGCTTTCGTGACTGCAGTAATTCATATTCTTAGTTCTTTCGGTAAAGTCACGTTGAAGGGAAACAACAAAATAATAAAATATATATAAAACAATAAAAATTCTCACGACGTTTCGACCATAACACAAACGGTCGTCTTCATGTGTTATGGTCGAAACGTCGTGAGAATTTTTATTGTTTTATATATTTTTTATTATTTTGTTGTTTCCCTTCAACGTGACTTTACCGAAATAACTAAGAATTGTGAATGGATTGTTTTGTTCGGTAGCCTTTTTAGAATTGATTCTCCATCGCAAAAGTCATAGAACCGAGAATCGAATCAAGTTCCGTTTTTACTGACTTTTGAACTGATTGGCACGCGCGAATGTTGAAGCGGCACCGCTGTGCTCGTCTTGATTGATCAAGAACCAGCCAATGTTGGGCACCAAAGCGATAGGGCCTCATCAGTCGCTGCATGGTTCAACAGATACAAAAATGCGCACACACAGGGCTGGACTTCTATTATTATTATTGTTGTTGTTAAACATTTTAATGTGTGTTGCAAACATTTTTTTTTCATACTGTCATTTTTTGTTTACATGCTAATATCGATAACACTCTCAAAAATGAAATTGAAAACCCAGGTCCTCGAACACGTATATTTCTCTTCTTGGTTCTTTAGGTAAAGTCACGTAGAAGGGAAATAATAAAATAATAAAAATAAAACATAATATTTTATTACGTTTTATTATATTTTATTATGTTTTATTTTTATTATTTTATTATTTCACTTCAAGGTGACTTTACCGAAAGAACCAAGAAGATGAATCCCTGCAGTCACGAAAGCTTTAAATCGAAACGTATATTTCTGTTGTCTGTTTTTCTAGGCCTTCAGTAATGATCGGAAGAACAGTGTCCTCATAATTTTCAAGAGTATCCTGCACAATCAATGCAACTTTAAAATACTCAAAACCTTGAATGAGGTAGGTATCTATTTGTGTTGAGGATACCCATTGTATAAATGCTATTTTGTGTTATTCGCATAAAAGGGTCGTTGCTTGTAATTAGTATGCTAGCAATGTTTGTGTTTTGTCATTAACATTGTTGCTGCTATGATCTTTATGACCCCCTGGGGACCATTTGTCAACCCGAAGCAAAATTAATGGACCACTATGCAGTAAAACATCTGGTGTTTTGTGAATACAATTTAAATTGTGCTGTTGGCATCATGTCATGAAAAGATAACATTTCCAAATGGAACTAACATCTCAGACCTCATTCTCAGGTCCTTTTAATGCCACAAGGAACAACATTCCGTAGAAATGATCATCCTAAATTGTAATTGCGTTATAGATTTGTTTTCCCTCTTGTGTTTCCGGTTGTATTCTGTCTCTGTGAAAAGAAATTCCAAAAAGAGGAGACTTCAGCAGGGGAGAGCTCCTCTTCAACGTCTGAAGAGAAAGTAAAAAAGATTACGACTGCAGATGACAAGACCACTGTTGACAATACCACCGTGGAGAAAAACGCCACCTTGAAGAAGACCGTCCTCAAAACGAGCGGCACGGAAGCCAGCGCTACGAAGGGGCAAATTTCCAAGGGGACATTAAAACCCAGAGCCAAGGTTGTACAGACTGGGAAGGTAGTGGTGAAGAAGGCAAATGTTTTGGCCACAGAGAAAGCAAAAGACAAGTTCCCGGCTGAAGACATCGATGTCAAGACCAGCAATACGAAGCAGAGCTCAGGATCAAAGAGGACAACCCTTCAAGTCGGAGAGGATCTTAGCAAACGGGAAGAAGACAAAAGGAATAATGCAGAGCTTGAGCTGGAAAAGGCAGAGGAGGAGCAATATGAGGTTGTTGAGCCAGATGAGGCAGAGAATGAAGAGGCTTTGAAGAATGAATGCTTTGTGGTAGAGGAAGGGCTTCTCCTGAAGGCCAAGGAGAGTGATTTTCTGCTCCAAGATGAAGAGCAGCTTCTTGAGATGTGCGAGGAAGATGAGGCTTTTGAGGTGTGCGAGGAAGATGAGGCTCCAGAAGAAGGCGACCCCGATAGCCTGGACGATGACACTTACTTGGAAGTTGACGCGTTGGCTGACGATCACGACGCATCATTCGGCGACAAGCAGAGCATGGGCGATAATGGGGAGAAAGAGTCGAAGAACGAAGCCGACGACGATGTCATCATAATAGAATATGATGGAGATGCTGCCCTGCCAGCGAGCGTGGTCCCCACCGATATGAGCGGTAATGGAAGCGAAAAGCCATTAAAATGCCCCCCTGTAGCAGCGGATGCTATCACAACCACTGCACCTGCTCCGTGCACTCAGACGCCAAGGGATGCACTGCCACCACCTACTATCAAAGCAGCGGCCAGAAAACCGGTTAAAGGAGTCACCAGGGTGGCTGGAGGAGCCGGAAAAGCAGGAACAGCTGCAAAAACAAGTGCCAAACGGCCTGCAGGAAATGCAGTAAAAAGTGTTAGGGTTAAGGCGATTAAACAGGCAGTTAGAGTAAGCAAGGTGGTGGTTACTAAGTTCCTACCGGCAGTGAAGAAAGAAGCAGTGAAGAAGCCATTGGTTAAGACAATCGGGGTGTTTGAGGAAACCATTCTGCCATCCGAAGAGGCTGCTGGAGAAATGGCTGAAGCCGGCAAGATGTTGAATACAGCGAGCCAGGAGGAACATGCAAGCAAGCCGGCTGCGGAAGCCATGGCTTGTGAGGAGGCCGATGAAGTTGTGGGCTCGGAAACGCCGCTCGAAGCAGAGGAGTCGAAGCAGGACGAGAGGAGCACGGCAATGGCGCTGCCTGAGGTTGTGGTGATGGAGGGCATTCTTCACCCGGCAAGAAGGGAAGGGGAAGCATTGCCCGCGTCGGTCAGGGGCCGCGGGGCACGGGGTCGATGCAAGCGAGGCAAGCGGAAGGCCGTGTAGAATTTGGAGGCAACAGTGACGTGCGGTGTGCCCCTTTGTGTAAGCGCTAAGAGTTAAACCAGTGTCAATTTACAATAGCAAGTAGGTATTATTTGTATTGATTTTATTTTTAGTGATATTTCTTGACATTCTAATTCAGGACCGTTTTTCTCAAGTAAAAGCCAATTCTTGTCATACTAGCCTTTTGCCCGTCCAAGGACGGGTGTATTGCAGTAAATCTCAAATTTGCAAGCGGAAATCAGACCGCGATGTGATATTCATTGCATCAGATTCGTGTGCAATTTGTAAGGGCGTGGTGACAGACCTATTTCATTTTAAGGTTATAATCCCAAATTCATCATGACCTTTTTACTTTGATGTCTCAACAGCGTTACGGAGATCGCGTGACGTGAGGATTCTGCTTTTGTAGTGAGGGTTGTGAGTTGACGCTGAGGAGGGGGGAGGAGGCGCCTCGGCCCCCCATGTGGAGTGACGTCAGCCGCTAATTATTATGGAGAGGGGGGGGGGGTCCATTTGGAGGAAGTCACCTTATGATTATTAATGAGGGGGGCTGGTGGGTGTGGAGTGACGTCACGAGCGTTAAGGACATTCCTGGGTTATAGTAGGTATATGATGAGCCCCACCACTTAATAAAATCTTGGATGCATTATTTGTAGTGTTGCATTTTATACTTATTTGTGGGATATAAAGCAAGTTCACTTGTCAAACAGTAGTTGGTGGGTGCCGAACTGCATTCATGTTTCTTATGTGTTAAATTGCCTCTCCTGATTTTAGTTGTTTATGGTTTAAAATAACTTTCATTACTTAGAGACTTCTATATTTATGTATATATTTGGTGGGGATAAGCCTCAAGAATTGCTGTCGGTGACAGTTTTTATTTGCAGTACATTGTAATTCAGAGGCAGTTGATTAATCGATTAATTTTTTTATTGTCTACTTTTTTTGGTTATTTGAAAATAGTTACCTTTGTATCCTGTCTTCTGAAGGTAGGAAACCCCCTGCAAGCCATGCCCAGCGTGATGTAGCCAGGGGCGGAGCCAGGATTTTGACTTTGGGGGGGCTGACTTCAATATTCTGAGATATCCAGTGTATGTTTTCCAATGGGCGCCACAAATGCATAAAACAAATTTTATTGGATTTGAACGCGGAGTTTATTAATAGGTCGGAGCCGCTGATGTGGCTAATAAGTTTGATACGTTCGAAAGGCTGCCGCTCAAGCAGCCTGCAGGGCAGCACAAAGTGGCAGTCAGCATTTTCCAGCAGCCCGATATCCGGTTATCCCGATTACCGACTTTCCCAAAGTTTCAGGGGGGGCTCAGCCCCCCCCAGCCCCCCCCTGTGGCTCCGCCCCTGGATGTAGCTGATGATGCAGAAGTAATCTAGCCCCACCCATAACGTCCCATCTAACAACATGGGTGGGAACAGAAGTGAGATTCTCCCCCCCATCCCAAACTACACTGTTATGTGATTAGTCATTCGAACTGATAACTGGTTGAGTAACGGAATAATCAGATATAGCAGCTCTTTACAAAATGCAAAAATCTGTGCATGTGATCCTGGCTTGCCCTGGTCAAGCCAGGATCACATGCAAGTACAGTATTGAAAGTTGCGTAGAATTAAAGTGATGTTATTTAGCAGTTGAACCACAGATGATGTGTTTTCCGTTGTACTTATGTAGTGTCAACGATTCAGAGACAGAGTTTCTCGGAGGCACCTTATTAACACCTTTCACGGTCTCGTCCACACACTCTCCACAGTTACTTAGCCGAGCCCGTACACAACCCTAACCGTCAAACACTGACGGCGCTGAGTGAGATAGCCAACAACTTCCAGCCACCCAATATCTAGTGAAGACGGCAGTGACAAAGGCGGTGAGACGACGGCTATGACGAGATGAGTCCACTCCTCAGAACCGGCAGCCCTTAGCTCCCGCTCTCAGCTCCTTTTATACTACCAGCACGGCATGGCTCCGCCCTGACCGCGCCTCCATTCTCGAACCTGCTAGCAGGTTCCAGGAGCCTCCAGATGGGGTCCTCCGTGACCCTTACCCCAGTTCCTCTCCTCTGCACACACAGTACTCTCCGTCCACCAGTTGCCGCTGCTGTCCACCAGCCGGCGCTATGACACTACACTTACAAGGTACCTCATTCCATTGCTGGCAGAGGGGCCTTCACTTGAGTGAATTCTGGAGGGCCTCTTAAAAGTTATTTGGCCATTTCATCCTCTGGCCAGACGAATTTGAAGAGGTGCGAGTACTAACACTTTACTCTGCCACACGCAAGCTGCCGATCGACTGCTGTACCCATGTTTACTGCTGGCTGGACAGAGGTGGTGGAAGGGATTTCAGAAACTCGCACCTTCGTTTCAACTGTTGCACTGGAAGATCAAACCGTTAACACCGAGGTTACAAGTCAAGAGTGTTGACCATTGTGCCATGGCATCATCCCCATTTCTATTATTTCCAAGTGAATACAACCATTTAGGTATAAAATTATAAAAGCTTATTTGAATCGGTGCACTCCATCAGATATCCAAATCAATCCTCTTGGTTATTAATGGTTGGAATATCTATGAAACACATGAGGTCAACAGTCTTGGTGTCCGACCAAACTTTATCCTTTCATACTCTTTGGTTCTTTCGGTAAAGCCACGTAGGTTTAAAATAAATTAAATCACGACGTTTTAGGCGCAACACAAGCGTCCGTCATCAGGTGGGACAACCACCGCAAGAAACAATTGCTGAAGCAGGCAAAAGGGCTGCTTGTAACAAGAGGCTATATAGGTATGGATCCCTGCAGTCACGAAAACTTAAAATCTAGATTTATCCTTTCAGTCCCATGTCAACAACCGTGAGAACCTTTTTTTTCACAGAAGAAATACCCTGGCTCCATCACATCCTTAACATTGAAGACACTGAAAGACATCCACGCATTTCGATTTAAAGCTTTCGTGACTGCAATGATTAATCTTCTTTGGTTCTTTCGGTAAAGTCACGTAGAATGAGAATAAAATAATAAATTGATAAAATAAAATAACACAATAATATTCTCACGACGTTTCGGCCACAACACAAGCGGCCTTCATCAGGTGAAGGGGGCGAGACTGTCTGGTAGGACAGCGCTGGAGTGAGAGAGCCACGTTCAGATCACGGCTTTTAAGCTGTGTGAGAGGAACAAAGAGCCTTGACAAAGGAATTAGCATAAAATTTAGCATTGAAATGGCTGAATGATTAGCTTGTGACTGGTCACAGAAATAGCTATGTTAAAAGTTAAAGCATACACATCCGCAGAGGCACCCATTGTTAAAAGGAATTAGCATAGAATTTAGCATTGAAATAGCTAAGTTAAGGCATACACATCCGCAGAGGCACCCCTTGACAATGGGATTAGCATAGAATTTAGCATTGAAATGGCTGAGTGATTCGCTTGTAACTGCTACAGAAATAGCTACGTTGAAGTCAGAGCATACACATTCACCGAGGCACTTAGTACAAATCAAACAGGAGAATTTAGCATTGAAATAACTAGGCGAATTTAGCATTGAAATAACTGGGTGATTTGCTAGTGACTGGTCACAGAAATGACTACACATCTGAGCTATTCACAGTACTATATAGTGAACCAATAAAAACTAAAATATAAATTACCTTCATGTTATCAATAAACTCTATATTCTCCAATCAGCTAAGCTACCAACCATAAGTCGTTATATATCACAATGCTATATGGCGAAAAAATGGGTGGATTCTTACCCTCAAAATTCCACCCATTTTTTCGCCATATAGCATTGTGATATATAACGACTTATGGTTGGTAGCTTAGCTGATTGGAGAATATAGAGTTTATTGATAACATGAAGGTAATTTATATTTTAGTTTTTATTGGTTCACTATATAGTACTGTGAATAGCTCAGATGTGTAGTCATTTCTGTGACCAGTCACTAGCAAATCACCCAGTTATTTCAATGCTAAATTCGCCTAGTTATTTCAATGCTAAATTCTCCTGTTTGATTTGTACTAAGTGCCTCGGTGAATGTGTATGCTCTGACTTCAACGTAGCTATTTCTGTAGCAGTTACAAGCGAATCACTCAGCCATTTCAATGCTAAATTCTATGCTAATCCCATTGTCAAGGGGTGCCTCTGCGGATGTGTATGCCTTAACTTAGCTATTTCAATGCTAAATTCTATGCTAATTCCTTTTAACAATGGGTGCCTCTGCGGATGTGTATGCTTTAACTTTTAACATAGCTATTTCTGTGACCAGTCACAAGCTAATCATTCAGCCATTTCAATGCTAAATTTTATGCTAATTCCTTTGTCAAGGCTCTTTGTTCCTCTCACACAGCTTAAAAGCCGTGATCTGAACGTGGCTCTCTCACTCCAGCGCTGTCCTACCAGACAGTCTCGCCCCCTTCACCTGATGAAGGCCGCTTGTGTTGTGGCCGAAACGTCGTGAGAATATTATTGTTATTTTATCAATTTATTATTTTATTCTCATTCTACGTGACTTTACCGAAAGAACCAAAGAAGATCCACGCATTTGTTTTTCCTGGCTTGACTACTGAAATGCCCTGCTTTTTGGAACCCCGAGCAAGTTCCTAAACAGGCTGCAGTATGTTAAAAATGTGGCTGCCAAGTTAAGAACTGGTACAGACACCCTTTATCACATCACACCTGTGCTCCTGTCCCTTCACTGGCCCCGTCTGTCCCCGTGTTGATTTTAAGTTTCTCTCGCTGGTATTCAACGCCTTGAGTGGACTTGCACCTCCCTATTCATGACCGACAGCCACGAATATTCCATCAAGATCATTCCGGTCCTCGGATTGTGCATTGCTCACTGTCCCACGGTCTCGGCTTCACACATGGGGGTGAAGGCGCCTTTGCAATTGCGGCACCTCAACTCTAACTCGTTGCCCTTTGAGGTCAGGACTTCCAAGACACCGCAAATGTTCAAATCTCGACTAAAAATACATCCGTTTAAAACTTCTCACTTTCCTTGGTTGTTAAACTACTTCCAATTTTCCCTGCATAGCCCCCTGTGAACGGGTAAGGGGCGCTTTGAATTTTAATTTTTAAAAAAGTGCCGTGCCAATTTTGGTGAAACGCTTCCATGAAAAAGCTTTTCTTTTATAACGCTCCCAAGGCACGTCGATAATGCACATGGCGTCACAATCCTTCCACAAAACACTCAATTGCCAGAAGTGCAAACTCTCCTGGGCACTATTCAACCAGTGGACCACGCTTCTCAAAGTATGCTTGTCCTCAAAATGTTGTTGATGTTTTGTATTACTACTACACGTGTTTACCCAGGAAAGCCCCACTAAGTTTACGTGACTGCAATGATCCATACTCTTTAGTTCTTTCGGTAGTCACGTAGGTATAAAATAAAATAAAAAAAATCACATTTCGGAAGCAACAAAAGCTTCCGTAATCAGGTGGGACAGCCACAGCGAGAAACAAATTGCTGTAGTGGGCAAAAGAGCTGCTTTGTGACGAGATTATATAAGGTAAGAGGGGGGGTGTGGAGTGGATCTCTGCCAACTATGGAGCTCTGCCAACTGTGCGGTTAACGCTGCTGGTGCGACAATGGCATGGGGGGCGGGGGGTAGAAGGCTGAAGAAACTGGTATAAAAGCAAACTAACGCAATTAATTTTGCTTTCATACCCGCATCTCCATTTTCTTCAGCCTTCTACCCCCCCCCCCCCCCCCAGGCCCGCTCATTGCCCAGCTCCGGCATTGTGTCGCACCAGCAGTGTTAACTCCGCAGTTGGCAGAGCTCCACAGTTGGCAGAGCTCCACAGTTGGCAGAGCTCCACAGTTGGCAGAGCTCCACAGTTGGCAGAGCTCCACAGTTGGCAGAGCTCCACAGTTGGCAGAGCTCCACAGTTGGCAGAGCTCCCCCCACCCTCTCCATCTCTCCTCCCCCCCTCTTACCTTATATAATCTCTCGTCACAAACATTTTGCCCACTACAGCAATTTGTTTCTTGTTGTGGCTGTCCCACCTGATGACGGAAGCTTGTGTTGCTTCTGAAACGTCGTGATTTGATTTATTATTTTATTTTATACCGACGTGACTTTACCGTAAGAACTAAAGAGTAAGCCCCCACTGAGTTCACTTTTTCAGGAGGGTCGTGCTAAGTTTGTGCAGTCAGGGGGTAATGGTTGCTTTGGAGATTCCAATTGAATTATTTACGTGAAATTTTTCACACTGGTCAAGTTTGCGGACTATGATACCGGGTCAATAAAATGAGTACCACTGTGGGGAAGTGGACAGTTGGTTGTCCTATGGATCGATTCGCCCCCACCCAGAGGAATTGGGAATTTCCATCACGGACTAAAGAGCTGTTCACAGGATATGAGCACTGCCTCAATGCCCCATTTAAGCAAAAAAATCACCAACGTTCGCGATGGCCATTAATCGAACTTGGATTCCCAATTTCACGGTCCAATGCACTGAGCCACTGTGTGACTGCTCCACTTCAACGTTTCAGCGTTATATTCGGCAAAAGATCCTGCCATCAACTCCGAACAGCAAGTTACCCGCAGTCCTGTGCCACGTTCCAGTAATTACTTAAAACACATTTAACCCCCAACTACCAAACAATGCAGTGACAAACTAGCTGCGTGTTGCGCGTGGAATGTTAAAGAAGAGATGGAAACAGCATTTTGAATATTTGTAGTTTATTTAACGACTTTAAAAATAACGTTTCGTACCATGACCGTTGTGGAATGATCACCTTAAAAACACGCACGTGTGGACAAAACTCATCGCGCGCCGAGTTTAGCCACGCACCTGCCACAACAACACTGCAAGGGCAGCACGACTGCTGCTGCCACGAATACCGAGGGATTCAAACACTTTGAATCAATAGCGGAGCCAGGATTTTCAGGTCGGGGGGTTGGGGGCAACCCCTCCAGCAATGAAAAATGATAGTTGTTAGTAAGGACTTGTCCCTTGCTTTTTATTCGACGCGTGTGCGGCGATGGCGCAGCCCATCGATCGAGGGTCCAATTCGAACCGCGTTGTGTGATCGGCATCGCGCTCGCTGAAGGTGATGATGCCTTCAGGGAAGTCGTGGACTGTATAAGCAACCGCGCACAATTCTGAGTCACTTATAACTGCTTTGCCGTTACTTATTGCCAATTATGGACTCAGACTATTGTCCTATCATCTCATAGAGTCCCTGGCATATGCTGCACAGTGGCAGTGGGGGTCGTAAAATGCCGATTTATTACAAAACCCCAATGATCCGATCGAAATTAGGGATTTCGATCGGATCATTGGGGAGGCACGTGCCACCCCCCACCCACTGGCTCCGCCAGTGCTGTGAATCGGCGAATTAGCACCTATTATTATCACTGTCTTACCAATTGAACACACCACACGTACGTTAGGCAAAGAACAGTTTAAAAATGCTTAAGAGCAGGGGTTTGATTTTAGAAAAAACTGCTACATTCAATGATAAAAGTCGTGAAATGGAGCAAGTTCTCTTATTGTTCATATCAAATCCAATAATGCCATCGGCGTCACTCCACGAGACGAGCGAATTTCCATTCGCAGAATGCACTGCACCACCTTGTGTACGAGTGGCCGCGGAAGATGTTAGATCTGCTTTGGAAGGCCATTGAACACTTTTTTTTTAAAACTGACAATAAGGATCCACCTTAAATATTCCCTGCAAAGAGTTTTCATCGTATGGCAGTAAAACAAAACAAATTTTGTTTCTCAGGGCTGGAATATGCGTCGCTACAAAGTCAAAAAGTGTGTGTTTTTTTAGGCCCAGCTTTTGTGTGACTAGGCTGAAAACATCCAACTCGCTATACTTGTGAATCCAATTTTAAAAAGAACAGCTAAACCCCAGATTGGGAACCTGGGTCACAGCAGAGCTAGCTCAACGCTCTGAAGTGGTGTTCATGTCTCGAGTCACCCGATTTCTGCAAGTTTTGTGAGTGAATTGTAGTCGTGTTCTGGCATAGTCTGCACCCATTCCACACATTAACATAAGGCTCTGAAAACCTCTCTTCACTCCATCAAAATCACATCAAACAGAAGTTACTTAAGCTTAGTGCATTTTAAAAATGTAATACTAATTATAAACTCACAAGTGCCTGGTTGTAATAATGGATCGGCTGTATGTTTGGCAATATGCTGCATTTATTAAATTTGCTCTTGTGTGCAGCATTCAGTTGATAAATTACACTACTTAAAACATCTTGTTACAATCATTCAAATATTGGCATCTTACAAACTGCACACGAGGACATTTGCAGTGATTTTACCTATTCTTTGGGTCTTTCGGTAAAATCACGGAGATAGGGTGAAAGAAAATTACAAAAAAACGACCCATCGACGTGACTTTACCGAAAGAACCAAAGAATATGAATTCCTGCAGTCACGAAAGCTTCAAGTCATAATTTACCTCGTTTCTACATGCGAACCATGTTCTTGAACAGCATCATTTCAGCTCGCTGCAGAAGGGTTCTGGGAACGTGTACGCTTGGAATAATAATGCTCAATCCACTGCTGGATGAAGGCCTGAACCCACTGCCATATCATCATCCTTCAGATGTAATTTAACATCCTGAAATGTATTTATAACTTATGTAAATCTTAATAATCGGTTCAGTGAGGTCCATACGAACAAAGGTATTTTTTATCGATTAGTATGGATGGAACACCATAGTCAAAGTAAATGAGATTCAGTGTTCTACAATGCACAACACAGCAGCATGAGTGACAATGTACTTAATCCATCACAACTATAGAGAACGCCTGTTGTGAACAGAAAACTGCATCGGGCAATGCGTCATTAAATGCTGCCGAGTACAAACGCAACAGGACAAAGTACTTTTATAGAAATGTAAAATCGTATGTAAGCAGAACTCTGTTCTGCCTCCACACAACAAAATTAAAATTGGTTTTAGTCCAGCAGCCTACTAGCTTTCTCAACAAATATCCAGCAGCATTTGTTCAAGCAAACAAACTGGACCAGTTTCTACTATTTTATTTAAATGAAGAGGCAACATGCAGTTCTGCTTAAATATGCTTTTTACCCATAATGCTCCACAACGTGTAACGAGTTTGCAGAAAAGCGCAATCATTTTGTAGTCTCAGGCTGTCCAACTTGGGTTTCAAGCATACTCGGGAAAGTCCTATTAATGTTGCAGATACATTGCACAATTACCGCACCGCCTTGCTGTCACCGCTGGATTGTTTTGATGCCAGTGCAGTCTATGGGGCACTTTGGTAAGGGGAGTGCGCTGTGGTTTTAAATCCTTCAAGCAATGAAACCTCAATCTCATGTCGGCCAGCCGAGGAAGGCAGTCTAGGTGCATAGCTATGAGAGCTGCTCATTTGATGAACTGGATCTCTAAAGAAACATTTTTATATGCCTTCGGGATGCCGGTCAAGGTTATTTCACATCTGAGTGACATTTACTTGCGACGGAACTAAACGTGGTAATCTTCGCCTGCATCGTGGAGTCGCCAGCGTCAGAGTGACACGACGCTTACGATGCAGCGTTTAATCCGCACGTGAACAGAGCGACACTACTGCTCAACGACAGATCCAGCGATCTTCGAACTGCTTTGTCTTTAGTTTGTTGTCCTTCCGCCGCACCTCCGATCAGCGCAATTGGCCACGTGCGGTGTGTCAACGCAGTGCAACATATACACAGAGCGTTTTACATATGCCAAGTGACTTGCATCTCTATCTCAACACGTTTAAAAGTGCACCCCCCCTCCCCCCCCCAGTAGCCACTGTTCCTTTGTGGCACAAGGTGACTCGGGCACCTGGTCTGCAAGCGGGCAGTAGTCTACCAGTCAGGGGTAACGATTGCTGCTGTGCATAATCCCAATTTGGGTAACGTTAGCTTTCTTTGTCGTATTATCAACGATTTACAGGTCAACGAGGTGACTTGATCACTCGAGTTAATGTACGGCCCCGTTTTGCCAATCTGCTGCTCTGTGATTGCCTCCCCCACAACTCGTCGATTGTGAAGGCTGTTTGACTGTACTTCACCACACTTGTCAGTGCGGGTTGGCAAACGTTGGAGTGGGTGCACAACAATGGATTTTTCTGCACTGCCCCCCCCACTACCCACAATGCCTCCTTCCCCAAAGTCTTTTGCACATGGCGGATCGCCCATCCAAGCGCTATCCAGGCTCAAATCCTGTTTTAGCTTCTGAGATCTTAGGGAAACGGATGCACTCATTTACGTGTTAACGCTGTTGTGCCAACTAAGAGTGTGGATTGCTTCGTACGTCCATACAAGAAAAGGCCATAGCACAAACCCGAGCCTTAAGCCAGCAGTCTCCTCTTCAAAGATGTTACATTTTTCTCTGCACACCTTCCATCTGGAACAAACGTCATCAACAGGCAGGCAGTCTTACAAGTTTCGATTTAAAGCTTTCGTGACTGCAGGGATTCATCTTCTTGGTTCTTTCGGTAAAGTCACGTAGAATGGAAATAAAATATTTTATTAAAGTCACGTAGAATGGAAATAAAATATAAATAAAATATTTTATTTCCATTCTACGTCATGTAGAATGGAAATAAAATATTTTATTAATAAAATATTTTATTTCCATTCTACGTGACTTTACGGAAAGAACCAAGATAAATCCCTGCAGTCACGAAAGCTTTAAATCGAAATTTAACCGCCTCTACGGGGAGGGATTCCACATAACCTTGAGATCCTTCAACAAACTCCGGGATAAGAAGGCTCAGCTAATCGAGTCTTACAAGTGTCGCTCTCCAACTCAAATTTAAATCACTGTTGCCAGTCGACTTTGCAGAGCACCGTGTAATGATATGTGTAATGATGTGTGGAAGTTCGTAAATTACGCTGGGAGTTGGAAGCAGTCGCCCTCCAGCAACAAAGGAGGCTAGAGAAACGATGCTCACGACAACAAGCGGAGCTTAGGGCGTCTAAAATGCAGTTCGCACAGCGGGGAGCACAGTTGGTGCATCTGCCAGCCATCTTCGTCAACCCACGGTACCTGGGTCTGTTCCGTGACCTCCTGCCTGCCGGCTTTACATACTTCACGTGGCCTCAAAGTGCACCTAGCATGGCACAAGCGCTGTGGTGACGTCACCGCCGCTTAGTGGTGAATGGAGATTGTTGTCGCAAAGTATAAGAGTTAGCAAGCGCCCTCTGCAATGGCACCATAACATCTACCAGGTTTCGTTGCTGTAGTGCGAAGCTGATCAAGGCGAACTCGCATACAAACATTTCGCCCGCCCCGTCAACTTTATCCGTGTGAGCGGCGTGCAGAGAATACTGCAGTCCCTTGAAATGAAGGATTTGTGAGCACCACAGTGCATGACGTAGACACTGAAAAAGGATGCAGCAACCAATCAATAGCCCTAATAATTCCATCCCCGACCCTATCACCCCCCTTTTTTCCCATACACGCATGCACCCACAATCACATCCTTCTGCAATACTGAATCCACAGGTGACCGGTTCGATCTCCCGGCGTGGCAGTTGAAGGAATCGGCGCATTTCTTAAATCCGCCTCCTGTGAACCCGGGAGTATAATATGGGTACACCAGTTAGTCGACCGGCAGGTCACGTGTGGTGGGTTAAAGTGTGGGTACTCCCACCTCTCCTCCAAGACGTCCGGATGGCGTGAGAGTACGCCAAAAAAATACTCTAAAAGCACTCTCGCTGGAGCTCCCTCTAGTGGCGGCCTTTTGGCAGCAGCAACACGAGCAAACACTTGCAACGGCTGCACCTCTACCACGTGCCGTGAACCCTGAAGCCAATATCGTTGAACGGCAGCGGCTGTATATAGCGGAGCAGCAGCAGCCCCGCTCCCGCCGCCGCCGCCGCTGTCTTCGCGGTCGTACACGTGGACTAACTGCCGTCGTCGTGGCGTGGGGGTTTCGCCGAGGCGGCGCCGGGCGCGCTCCTCCGCCGCAGCTGCTGAATGTGGGGCCCCACGCGCAGCTCCATGCGGTGGCGCTCGCCGGGGCCCGCGCGGCGCAGCGCGGCGCGGAACCTCCCACTCACGTCGTCGGCGCGGGCCCAGGCGGCGCGCGCCGCCGCCGCGCTCCCGCACAGCTCCTGGCGCCGCCGGAGAGACGCGAGCGCGCCACCCTTGTTAGTCAGCGCACCGCCACTCAACACCAGGCACGTGTCGTGTAATTATAATAGTTGCGATTTATTTGATAGGCCCATCCTGCTTCGTGGCGGGGACATCTCATTTCTTTTAGAACTGCTTTTTTGTATTTAGTTTGTTGTCCTTCCGCCGATTCGTGCGGTTGGCCACGCACGGTGGGAAAGAAGTTCAACATAGAGCGCTTTACATACGCTAAGTGACTTGCATCTCTATCTCGACAAGTTTGAAAGGGCATCCCCCCTCCCCTTTTCCCCAGTGGCCGCTGTCCCTTTGTGGCACAAGGTGACTCGGAACCCGGTCTGCAAGCAGGCAGTAGTCTACTAGTCAGGGGCAATGATTGCTGCTATGCGTAATGCAAATTTGGGTAACGCAAAGCGAGTTTCTTTTTGTATGACAATTGCAAAGGCCCAAAATGACAACCGGCGAGCAACAAACAGTTAAAGTGGTAATCTATACAGTTGCGGTAGTATCTGGTCACTCATGTTAAAAGCTTCACCTTGGATGCAGTTACCACCGCAACTATATCTGGCAACAAAGGAACGTTCGCGCATTCGACCTGACGAGCGATGGGAATCAGACAGTGGAAACCGGTCCACAGTTTTGCTGGCTAAACAAATTCTTTAAAACATCCACTATCGCGGTTTGGATTTAGATCGACTATCTAAACATTTACCCGAGTTGCCTGCCTCTCGGTAAAATGTGTGAAAGACCCAACAGGGAAGCGCATGATCGTATTCTCGTGAAACAATGCACATGCCAGCTATGTTGGATCAGTGACCACCAATTAGAACAGTTTAGAACAGTTTATTTAGAATTGCCCTGTGAGCTAAGAAGCTCTTGAATCGGGTTTCATCAACAAAACCAAAAAAACTGTCAAATTAATAACACGTTTGCAACAGGTCGCATAAAAATTATAAATACAATACGTACAGCAATGAAAAAAGTCAATTTATAAAATGTACAATATATTACTTCATTATAAACCCTGGTTGCCATAGACAGCTGTGGGGCTGTGATTCTTTGTGGGCACCAGGGGATAGTGAAGCAACATACAAAAATGGTCTACCGGTAGTCTATCAAAAGTGGATCCAGATAATACTGTAAACACGCACTCATTTGGGAAAACACGCTTGTCAGCAGTCAACTTGTCAAGGCTTTTTCTCGACCTCACGTCAATCACTAGTGACAGCAAATTCCCAATATCAATCTATACTATTTGTTATTTTACCAGGTAAGGCCCACTGAGCTATGTAGCTCCTTTGCACAAGTCACCTGGGAGAGCATTGACAAAGGAGCCGTGCATGTGTTTATGATCTAGTTGAGGTTGCTTTGTACCGCCTCTGCAGGTTATTGTAGCTCAGTAGGTTAAAAACGTGAATTTCCACAAATCTTTGCAGATTTATTGATATAACTCAAACTACATTTAAAACTAAACTATTTAGTTTTTTTTATTTTACCAGGTAAGGCCCACAGAGCTACACAGCTCTTTTTCAGCAGTGACCTGGCCGCAAGTGATAGCTCAACAAAGTGTGGCATCTCATGTGGAAGTTTACAGCTGCCAAATAACTTAAAACTTAATCTTGACCGCCGATCCTCAGCGTCTAGCGACATCCTGTTTGTGATCAAACTCCCATTTTTAAAAATCAGAAAATACACTACACACCTTGAGATAACGTAGCATTTTCACACTACGTTAACATAAACGTCTGGAATAAGCAACTTTAAAAGCAGGTGCGTACGGGGAAGGGCGGAGGGTTTGAGATTGTGACAATGGATATTTTGGCAGTAAATGACGGCTATGCGGATATATTTAAGCAGCAAACCGGGGTACGTTTTGCCAAACTCGTGTGTCCAGTTTCACTCCCCACCCCAGACCTACGCCTGATGCAAGAACTGGAAATGCAGCCGTGACACCATCAGCGCCATGAAAGCACCATGTGCAGCCTGCCAAAAAAAACTGACTGACCAACTGCTCAGAAATGCTTGTGTACACGTGTGGCGTAGATGTTATCTCGCCCGGTATACAGCACGTCGTGGGTTCGATCCCGATCCTAACTCCTGTATATGTGGGGTTTGTGTGTTTTCTTTCTCGATGTGGTCGCGTGGATTTATTTCTCCGGGTCCTCCGCTTAATTCCCTCCAGACTTAGAAACATGCGTTTAGAGTTGATTTGAAGCTTTCGTGACTGCAGGAATCCATACTCTTTGGTTCTTTGGGTAAAGTCACGTAAGGTATAAAATAAAATACGACGTTTCGGGCGCACACACAAGCGTCCTGATGACGGACGCTTGTGTTGCGCCCGAAACGTGATTTATTTAATTTTATACCTACGTTACTTTACCGAAAGAACCAAAGAGTATGTTTGAATTGATTACTTCCGCCACGTGGGGGCGCCTGAGACACGTGGTGGCGAGGCGTTTTTTTACCGACCCAAATAAATATTGAATTAATAAGCCGCCCATACAAAATGTTAATTGCTTTAAAAGAGCCAATTCGTTGATTAATTGATGCCGATTTTTATACAGGCACGCATTGTCACCGCATCTGAGTACGTGTGGAAAATTTTGGAATTAACTGGACAACAGGAAGTAGACAAAATTTTTATGACAAGATTTGACCACGACACACAGAGTCAAGTGAAGTAAAACCCGTTGATGAACAAAATAGTTTAGTTTACCTCGCCTGGTTATTTGGTCACTTTCTGTACGGCCACGTCCCGGCCAAGCAAGCAGTGAAGTGTGGTTACCACGATAAGGTTTCTTCAGAATTAAACAACTATTATAGCTTCATTTTGGCGATTTCGAAAACGTTTTGGTTTAGCCATATTTGTTTGTTGTAGTACAGAGTTAGACTGATAACTTTAATCTAAATTGTCCTATGGTTGTTATTGTTTGACTTGCATCCCACTGGGATTTTTGTTACACAGCGTTGGTATACGGTGGCTTTTTCTGGAAGACTTTGCAGTTTTTTTCCCTGGATTTTTCTGTTTTGCGCGTCGTCACTTTAAGACGTTTTCCTTGTTCATGTTTTTGTTTGTTGCGGTTGCACCCGATTCAAGAGCCGAATGGCTCACAGGGCTACATACCTAATAAAAGAAATGAACTTAAATATGTGTAACTGTAAACGGCTGTATCTCGCTTATCACGATCCGCTGCACCCCCCTCTGCTGCAAGAGTCAAACGTGCCGGGAGTGGGGAAGGATATCGCGATAGGAGATGGGGAGCGGTGGGCGAGTTCAGCTCGCGTGCAAGGAGGAGCCGGGTGGGTTGATAACCATCGCAAGAAGGGAGGCCTTCATCCAGCAGCGGATCGACCTTGACGATAAAGCATTACTATTCGTGACTATTTTTTTTGTTCAGATTAGGACCACTTGAACTATGTAGCTCTTTTTTCAGAAGCGACCTGACCGCAAATGATAGCTCTGTATCACCTCTTGTGTGTTCAGAGATGATATAAACCACTTGAACTATGTAGCTCTTTTTTCAGAAGCGACCTGACCGCAAATGATAGCTCTGTATCACCTCTTGTGTGCTCAGAGATGATATAAACTCTGAACACACAGAGATGATACAGAGCTATCATTTGCGGTCAGGTCGCTTCTGAAAAAGAGCTACATAGTTCAAGTGTTCAGAGTTTATATCTGAACACACCGCAGGCGCCAAGGGTCTGCATGAACTCAAGACGTCCTTACTCTTTTGATGCTTTCTCGTCTGATGACGGACGCTTGTGTTGCGCCCGAAACGTCGTGATTTATTTTCTACCTACGTGACTTTACCGAAAGAACCAAAGAGTATGGATTCCTGCAGTCACAAAAGCTTCAAATGAAGACCAAGACGTCCTGTATACAGGGCGAGGTTAGCGATCACCTCCGCGCCCAACAAAACTCACCGCCTCCTCCACGTGCCTCTTCACCTCGGCGATCTCGTCCAGAAGCGAGTCGACGTCTCCTCCACAGCGTCCACGGCAGCCGCCAGCGACACCTCCACCACCACCTCCACCACCGCCGCCGAGTCTCAGCGCGAGGCCCGGCAGGAGGAGCAGCCGCGTGGCCGCGCCGACCCCGACCCCTCCTCCCTCTCGGGCCGCGCCAGCCGAGGAGGCCCGAGGCAGGCGAAGAGACAAGGCGAGGCGGGGGGCCCGAGCGCGGTCGCCGTGAGGCCGCAGCGAGAGCGACAGCGAGAAGGAGGAGAGGTACGAGCAGAGCGACGAGGTGGACGAGGCGGCCGAGGTGGACGTCGAAGGGGCCGAGTCTCCACTTCGCTTGCGGGGCGGACGAGGAGGACGGAGCAGGCGGCAGCGGAGCAGCGCCGAAGCGGCGGCGGGCGACGGCACGGACGCCATCGGCGAGGGGAAAGAGGCGAATCCGATTGCTGGGGGGAGACGCCTTGGCTGGGCGGGACGATTCCACCGCCGATGGAATCTCTCTTGTCGTGAGGAGCCCACGGCAGCACGCCGATCGATGCTTTCGCTTTGTTGCAAGGCCCGCGGGCCCCTGGAGGCCACCTTGAAGTGTGGGACCACCACCACCCCCCACCACCATCCACCACCCCCCACCACTGTGGTGCTAACGTTAAAAAAATCGCCACTTTTTTCAAATTTTCTTGCTGTGGGTTTCACACCTGATGATAATTGCTTATGTTGCAGTCGAAACGTCGTGATAATTTTATTGTTTTATATTTGTATTATTTTATTGTTTCCCTTCTACGTGGCTTTACCGAAAGAACCAAGAATATGAATCCCTGCAGTCACGAAAGCTTTAAATCAAAATCACTGAATAACTTCTATAACAACACTGAATTATTTCTACAACACGGAATAACTTCTGTAATAACACTGAATAACTTTTACAACAACACTGAATAACTTTTATAATATCACTGAATAAGTTCTGTAACAACATTGAATGACAAATAGATTATTTTAATCTAATCGTGCCATGAAAGACGATAATCGAATCGGTAAAGTCACGTAGGTATAAAATAAAATAGAAAGAACCAAAGAGTATTGATCCCTGCAGTCACGCAAACTTCAAATCTAGATTGATAATCGAATCGCAGAGAGTGGGGGGGGGCTGGCTGCTGATTGGCTCCGAGCGTTCGGCGCTCTCATTGGCTGAGTGAACGTAAACAAAGATGGCGGTGGGTGTGGGGTGCGACAGGGATGTCCTCTGGCTCCCACATTATTTAACATCTGTTTTGACCACGTAGTTCGTGCAGCCTTCAATAGCTGTACCGGGGGAATCTCCATTTGGTACAGATATAATGGGAGGCTGATCGATGCCCGGGTGCGGTCAAGGGATGGCTCGCTATTGCTCAACCACGTGATGTATGCCGATGATTTGGTAATAGCTGCTCAGTCAGAGGAGGAGTTGGAGACACTGCTGCTGAGACTGGAGTGTGCCAAGAAGAGATGGGGCCTTACCATCAACCCCACCAAAACTAAGCACCTGCCTGGGTATTTTGTACCATCGGACACTCCACCCCCACAACTCCCAATCAGTGATGGGGCAGTTGTGTAGCGAGTGGAGAGTTTCCCATACCTGGGCAGTGTGCTTATGACCGGCTCCAGTTTAACAGCAGAGGTCTCACTCCGAATCAGTCGAGCGGCAATATATTTTCATCAATTGCGTAACACTGTGTGGAAGCTACCTGGTCTGTCACGCCGCACTAAGCTTCAGGTCTTCTCGGCCATGGTCATTCCCTCCCTTCTCTACGCTTGCGAAACGTGGACCCCCTTAATGGAACATCTTCGCCGGTTGGAAACATTTAGGCTAGCCTGCCTACGATCCATCCTGGGTTTAACCAGGCTGGATTGTGTGAGCTCACAAATCCTTGAAAGATCTGGGCAAGGTCCCATCGGTGAGCTCCGGCAGGCAAGGCTGCGTTGGCTGGATCATGTAGCCCGCATGCCCAGCCACCGCACGCCGAAACAGCTTTTGTTCGGCCGGATCGAGGGGGCTAAACGGGCGGGGCACGGGCTAGAGAAGAGATGGAGTGATGTGGTACAGGAGGACGTGGAGCTGAGTGGACTTGCCGATGACTGGTACCAGCGGAATCAAGATCGGCCTCTGTGGAGGAGGCTCGTGAAGGACGCTACTGGGCAGTTGGAGGCAGTCGCCCTTCAACAACAACGGAGGGCGGAGGAGCGATGCTCACAACAACGAGCGGGGCTCCGGGTGGCTACAGCACAGCGGGTTGGCACAGCAGGGGGCACAGGTGGTGCATCAGCCAATCGTCTCAGTCGACCTGTGGCACCTGGGTCTGCCCCGTGACCTCCTGCCAGCGGACGTTCGACAGTGGCCTCAAGGTGCACATGACCTGGCACAAGTGTCGTGGTGACGTCACCGCCACGTAGTGGCGAATGGCGGTTGTTGTGGCTGCGCTGCTGCGTTTTTTTACTATTAACTCACTTGTATCCTCAAATCTTGCAACTCAATTTTAACCCACTTCCCAATGTGGTATCGACTGCAAACTTGGTATACTTATGTCATACTGATGACAATACTATATTCTATCATAAAAAACATTTTAAAACATTATTTTTTGAGATGTTATGTTATGGCTTGGCTCTAATTGTCCACGGTCAACTGACGTTGGCTGTAAATCACCACGGTCTCTTACGTTGTGGCAAGCTTCGGGGCCACTTCCTGGAGTCGTGGAGTTCTAACATTACTAGTACGGTACATTTCATTAAAGCGTGTTTAAAAAAAAGTTTTAAAAAATATTACTTATTCTTGCTCGTGTAAGCTGTTTTCATACAGCGCAGCACACTAGGATATGTTTGGATTTTTTTTATATTTACATACATTTTTATTTATACAAATTTTCGTTAAAATATTCTCCCTTGACAAAGCGCAATAACGAATCGGCGTTCTACTCGGGTCGTTCTAAGCGAGGTCTGCCTGTTAATTGCGTGGCGAATTTTCGAATTTCGCCAAATGTTGGACCTCCATGTAGATCAGTTGGGCTCCCAAACTCATTTGGCTGTAAGATAACCAGGTGGTGGCAGTACACTGAGCGTGTTCATGCACCTATCTTTGTGGACCTTTCAGTGTCAGGGGTTCATATGTTTGAGATGTCTCTAGCTAATCCACTTTTGTCCAAAATCCAAGGCAAAATTGGCAAGGCTTTCTCAAATAAATAATATACATCATGAGCTCATAATGTTATATGTGGGGTTTGTTCATTTTTCAAATGAAACATGCCAATGCCATGAATCACCATCGTCAGCCATGGTCAATCCACTGCTGGATGAGGTTCTGCCGCCGTTGCTATCTCTTACTATCCTGCGACGTAGCGATCCTCCTGGCACATGAGCTGATTCATTGCTCCATCTCCACAGTAGGTTAAACCTTTTGCGTAAATTTCCTTCCATAGCTGCCACCCCAAAATTAGTCTCATCCATCGTCCATCATTTTTCCTGTTCCTGCATATGGCAATATGTTCAGGAGCTAAATGGCATTTATCGAGGTCTGCACGCCATGAGGGATTCAGGAGAGAGTTCGTGTAGATATTCCTATGCTACTGGAGCACAGATACAGAGTGGTTTACTATATGGTCCATAGTATGGACTGCATGGCCACAATCGCACCGTTGTTTGTCTTTAATGTTACATTTATAGGCTTGTTGATGTTCCGTGGTTGATGGTCCCAGCAGTGTTGATGGTTCCAGCAGTGTCTTCAAGGAATGTCAGAGCCAGCAGGTGCGATGTTTGGATTTCAATTGTGTTTATTCTGGACATCATCTTCTCAAGAGAAGTGTCATGCCCAATCCCACTGACTTTTCACGAGTCAGAATTAGGTCTCTAACCTGCATATATTCTGTACTCCACGTGTTTCTCTTTCTGTCTCAATAAAATTCCAAGCATGCATTTCAACAGAGAATGTGCAAGGAAAGCACGGACTCGTTTGTTAAAGCCACACTCGCCTCTCCTGAGGCATAGTGCAGCAAAATCCATTGTTGTACTGCCCTTCTATGTTCCCGAATTTGGGCTCAATGCCTTTGGTCAAATATCCCTCATGGCCTGTGAGGCGTCGGATCAAGGCCCTCATCCAGCAGTGACTGATACAAATATTTACATTTAAATTTGGGGCATCATCAGGACCCCTGTCGCCTGTATATTTGGAGTTTTCACGTTCTGCCCGTGGTCACATGGATTTTTCTCCGGGTCCTCCGGTTTTTCCCTCCACATTTAGAAACCTTGTTTGGCTGGTGTACTATTCCACATTATAAACTACTTTTTTGAGCGATCATCTGTGGCCAGGTCGCTTCTTAAAAATGGCTTTATAGCTTCAAGGGGGATTTTTGATTTAAAGCTTTCGTGACTGCAGGGATTCATATTATTGGTTCTTTCGGTAAAGTCACGAAGAAGAGAAACAATCAAATAATAAAAATATAAAACAATAAACTTCTCACGACGTTTCGACTGCAACACAAGCAATCATCAGGTGTGAAAACCACAGCAAGAAAATAAAAAAAACATTCTTGCTGTGGTTTTCACACCTGATGATGATTGCTTGTGTTGCAGTCGAAACGTCGTGAAAATTTTATTGTTTTATATTTTTATTATTGTTTCCCTTCTACGTGACTTTACTGAAAGAACCAATAATATTAGCTTCAAAGGACTTTGCCTGGTAAAATAAAAAATGTGTTTAGTTTTAAATTTATTTTGATTGATATCAAGATATCTGCAAAAAAATTATTGACCTGTAGATCATGGACACGTGCACAGCTCTTTTGTCAATCCACTGCAGGATGAGGGCCTCTGCACATTGAACTTAAGATGGCCACCGGCTCAGCATGCGTGGCGTCACTCGGCCGCCGCGTCGACACTAATGACGTCATCCCGACAGACGTATGACGTTGATCGAGGCGCAATGTATTATATGACGTCAACACAAACCGTTCGACTTGGGCCAGAGCATGGATCCTCGCGCGGGTAAGGATGGAACCGGGGTCGTCTCGTTACCTCAGGTTATCACCTCGTTACCACAGGTTATCACCTCGTTACCTCAGGTTATCACCTCGTTACCACGAGTTATCACCTCGTTACCTCAGGTTATCACCTCGTTACCACGATTTGTTACCTTGGGGTATAACCACGTTACCGCGGGATGGTACCTCGTTACCTCAGGTTATCACCTCGTTACCTCGGGTTATCACCTCGTTACCGCGAGTTGTTACCTTGGGATATCACCACGTTACCGCGGGATTGTACCTCGTTACCGCGGGGTATCACCTCTTTACCACGAGTTGTTACCACGAAGTATCACCTCGTTACTGCGGGATTACCTCGTTACCGAGCGGTTAACTCGCTTGTCACCAGGGGCCATTACCTTGCGTTACCTCATTGCCGGGATTTTCTCATCCTATAATATGGTTACCCCTTTTTGCCAGAGGTTACCTTCATAGCCACGGTTACCCGCACGATGAGAACGCGTGAGTAGTGTTACCATGCGTGCCGTCTTTGTGGCGGTCATACGAAAACCCGTACTTTTAAACTTTTGGCAAGATGTGATTAACCATGTTAAACTTCAACTGCTACTCTCCCCCCCATCCGCGGCTCCGATGTTTTTAAGGATACTCCGACTGATGCTCCTGTTGTTGTGAAGTGACTCATGCAGCCAGCTATGGCTCTAGGGTTTGGTGTTACATGTTATTCATAATAAAGGTTTTTGGGTCAGATCGCGTTTATTTATAAATGTGTCGTAACCCTCCACCAGCCGACACGGCCAATCAGCAAAAAAAGTGTCACGTTGACAAAAAGACAAATAAATAGTTCACTACTTTAGCCCACCGGTGTGTTGAAGAGTGAGGCAATTGCCCGATGATGCTGGATGTATTTACCAGCGAAACGTCGTCCTCAAACTGTAAATGTGAATTCACTCTTCAACACACCGATGGGCTAAAGTAGTGAATTATTGGTCTCTTTGTCAACGTGACACTTTTTTTTGCTGATTGGCCGTGTTGGGTGGTGGAGGGTTACGACACATTTATAAATAAACGCGATCTAACCCAAAAACCTTTATTATGAATAATATTGGTCGCGAAAGCCTACATGTGTTACATATTGTTTGTCGTTTATTGTGAAAATTCGGTCACAGTTCCAAAGATCACTGTTACATTGCTTGTATGGCTTTATTTTGGTGATGTCGAAAACGTGTTTTGGTTTGGCCATGTTTGTTGTAGTACGGAGTTTGACTGATGGCCTTAATCTAAGTTGTCTTGTGGTTGTTGTTTGACTTGCATCCCACTGGGATTTTTGCACACAGCGTTGGTGTACGGTGCTTTTTCAGGAATATTTTAGCTGTTTTTTCCTGGATTTTCTGTTTGCACAGTCAACACAAAGTCACTTTAAGATGTTTTCTTGTTCATGTTTTTGTTTGTTGCGGTTGCACCCGATTCAAGAGCCGAATGGCTCACAGGGCTATACCAAAATAAATTAAAAACTGAAAGCTTCACCCCCCCCGCCATCCTGGCTCCTCCCCCTCCTCTTACCCTATTAACAGTCTGTCATATTACTCATTGGTTTTTTCGGTAAAGTCACGAATGTAGAAATACAATAAAATTATATTAAAATAAAAAAACAATCACGACGTTTCGATCACAACGCAAGCGATCTTCATCAGGTGTCAAGAACAAATCACGGAGGTAAATAAAAAAGATGAGAGACGAGAAATTCAACAAACCTGAAAAAAACATTCTAGATTTGAAGCTTTCGTGACTGCAAGGATCCATACTCTTTAGTTCTATTCGGTAAAGTCACGTAGGTAAAAAATAAAACAACAAAAATCACGACGTTTCGGCCACTACACAAGCGGCCCCCAAAAACCAATGAGTAATTTTATGCAGTCACGAAAGCTGTAATACTTTATTATAGTCTGTCATATTATTGGTTCTTTCGGTAAAGTCACGTAGAAGGGAAACAATAAAATAATAAAAATATAAAACAATAAAATTCTCACGATGTTTCGACTGCAACACAAGCAATCGTCATCAGGTGTGGAAACCACAGCAAGAAAATTTGAAAAACGTGGCGGGTTTTTTTTTACGTTAAAAACAGCCACTTTTTTCAAATTCTGCGCATAATTACATAAATTAGCATATTTCGGACAATCACGCATCTTTCCAAATTTCATTTAATTTTTATTATTTTCATAAAAATTTTCATACACAGCATATACAACAGATGGGTGACCACCATGTAAATCACAGGTGTTGTAGGCAGGCCAGAGGCTGGGCTTCATTGCTTCTGGAAAATGAAAACTGGTCAGCCTTGTGAGCCCAAATTTATAGGAAATTATTACTAAAAGGCTGAATGAGTTGATCGGTTTTAATTTAAACTCTTTATATTTTAAATATATCAGCAGGCAGGGCCCATTGAGTTTCTAGGCTCTATGTCATGGGCATCCTGCAGTTGTACAGATCCTATAGAGTACAAATATTAGTGACAAGCATGGTTGCATAGGTCAATACAAAACAAACATGACTACATTACAAACAAAAATAGAACAAAAATAAATGTCATTTGACAAAGCAAACAATCAATTTCAGTGGAAGATTTCATCCCGTTTGTGTTAACAATCCACGTCTTCCAAATATGTTTTGCAGTTATATTAAGCAGACTAGCTCGGTGACAATTGTTCTCATTGTGAACATAACTATGATGTCCCTCTTTGCAGATCAATAATTATCATATGAAAGGTCATCGCAGAGAGGGTAAGTCAACAAGAAAGTTTGTATTCCATTTAGAATCAACGTAAGTTTAGAGTATTTGGCTGCTATACATTTCCACGTGATAAGCCGCTAGATTGAGCTTTCATTTGTGGCGATGTCGCTTGGAAAAAAACGCTATATAGCTGAGTGGGCCTTAGCTGGTATAATAAGAAATAGTTTAGTATTCGCAATCACTTAATCAATGCGTGTAGTTTTCCGAGTTAAGCCGCGTGTCGAGCATTCTCGTCCCAAGCTTTTACCACCCAAATTCTAATATCCATGGTGTCAAGGAAATTTGCTGTTCTGTAATGTTCATAAACTGGCATATATGGTTCGTAAAAATGCTGTTAACCGGAAGTCTTCTGAGGGCTTCAGGAAGCGGGGGGTTTAATTCATGCACACGGCACTTTTCGTCTTCACGATTTGTCTGCAGTTCTGCCGTGCTTTGGCTTGCGTCGGCCCTGAATCAGGATTTGAATTCTCAACCTTCCGGTTTCGAGCTGCTTGCTCTACCAATTAGCCACCCTACCCAACCACTACATTAAACAATTGGTAATTTGAAAAGGTTGTGTTCATGCATTAGCCAACAAACGGATGACGTATGATGTTGAAATTGTACTTTTGAAACAATAATGAAAATGTAACTGGCGCCTTTCAGGTTTGACTTTTACGAGAAATCGAACTTTGGACGTGGACCTGACAACCTAGACTACAATGAAATGGGATCGCGTGACTGGCACGGCCGAGAAATGGGTCGCCCTGACCGGAGGAGATACGATTCATCCTCGGGCCAGCATCACCATCCACGCGGACTGAGGCGTAACTACGGTGGCAACTATGATGCACCAATGCAAGAATTCAAGCACGAGCATGGACAATCCCACGTGGCAGAAGATGTTGGATGGCCCTCTGATGCGCAGGGCTATAGAGGAACAGCCTTTAGGCATGATAATTGGCGACGAGCCGGTGGGCCCTCCTCTGCAGATCCAGGCTATGCACCTGGCTTGGACAAGAGGCAACGTTTTGGAGGTCCGGATTACACCTCAAGATTGGAAGGTCCACAAGGCGGACCTCGTGTTGGTGAGTTTCCTGAATACAGCAGAGGCGCGCGAGCAAAGAGATCTATCGAGGTACAGCCACAATTAAAAAGTTCATTTTAAAAATTGAGAATGTTCCCGGGTTGGTGATCATGCTGATGTGATTTTGTAGGTACCGTCGTTCGCGTAAAAGACGGCGCGATGATTTTTGTGACGTGCACTCCCAGGACTTGTAACAGATAATTGCTTGAGGTTTATTTTGGAGTTGAAGTCATCTTCACTTGTGTGGTGTGTGTTCTCTGGATACTATAGTTTCTCAGAGGTCATGATAAATAATTAAGCGAAATTCTCAATGGATTGAGCATCCAGATGTGATGGTAATGAGAAACTCTATTTTAACTTGATGTTTGGAGAATTCACAATATTTTAATCACTGTAGACTCGAGTCATACGAGGAAGAGGATCATGACAAAGTGGTAGGCAGAGGTATGTTATGAAGGGCACTTGAATTTGGTGGTCAAAGGAATGCATTACAGGCAAAGTAACTGAAAATGAAATACAATTGAAAACAACATGATTGGAGAGAAGTGTGATGGGGTGACATGTTCTAGAAAGTGCCCTACTAAATATATAATTTCCACTGTGAGTACTGCTTCTACATCATCTCTGATAACAGTGCACTGCCATGAACCCTATATGTGTTTTTTAGAAAACATGTTTATTCTGCACCCTCAACCTCAGTGCCCGGAACAGCACTGCAATCGCCCATCCAAGGACCGTCCCCAACCTAACACACCTTGATCATCATCCGCACACTTCAAGTCTCCAAATTGTCCCTTGTGGTCCCAGCGAATTGTTTCTATTTCAGCCGCATCTGTAGTCGAAACTGACACGAATTAACTAAACTGACAAAAGTTAGTTGAACCAAATACGCTATCGCTGAACTTGGGCTTGCATTAACTCACCTAGGTGTGGAATCGTGATGCTGGCCCCTTGTGTGAATCCTGGCTACTTTAGTCAGGATTCACCTATTCCTCACTTGGAGAGACTATTGGTGAGGACGTCTGGCTCTATATTATATTTACAGTGAGGGAAAAAAGTATTTGATCCCCTGCTGATTTTGTACGTTTGCCCACTGACAAAGAAATGATCAGTCTATAATTTTAATGGTAGGTTTATTTGAACAGTGAGAGGCAGAATAACAACAAAATCAAGAAAAACGCATGTCAAAATGTTATGAATTGATTTGCATTTTAATGAGAGAAATAAGTATTTGACCCCCTCCCAATCAGAAAGATTTCTGGCTCCCAGGTGTCTTTTATACTGGTAACAAGCTGAGATTAGGAGCACACTCTTAAAGGGAGTGTTCCTAATCTCAGCTTGTTACCTGTATAAAAGACACCTGTCCACAGAAGCAATCAATCAGATTCTAAACTCTCCACCATGGCCAAGACCAAAGCGCTCTCCAAGGATGCCAGGGACAAGATTGTAGACCTACACAAGGCTGGAATGGGCTACAAGACCATTGCTAAGCAGCTTGGTGAGAAGGTGACAACAGTTGGTGCGATTATTCGCAAATGGAAGAAACACAAAAGAACTGTCAATCTCCCTCGGCCTGGGGCTCCATGCAAGATCTCACCTCGTGGAGTTGCAATGATCATGAGAACGGTGAGGAATCAGCCCAGAATTTCACGGGAGGATCTTGTCAATGATCTCAAGGCAGCTGGGACCATAGTCACCAAGAAAACAATTGGTAACACTTCGCCGTGAAGGACTGAAATCCTGCAGCATCCGCAAGGTCCCCCTGCTCAAGAAAGCACATATACATGCCCGTCTGAAGTTTGCCAATGAACATCTGAATGATTCAGAGGACAACTGGGTGAAAGTGTTGTGGTCAGATAAGACCAAAATGGAGCTCTTTGGCATTAACTCAACTCTCCGTGTTTGGAGGAGGAATGCTGCCTATGACCCCAAGAACACCATCCCCACCGTGAAACATGGAGGTGGAAACATTATGCTTTGGGGGTGTTTTTCTGCTAAGGAGACAGGACAACTTCACCGCATCAAAGGGACGATGGACGGGGCCATGTACCGTCAAATCTTGGGTGAGAACCTCCTTCCCTCAGCCAGGGCATTGAAAATGGGTCGTGGATGGGTATTCCAGCATGACAATGACCCAAAACATACGGCTGAGGCAACAAAGGAGTGGCTCAAGAAGAAGCACATTAAGGTCCTGGAGTGGCCTAGCCAGTCTCCAGACCTGAATACTATATAAAATCTGTGGAGGGAGCTGAAGGTTCGAGTTGCCAAACGTCAGCCTCGAAACCTTAATGACTTGGAGAAGATCTGCAAAGAGGAGTGGGACAAAATCCCTCCTGAGATGTGTGCAAACCTGGTGGCCAACTACGAGAAACGTCTGACCTCTGTGTTTGCCAACAAAGGTTTTGCCACCAAGTATTAAGTCATGTTTTGCAGAGAGGTCAAATACTTATTTCCCTTATTAAAATGCAAATCAATTTATAACATTTTTGACATGCGTTTTTCTGGATTTTTTGTTGTTACTCTGTCTCTCACTGTTCAAATAAACCTACCATTAACATTATAGACTGATCATTTCTTTGTCAGTGGGCAAACGTACAAAATCAGCAGGGGATCAAATACTTCTTTTTCCCTCACTGTACAATGGCATTACAAGGTAGCGAGGGCATTTAAAACTCGCAGGTTACAAAGTGGTTTTAAGATGTTAAAATGTTTGTACGATTAGAGTACTCGGCAAAGTTTAGGTGGCTATAACCTGTCCTCGATTATCTGTGCTGCAAATATGAAACTTAACCTCATGTCTCCAAACATATCGAGGGTCCCAGTACGAGTCTCCAGTGGAAACTTGCACGAGAAGGAGAGACTGGCGCAAATAAATTCAAATCAAGCACTTCCGCTATCCAAGGGTATTCAGGTGATGAGCATCACCTGTGCGTTATTATGTACGTTGTCACAGTCTTTGTTATCCCATATGGTAAGGTTAAAGGTGGCACTTGTTGATTAAGAAAGGCAACGAAATATAATTGATAATTGAGTTATTGGGTGAGGCACCTAATGATCTGGCTTATTTTTTTCGTAAGGTTCTACCAAACACCATATACAGCCAAACAAATTTAAATGGTCGCGTGCATACTAATGTATGGAACGGCACAAGGGGAAGCGACAATTATTGGGAGAGATGCAAGAGAGACCGAGATGTGTTAGGGGAGAATAAGGGGAGTGAAAGCTAGAGGTATGAGAGATAGGGAAACGTGTAATTACGACTGGGACGCACTTGTCTTGAGATGGTTTCTTTATTAGGGAGCCACGTGCTCACACTTGGACAGCCCCATTTCAGCAGCCCCGAGTCTCCCACATATTCCCTTTATATAAGGTGCGTGACCACGCCCCTGCCCCATGGCCACGCCCCTATTCTCGAGACTTCTCGCTGGCCCGAGACCACTTGTTCCACCACTGTCCTCTTACGTCACCTGGCCACGCCCCTATTCTCGATCATTCCCGTGGCCACCAGTCCATTCGCACTGCAGGCTAACTCCCCTGTCATTACCTCCCGTGGCCACTAGTCCACTTGCACTGACTGCGTCCCAGTTGTAATTACACATGGAAAGAGAAGGGGGGGGTGAGATACAGTGGAGGGAGGAGAGGAACATAGAGGGAGGAAGACGTAGAAGAGGGGTCAGAGGAATAAAAAAAATGGATAGAGACGAAAAAAAGTGAGACATTAAGATAACATTTGGATAAACAGCACAGAGAAGGCAAAAGAAAGGTGGAGAGAGACCGGACTCTAAGATTAAAAGTTTGGGTGGCTGAGAAGAATGGACGGCCACATCCAAAGGATGTATGAGTTGCTAGTCGTTGCAAGAAAAACCTGTCACCTGTGTTTCGGTGAGTGACACTAGAAGAGAGGCAATGGCCGGGGCTTTATGTCATCGGCATAATCAGCTTTGTCTCACTGGACATGTCCCTTTGAGGACACCACATTTTACAGGGGCCCTTGAGTGTTCTACCACAAAAAAAGTCATCACTCAACTTAATGGACTAATCGCAGCTCTGGTCACTTTCTATCTCTCGGATTCTTGTTTCGTCATCCCCAAAGGACTCCATTATTCAAATAGCACAAGTTAATTAATTTCACAGATCATTAGACCTCCTTTCCCAGTACCAAAATGTAATAGTAGGGTTTTTCCCCTTTTTTTTGGCAACAAAACTGAAACCTTTTTACGAGGATTCATGTCTGCATTAACCACAATACCTGCAGTGAAAATGCAAACAAAAACATACTTTAACACGTAGGCTTTCGCGACCAATATTATTCATAATAAAGGTTTTTGGGTTAGATCGCGTTATTTATAAATGTGTCGTAACCCTCCACCACCCAACACGGCCAATCAGCAAAAAAAAAGTGTCACGTTGACAAAAGATCTCAGCGTGGCTTTCTCAATCCAGCGCTGTCCTCCAGATAGTCTCGTCTCCTTCACCTGATGAAGGCCGCTTGTGTTGTGGCCGAAACGTCGTGAGAATATTATTGTGTTATTTTATTTTATCAATTTATTATTTTATTCTCATTCTACGTGACTTTACCGAAAGAACCAAAGAAAATATTAAATTATCTCAAGCACAACTGTCGGCAGTGGCAGAACATGCTTGTCAACAAGGACACTCAATTGATTTTGATAACGTTGAAGTGTTGTGTAAAACTAATTATTACTGGCAAAGACTAATTAGAGAATCCATTGAAATGGAGAGAAACAGAAATAACTTTAATCGTTCTGATAGCTGTAGGCATAGTGCGGCTTGGAAGTGTATTATTAAATAATACATATTACAATTCCTTATAGGGGAAACACATTAATTAACGGATTACTAATGTAGCATATCATCACAATAACACACATTACAACTAATTACTAATCTACAACTCATTACTAATAACCATTGACTGATTACCAATCGATTATATAATTACAATACCCCCCCCCCCCCCCCGCCTCAAATCACTGCACCTGAAATGAGTTAAATGATGACGTCACCCTGCTGCTCTATTTAAGACCGAGAGCAAGTGAGGGCTTTACCATTCTGGCGAATTGCCCGCTGATGCTGGATGTAATTACCAGCGAAACGTCGTATTCAAACTGTAGATGTTGTGGATTCACTCTTCAACACACCGGTGGGCTAAAGTAGTGAACTAATTGTCTTTTGTCAACGTGACACTTTTTTTTTGCTGATTGGCCGTGTCGGGTGGTGGAGGGTTACGACACATTTATAAATAACGTGATCTCACCCAAAAACCTTTATTATGAAAAAACATACAATGATAATATATGCATTGTCCTTGAAACTGATTGGTCCACACCAAGGGACGGCTTTCTTTTGAGCCTCGACCCAATTGGTGCTCGACCAGATGACGCCAATTGGGTCGAGGTTCAAAATAAAGCCGTAAAAAGGTTTCAGTTTTGGTGCCAGAAAAAAGGGGAAAAACCCTTTAGTATTAATTTCACAGACGTTCATCAATTTTCTTTTTAAAAGTTCACTGCACAAAATGCCTGGGAAGAAAACCTACTCATTGTTTATTGTATTTTTCAGATATGTTCAGAGGAGCACATAAAACATGGTGAGTGTTGATCCCACGTGAAAATCATTACAAGTGTTTTGCAGTTAGTGGTGTTTGGGCAGCTCGGAGGCTGACACTTTGATTAATGTACGTATTTTGAACTTCTTTCACCGTATGTAGCCAACCATGCTAACCGGGAGGCACGAACAGTGGTGCTGCATTGTTGCACTGAGATCTTTGGTATTAATCCGTACAATCACCTAAGCCGAAATTGGTTCCCAAATAGAGCCACCAAGGACTGCACAAAACCTATGGATTACTATCGGTTTGGTACCCAACTAGGACTCGTGGTGGTTTATATCTGAGCAAACTTTTGCATAGCTATATAGTGCAGACTAGTGGCAATTTCTTTTTAACCTGGATAATTACCACGACATGGAATTATAATTTTTGCAAGGTTGTCCAGGGTATCAAGCTATGGTATAGACTATAGAGTCTTGAGGGGCATGAGATGAAATCCTGCGGTGCCATTCATTCCACAACACGACATGTGATGATTTGGGGAGATAAATTGCATCTTGAAATAGGCCAACATTTAAAAGGTTTTGCCCAAATGTATATTACCAAAAACTTTTAATTAAATCTAAGGATACTGTATGGTTTTTGTAATAGCTGTTATTTTTCGAAGATCTATGATGGAATTATTTTATTAACCAATTTCACATTCTCTTTGGTTTTATTAGGTAAAGTCACGTATCTGTCCATGAAGCGATCCAGATATACAAACATAGACACAACTTCAACCGAGAGGATGGTTTCAAATTGAGCAACCACTGGAAAGATGTTATAAATAAAGTCAAACGTTAGCTGCCTTTTAATTGTACAGCCATTTCCACTTCTCAGTGGCTATGTCAAACTTTAGCTACCTTGTAATTGTACAGCCTTTTTTGTAGTTCTCATTTTAGTTTCCAAAAGATTGGTCATTTTAGTTTCCAAAAGGTTGGTCTGTACTTGATGCCTTGCATCGCCTCCCCCCGAACCCCCCGGCAGCATAACAAAAGGGTTGTTTACCCGCTTTTGTGCAGTGCACCACCCTTCCTCCCGAACCCCCTGCAGTTTAACAAAAGGCGGCTTAATTCAGCCCTCCCACCCGCCCACGTTCCTCTCTGGCTCCTCCCCCCCCCCGACCTATATATGATCCAAGTCTCGGAATTGTGCACTTGACACAGATATTCTGCTGTGACTGTTCCACCTGAAGACAGAAGCTTGTGTTGCCTCCGAAACGTCGTGATTTAATTGTTTTATTTTATTTTACCTATGTGACTTTACCGAATAAAACCAAAGAGTATGAATCCTTGCAGTCACATCTTCAAATTATTTGCTGTGTTTTATTGCTTTCTTATGTTTTCTCATACATTAATTTATTTTCCATGTGTATTTGGCAGGATATATCGCTGCTGTCTCTGCAAATATCGTACCATACATTACCCAGATATTCAAGCACACATTGCCAGCAAGATGCACAATGTATCTCGGATGTATATCACTGACAAGGTTAAAGACGGTGCATTGGTCTGCAAGTTCATTGATGTAAGCTACTCAAGACAAATATGCAAGTTTAAGTTAATGGTATTTGTTACACGGATGACCCCGTTTTAGTCGGTTTCCCGGCTATTTTTACAAGGGAGATCCGTGGTGTGTGAACAGAACAACAAAATAATAGAGGTTTTTGGGTTAGATAGCGTAAATATATAAATGTGTCATTAAAACCCGCCACCACCCGACACAGCCAACTAGCCCCAGCCTTGGCAGGCTGGGGCATGGCTGCTACCCCTGACCCCCCCCCACCCCAGGCACGATGTCCCCGGCCGCTCTGCAGTAATATCTACGGCCTATATTAGCATCTACCGACTGTATAGTAGTAATGACGGCAAGCATCGGGGTGGGGGGGACTTGAGACAGTGAAGAATTTACCTGAGCGTTTAGTGTATTTTTATAGGATTTTTTTACACGAAACAAAATGTCCCCCTCCCACCGAAGACGTGCGAGTTGGTATGGTCGTGCACTCGTCAAATAAATGAGAAAACACGCAAAAATTGCACTAAATCGCTAATTAAACTAATTTAAAGTTGACGGGTGTGAAAAAGGAATAGCGCTTGCTCACCGCGGGGCTTACGGCGTGGTTCCTGCCTATTTTTTTTTACGTCAACCCCACCGTTGGAGAGCCAAGTGCGAGACCACACAAACCCCGCCACAAACCCACACACAAACCCACACACAAACAAACCCCGCCACAAACCCACACACAAACCCCGCCACAAACAAACCCCGCCACAAACAAACCCACACACAAACCCCGCCACAAACCCACACATAAACCCCGCCACAAACCCCGCCACAAACCCACACACAAACCCCGCCACAAACCCACACACAAACCCACACACAAACGCACACACAAACCCCGCCACAAACCCACACACAAACCCCGCCACAAACCCACACACAAACCCCGCCACAAACCCACTCACAAACCTCGCCACAAACCCACACACAAACCCCGCCACAAACCCACACACAACTTTTACATATATATATAGATTACATGGTATGTTGTTCCTTGTGTATTTTTCAAATTAAGTTCATGATGACCGTTGTAATACTCTTAAAAGTTAAGTAACATTTTCCAGCCTTGCTGATAGTATGCAACTTCTTTATTTAGTGTTTATGACATCTAAATCTGCTTGTGTTGTGTTCTTTACCTATTTTACAGGCGTACATTGGGTGGAAGATCAACCTTGTGAAACAGAAATTTGACAAAATAACGATTCCTACAGGCGGTGGTGCTGCTTACGTTGAAAGATCCTGTGGCAGAGGTTGTGTAACCCTTTACTACTGTAGGGATGTGGGAAGCGGTAGTGTAGTGGTTAGTGCACTGTGCTATGAACCCGGCAACCCGAGTGCGATTTCTGCTCATGGCCAACACCAATGATGACTATCTGAACCGGTCCTGGGGCTCTCCTTAGTCGACAAATGAGAACTTGGTGCAATGTGTAAAAACATTGCAACCAGGAAGATGAAGGCGGCTGGGCATGGTGCTGCCCGCCCACACCCTCGTGTGCTATTCTGGCCTTCGTAAGCGCCCACTAATAGCACCTGCCCCAACAGTCTGTTGAGGTTATACTGGGGTGTCTTTGTCTTTTGTAACTCTTACAAGACTGCTTGTGTATCTCACCATCACATTAAGGGTCTGGTATGTTTTTAGAGCACCAGGGTAGCACTGTGGTAACACTTATGCCTCAGCAGGTCCCAGGGGTTCAAATCCTGATTTGTGCACCTTTCTGTGCAGGCTTTGTGCATTCTAATCTTATTGTGCATGAGTTTCCTCTGGATTCTCTGGTTTCACCCCAATGCTTAAAAATATTACTTGCAAATAACTAAATTAGAATTTCACATAGCAACATTACCCCCTACTCGGAAAACCTGGCAATGACCCTTGTGAAATAATAGAGTCGGTGAAGCTTTTCTGCGTAGAGAAACAATAATTCAATGAAATAATTGTGTGCTTCTTCTTCTTCTTTGGTTCTTTCGGTAAAGTCACGTAGAATGAGAATAAAATAATAAATTGATAAAATAAAATAACACAATAAAATTCTCACGACGTTTCGGCCACAACACAAGCGGCCTTCATCAGGTGAAGGGACGAGACTGTCTGGTAGGACAGCGCTGGAGTGAAAGAGCCACGTTCAGATCACGACCTTTAAGCTGTGTGAGAGGAAACAAAGCGCCTTGACAAAGGAATTAGCATATAATTTAGCATTGAAATGGCTGAGTGATTAGCTTGTGACTGGTCACAGAATAGATAGGGGAAATAAATAAATAAAACCATGACATTTTGATTGTAACACAGGCAGTCATCTTCAGGTTAAAAAATACAGCAGGCGAACTGCTGAGGCAGGAGAAATATAGTGAGAGAGCTACTGCATCAAGAGGTTTTATAGGTTTGAGATGGGTACAACCCAAGGGTAGAGATGGAATTTACAAGTAATATACCTCGTCGTCTTGGTTCTTTCGGTAAAGTCACGTAGAACAGCCAAGCTCAGACCGCGACCTTTAAGCTGTGTGAGAAGAAACAGAGCGCCTTGACAAAGGAATTAGCATAGAATTTAGCATTGAAATAGCTGAGTGATTAGCTTGTGACTGGTCACAGAAATGGCTGTGTTCGCTCCAGCGCTGTCCTCCAGACAGTCTCGTCCCTTCACCTGATGAAGGCCGCTTGTGTTGTGGCCGAAACGTCGTGAGAATTTTATTGTGTTATTTTATTTTATCAATTTATTATTTTATTCTCATTCTACGTGACTTTACCGAAAGAACCAAAGAAGATGAATCCTTGCAGTCACGAAAGCTTTAAATCGAAATTGTGTGCTAGTCTTTCATATTTGCCTGGTCACACTTGCTGTCCGGTGTTGTTGAGTGACAGTAGTTTTTTTATGCCTGTGCATACGTAAGTTCTTTGGTGTATTGACCTCTGTGTTAACCTGCCTGCCCTGTGCGGTAGTGTTGCGGTTAGCACGCTGTGCTACGGACCTGGTGAACCGAGTTCGATTTTCGCTCGCAGCCAACACTGGTGACGATTATCTGAACTAGTCCTGGGCCTCCCCTAGGTCGACTCAGCCTCACATGAGTACCTGGTGCGGTGTGTAAACATCGCCACTAGGGAGACAAAGGTGGCCGAGCGTGATGCTGGCCAACCACCTCCTCGTGTGCCGTAACCGCCTTCAAAGGTGCTCACTAACAGCACTTGCCCCAACAGTGTTGAGGCTATGGAGGATCTTTATCCTTTGTATTCTCGATTGGATTGACCTCTGCGTTTACCTGCCTGCCCGTGCATATCTGTTGTCCCCAGGGCCCATATGCATGTCGGATTTGGACGAGGCGATGGAGATAACTCGCTCCACCTGGTGCTGGGCTTGTTGCGAGCACATGGCGGAGACCCCTGCGGTGGTAGGGGCTCACTTGACCTCGCCCGAACACATCAGGAATAGAACGGTCAGTTATAAACCACCAAGAGTTTCGGTGAGCGGTCACCTGCGGGGGGGGTGGGAAGGGGAAATTCACCCTGGGCCTCACACAAAAGAGGTCCCTACCACAGGCCCTTTGGATTGTGGAAAAGAGGGGGGGCCCCACGTGGTGACATTCTCTCACAGCCCTTTGGGAGCCTCTGGGCGGCCTTGTATGAAGTCACATCCACGCCTGAATCATTTGGTCGCACTACTGGGTTGCATGCAACTGTTTTGTGTGCACGTCTCTATTGTAAGTTGTGAGCAGTTGCATAACCGGTTGCTCAGCAAGCGTGGATCTGATCACCAAATGTTTTGTTTGAGACGAATTTTGTCACGTGCAGCACGTTTGCTCGCTCCGATTTGTTGTTAAAAATCCTCGTGTGGGTGGTGGAGCTAACGCGAAGAGGGGTGGTGGCGAGATGTTAACTCCGTCCCCTGGTATGCAGGATGTCGTGGGTTCAATCCCAACCCTGACGCCTGCTGTATGTTTGGAGTTTGGCCGTCTCTCTCCCCGTGGTCGCGTGGATTTTTCTCCGCATCCTCCGGTTTTTCCCTCCACATTTAGTATCAATATGCGTTTAGAGTATTTGGCTACTATACATTTCCACATGACAAGCCACTTAATTGGATAAGCCACAAATGAAATGGCTTATCATGTGAGTCTTACCTGGTAAAATAAACAGTTGAGTTTAATAATTTTTACGTGAGCTGGTTTTGATTTTCTTCGTGGTATTTTTGATTTATTACAGAAGTACAGGCATCAGCGGAAATATTATGTGCTGGGAGTTGTAAACAACATCCTGAAAGAATCGCTGTACTCCGCTTTGCTTGACAAGTTTAAAATGGTATGTATACTTTGTCAAGAGCTTTAAATGTATCTTCATGCTGGTATAACAAGTAGGCTTTCACGACCAATATCCATCATAGGTTTTTTTTTGGGTTAGATCGCGTAAATCTAAATGTGTCGTTAAACTCGCCACCATCTGACACATCCAATTAGTAAGGTTTTTCACAAACAAGCCAATTAGTAAGGTTTGTCACGCAAACAGAACATGCCATTTCGTTACTCGTACAGCACACCGTTGTGTTGGAGAGAAAATCCACAACATTTACAATCTGAGAACGACATTTTGCCAGTAATTACAACTAGCACATTTGTGGATAAATCCTCCTGTTTCGTTCCTTAAATAGAGGGATGGGGATAGATGTCTTCACGCTGTTGGTGCAGAACTTGAGTTGCACTCGTCATTTGAGTTGTTGTTCACCATTAGTATATGGACAGCAGATTATTGTGTCCCCTCCAATAAAGCTGCTTTGCAGGCAGAATAAAATCCCAAATGGTAATTTTCAGGTTCTCTTAAAATGTCGACTCGTCTGTTTCATGTCAACTTTGCTTTCATCATATTCAATAGTGTGATGTTTTAGTTTTTTTAAAACGTGAGAATTTTATAATGTTTTATTTGTATTATTTTATTATTTCCCTTCTACGCGACTTTACCGAAAGAACCAAGAATATAGTGTGATGGTTATCAGGAATACTACGAAAAGTAATGCCTCCTTTTTATCAGTAACTTTATTTTTTAAAGAACCAATTCAACATGAGGATTTCTTGAAACATTTTAGTATTTTACATCATAGTCGCTATCCGCTGATTTGCACTAGTGACAACATGTAAGCAGGGCCAGCATTCTTATCACAGCCAAATAATTCATAGACATCACAATATCTTTTGCAAGAGCATCTTGTTCAGCTGTGTTTTTCTTTTCAAAGTGTTGGCCAGGCAGGCCAGTCTCCAATGGGCTGGAAAGATGAACATCTGTGGGTTTTGGATCCTGGGTTTTTCAGTGGATAAGGCGGCACAGTCCATCCAAGCTGTTGTGTGTGTGATTTCTAAATGTCCCGGTCAGACAATGGTGTTGTAGGAGAATTTCAGCCCATCTGGTATGTCATTCACTAACATTCCCAAGAATGTACAGTATTGCAAATTACATGAAATTAATAGTTATTGAGGAAAATAGGTATTACGTTGTGATCCTATGGTCTTGTACTGCTGTCTTGTATTCATGTATGTTGAACTTCTTTTACAAAATAAATAGCCAACGGTGGTAATCTTGAGATGCTGAGCTCTATGTTGATTCACAACATGTGTTGGTGACGTCAGCATGTCTATATGCAATATACCAGCACAATTATTACATTAGGAATATTGAATGCATGTTACTACCCTTCCAGTGTGGAAGAGTAGACCAAAGTACCCTCAGGAGGAGCTCCAGAGCGCCCCCTAGTACAGACCCTTCTGCCAGCAGTGGCTTGAGCAAGCGATTATAGGGTTGTCGCCTAAACTTTATTTCACGTGTATTATTTTTTTACCTGCATCATTTTTTTTTCTCTCAGAATCCAGACGCGGGTCAAGAAATCTTCCAAATGTTCCACGCGGAGTCAAAGGGACAAGGTCCAAAAGACAAAGCAAGACCACAAGGCACGGAGGAGGCGTTGGGGAACAGTGATTCTGCAGCGGAGGAATCGGTCGAAGCGACGGACGACGACAAAGTGGTTCCTCAAAAAGTTGACCATAACGATCCAGCTAAATCCTGCAGCGTTGACGACGCAACCGAAGAAGGCGCCGTTGATTTATCGGAGAAGGGAAAGGGCCAGGAAGCAGGTGGTACTAGCGTTGAGAATTTTGAGAGTGAAGCAAAAGGGGTGAAGAAATACGTGCAAGTAAGTGATTCAGAGTCCACGATTGATTTTGAACATGGGGTCGTTGTACACCATGATGAAAACGAGACGGCCAGTGATCCACAGAGTGATCGAGAGGAATGTGAGGAGCTGGATAATTATGATGATGATTGTGATTATGAAGCTGGGGAAGTTGTGCAGATCGATGATGACGTAGAGTAAAGAGTAAATACGCTTAATCTCTTGGTGGGTTTATCCTAAATATCTAGTGCTAACAGAAATTGAACAATTTGGAATAAGTTTTCTGTCTTTCCAAGTTAATATTGTAACTGGCTGACCCGCCCCTACTTGACATTTGTGAAAAAGAGCTTCATAGCTTATTGAATTGCTCCAGTTTTTTTTATAGATTCTGATAATGTTTGGATTATAAACCTCAAAACCACAAATCCCTGAATTCTAACTACATTTTTTCTTGAGCCGAGTTACCTTTCAGCCCCAAAATATTCTACTCTCCAACAACGTTTTATCACGTGAGAAATAACAATTCCCAGTGTAAAATAAGTAACAAAACATCAAATGTAATACTTAACATACGTGGAGAACCGCAGTGCTTACAAGGTGCTTCTCAGCGTCTCCAATGGATTAGTGCCCCCCACGCACCGTTCCTACACCCGTGACAGTGCCGGCACCACACAGCACAGCTGGTAAACAAACAACTGCAGGCCGCGGTGCGCCCCCTGCCGCCACAGAACACATCTGATCGCTCTTTACTCATTGCGCGAACATTCGCTCGTTCTGCGAACAACTTAGTCAGAATTGAAATTGCTCTTTTTGGCGAATTCCCCTAGAAAGAAGGCTCGTTAAGCAAGACGTGCCGTGATGTTTAAGCAAGCTTCAACATCATTCATAGCACAATTTATCAGCAATTGTATTATCCCCTTACACCGCTGCGCATCGTTAATGTCGCTGCATACCATTATTACAGCGCGTGATTCGTCATGTTGCCTTTGCTGTCTGAAGGTTTCCCGTCATTCCACCTTGTTTTTTGACCTTTGCCACATGGTTATGTTTTTTAGTGGATGGCATTGTTTACTTTGCTTCTTCAACTTTATTATTTCAATAAGGCGATTTACCTGTTGTTATCCCTGAAGGGCTTGGGCTGAAAAAAAGATAATTGTAGCCTGAAAATGAATACAAAATAATAATCACGAAGTTTCAATAGCGTCCTTCATGCAAAACAGCATCCCCACAGTTATACCCTCTTAAAGCAGGTACGATAGTTTCAAAATGCAAGCTTTGGGATAAGGCTTGGAGTAAAAGATGTGTTTTGTATTGATTTATATAATCTTGGAAAACAAGGAACTGATTAAAGTCAATTTTTTTTTTTACTATTTTGAGCTTGTAAGTTTTCATAATTTGTCAAGTGAGGATTCGAGGGTATTAAAAATGTTTTTGAGATTAACAATGTAACATTGGTAAATTTAAATTGTGACTTAAAACTTTCGTGATTGCAGGAATTAATATTATTTGGTTCTTTCGGTAAAGTCACATAGAAAAATAATGAAAATAAAGTGAATACAAATAATAAAATTGTACACGTATTCTTGGTTCTTTCAGTAATAAAAACAAAAACCACGACATTTCGATCGCAACACAAGCGGTTGTCATCATGAAAAGGGGGATTAGCCTCTAAAGGCAAACTGTTTATAAAGGTTTAGAGATGGGCGTAGCCCAAGTGTGTCAGCAGCATGGGCGGGGCAGCTTATGTTAATGTAGGAGAAAGCAATGCCAACGCAATGGGTCTCCACCAATCAAAGGGCCGCCAGGCAATCTTTGCACCTCGCTCCACATCCACACTGCTGACGGTGGAGGTTGACAAGAAAACAAATCAAGTCATGACCCAAAGTGGTTGATGACATCTTTCCAATGATTGCCGAGTTTATAACCATCCTCGCGGTTGAAATTGTGTCTGTATATATGGATGGCTTCATGAACTAATATTTGTTGATAGCCAGTAAGCCTGCAAAGTACCATCGTCTTCGAGAAATCAATTTCGTGTGAGCCAGCCGCATTAATATAATGTTCAACCAGGCAGAAGTATTGGTCCTACCGTGTTTCAAATCTGCCTTATGCTCATGAACACGGTCTGACAGGGACAGCAGATTCTTGGCTGTTGTGGGCTCGGCTGAACCGCTTGCACCGCTTCCTTTCCCCGCCGCAGGATGGTGCTCGAGCTAGCCCTCCTTGAGCTCAGCCCACGACTGGAATGTCGTTTCTTGGCCGCTCGTGTCTCTGCTGCCCGACCAGACGGCCCCACTGAAGCCCACACAGGGGACTCTTCATTCACCACCCTTGGCCGTCTTGACGATCTCCGTGAAGTTTTCCAGGAACACAGCTTGGGGTCCGTCGCAATGTTGCCTTGGCAGGAACACAGCTTGGGGTCTGTGGCAATGTTGCCTTGGCAGGAACACAGCTTGGGGTCCGTGGCAATGTTGCCTTGGCAGGAACACAGCTTGGGGTCCGTCGCAATGTTGCCTTGGCAGGAACACAGCTTGGGGTCTGTGGCAATGTTGCCTTGGCAGGAACACAGCTTGGGGTCCGTGGCAATGTTGCCTTGGCAGGAACACAGCTTGGGGTCTGTGGCAATGTTGCCTTGGCAGGAACACAGCTTGGGGTCCGTGGCAATGTTGCCTTGGCAGGAACACAGCTTGGGGTCCATCGCAATGTTGCCTTGGCAGGAACACAGCTTGGGGTCCGTCGCACTATTAACTAGGCCTTACTCAGGCTGCGCCAGGTGCACTGAAACAGTAAAGCTATTTTGACCATGTCACCCAAACTATGTACCCTATAATTAACCCGTATAGACTTATAGTGGTACAAAACTTTCGTGACTGCATGTAGGATTGTGGACAAGTCAGAGTGAGATTGTAAATACATGCTTCTGCAGCTAAACCCATGTTGGAATGTGTTTAGAGAAGCCACGCATATGGATACGATTATTCCTTGCTATTCCTTGATACGATTATTCATCACAGGTGGCCTGGCCGAAATGACGAGAGATTTGGAGAGGATATTCTAAACCCATCTGACCAAAAAGATTGTTGAGAGGGACAACTTAAATGTCTGAATATTATTGGTTCTTTTGGTAAAGTCACGTAGATAGAAAATAAAAGTAATAAAATAAAAAAAATTTACGCCGCACAGGCTCTCCTCCTCCCAGCTCTCGTCCCCCGCCCACTAACTTTGGAAGCCCTTATAAGTAAATTTCGATTTTAAGCTTTCGTGACTGCAGGGATTCATCTTCTTGGTTCTTTCGGTAAAGTCACGTAGAAGGGAAATAATACAAATAAAACAAAATAAAATTCCCTTATAAGTAGTTGTAATTGGAGGCTTGTCCCCTCTTTTCGCTCCGCCTGTTGAAGACCGATTGTGTTGCGATGGAAACGTCGTGGGTTTTTTGCTTTTATTTTACATTTATTATTTTTATTTTCTATCTACGTGACTTTACCGAAATAACCAAGAATATAAATTACATGTAGTCACGAAAGTTTTAAGTCAAAATTCAATGTCTGAAGTTGGACATGCAGTCTGGTGGAACGCATCATGTTAGCAACACCATCAAATCAATGCGGATGTCTGGAGATCATAAGTTTAAGCTGTTGTTGATCCACTTTTTTATTCTTGAGAATGCCCCAATCTGTACAGCCATAATTTTCACTTTTAAATATGTTCTGATTTTATCCATATTTCCTTAACAAGTGTTTGTGAAAAAATAGGAAAACAATAGTATTTGCTCAGCATGTGCTGAAGATTGATTTGGAGACTAATAAGGAATTTGTACGCTTACTATACATGCATATACTTGTGCGTATTCCATTAGAGCAGTGATTCTCAAAGCGTGGTCCCAGGTAACAGTGCTGAAGGTCAAATCCGGCAGGTGGTCACATGGATTTTTCTCCGGGTCCTCCGGTTTTTCCCTCCACATTTAGAAACCCTGTTTGGCTGCTGTACTATTCCACATTATAAACTACTTTTTTGAGCGATCATCTGTGGCCAGGTCGTTCTTAAAAATGGCTTTATAGCTTCAAGGGGCTTTACCTGGTAAAATAAAAAAAATGTATTTAATTTTCAATTTATTTTGGTTGACATCAAGATATATGCAAACAAAAAAACCTCATGTTTTAACCTACTGAGCTACAATAACCTGCAGAGGCGGTACAAAGCAACCTCAACTAGATCATGGACACGTGCACAGCTCCTTTGTCAATCCTCTGCAGGATGAGGGCCTCTGCACATTAAACTGAAGAAGGCCACCGGCTCAGCATGCGTGGCGTCACTCGGCCGCCGCGTCGACACTAATGACGTCATCCCGAGAGACGTATGACGTTGATCGAGGCGCAATGTATTATATGACGTCAACACAAACCGTTCGACTTGGGCCAGAGCATGGATCCTCGCGCGGGTAATGAAGGAACCGGGGTCGTCTCGTTACCTCGGGTTATAACCTCGTTACCTCAGGTTATCACCTCGTTACCGCGGGGTATCACCTCGTTACCACGAGTTGTTACCTTGGGGTATAACCACGTTACCGCGGGATGGCACCTCGTTACCACAGGGTATCACCTCGTTACCACAGGGTATCACCTCGTTACCGCGGAATGGTACCTCGTTACCACAGGGTATCACCTCGTTACCGCGGGGTATCACCTCGTTACCGCGATTTATTACCTCGTTACCGCGAGTTATCACCTCGTTGCCTCAGGTTATCACCTCGTTTCCTCGGGTTATCACCTCGTTACCGCGAGTTATTACCTCGGTACCGCGAGTTATCACCTCGTTACCGCGAGTTATTACCTCGTTACCTTGGGGTATCACCTCGTTACCGCGAGTTGTTACCACGAAGTATCACCTCGTTACTGCGGGATTACCTCGTTACCAAGCGGTTAACTCGCTTGTCATCAGGGGCCATTACCTTGCGTTACCTCATTGCCGGGATTTTCTCATCCTATAATATGGTTACCCCTTTTTGCCAGAGGTTACCTTCATAGCCACGGTTACCCGCACGATGAGAACGCGTGAGTAGTGTTATCATGCGTGCCGTCTTTGTGGCGGTGACAATGAAACTCGTGCTTTGTCTGTGTTAGTGACACAGTGACACCCGTGTTGTGTCTGTGTTAGTGACAGTGAAACCCGTGTTGTGTCTGTGGTAGTGACACAGTGACACCCGTGTTGTCTGTGGTAGCGACACAGTGACACCCGTGCTGTGGTGGTGATAGTGACACAGTGACACCCGTGTTGTGTCTGTGGTAGTGACACAGTGACACCCGTGTTGTGTCTGTGTTAGTGGACAGTGACACCCGTGCTGTGTCTGTGGTAGTGGACACAGTGACACCCGTGCTGTGGTGGTGATATTGACACAGTGACACCCGTGTTGTGTCTGTTAGTGGACAGTGACACCCGTGTTGTGTCTGTGTTAGTGACACAGTGAAACCCGTGCTGTGTCTGTGGTAGTGACACAGTGACACCCGTGCTGTGGTGGTAGTGACACAGTGACACCCGTGCTGTGTCTGTGTTAGTGGACAGTGAAACCCGTGCTGTGTCTGTGATAGTGACACAATGACACCCGTGCTGTGGTGGTAGTGACACAGTGACACCCGTGTTGTGTCTGTGGTAGCGACACAGTGACACCCGTGCTGTGTCTGGTAGTGACACAGTGACACCCGTGTTGTGTCTGTGTTAGTGACACAGTGACACCCGTGTTGTGTCTGTGTTAGTGGACAGTGACACCCGTGATGTGTCTGTGATAGTGACACAGTGACACCCGTGCTGTGGTGGTAGTGACACAGTGACACCCGTGTTGTGTCTGTGGTAGTGACACAGTGACACCCGTGCTGTGTCTGTGGTAGTGACACAGTGACACCCGTGCTGTGTCTGCGGTAGTGACACAGTGACACCCGTGCTGTGTCCGTGGTAGTGACACAGTGACACCCGTGCTGTGTCTGTGGTAGTGACACAGTGACACCCGTGCTGTGTCTGTGGTAGTGACACAGTGAAACCCGTGATGTGTCTGTGGTAGTAACACAGTGACACCCGTGCTGTGGTGGTAGTGGACACAGTGACACCCGTGCTGTGTCTGCGGTAGTGACACAGTGAAACCCGTGCTGTGTCTGTGGTAGTGACACAGTGAAACCCGTGCTGTGGTGATAGTGACACAGTGACACCCGTGCTGTGTCTGTGTTAGTGACACAGTGACACCCGTGCTGTGGTGGTAGTGGACATAGTGACACCCGTGCTGTGTCTGTGTTAGTGACACAGTGACACCCGTGCTGTGGTGGTAGTGGACATAGTGAAACCCGTGCTGTGGTAGTGACACAGTGAAACCCGTGCTGTGTCTGTGGTAGTGACACAGTGAAACCGTGCTGTGTGGTGGTGGTGGTAACAGTTATACCTGTGATGTGTTTCTGTGGTGATGGCGCAGGGATGGAACTGGAAGAGAATGCTGCATCTTTAAATGTGGCCTGCTCGCTGCTGGATAAGATGTTGACGATTATTAAGTCCAATAAATCGGATGTTGTCTCTGGTATGCATGTATGCCTGTTGATGAATTTACTACTCACATCCGTTTTTTGTACTTTAGATGCACGTGTGAAAGTGATTGTGATTGGTTTCATACTAAGCTATTAAAACTTTTAAACTTTTGTTTAGGTTCATAATTCAAGCCCATTCTTTAGAATCAAACATACACACTATATACATTCATAATATAGGTTTTTCTGGGTTCAACTTGGTCGCGAAAGCCTATGTGTTAAACTGACAATATAGACACTTGGTTTTTTAGGTTGGCCTTCGTAAGCCTCCCTGCCCATCAAAAACCCATCCATGGTAACATGGTACATCTATTGGCCTCTTTACACTGTCCGGTGTTACATTCCTTCCCACTGTTAATGCTTAGATATTATATTACTTTTAAAAATTACAGTTTTGCTTGGAAATTGGTGATATCAGCTGTTTACATTACACCAGTTTCATTTTAAAACATTTAATTGCCTTGTCTATTTGGTTGAGATACCAGGTTACATGAGTGTAATAAAATTTACTGTAATGTACCTGATCTCGCCAAGTCGCTGAAGCTTAAGCAGGGCTGAGCCTGGAGAATGCTTGGATGGGTGACCACCATGTACATCACAGGTGTTGTAGGCAGGCCCGAGGCTGGGCCTCATTGCCTCTGGAAAATGAAAACTTGTCAGCCTTGTGAGTCCAAATTTATAGGAACTTCTTACTAAAAGGCTGAATGAGTTGATCGGTTTTAATTGATTTAGATTTGAATTATATCAGCAGGTAGGGCCCAATGAGTTTCTAGGCTCTATGTCATGGGCATCCTGCAGTTGTACAGATCCTATAGAGTACAAATATTAGTGACAATCATGGTTGCATAGGTCAATACAAAACAGAAAGTATCAGTATACACTTCAAACGTTACAGGATTAGATAATCCATTTTCTTTGGGTCTTTCGGTAAAGCCACGTAGATAGAAAAAATAATCAAAATTATAACAATATCACGACGTTTTGACTGCAACACAAACAATCGTCTTCAGGTGAAAAAAGAGATTAGGGAACTGGTCAAAAACTCAAAACAAACATGACTACATTGTTTTACGAACAAAAATAGAGGAAACCAAAATAAAAGTCATTTGACAAAGCAAACAATCAGTAACCGTTAACCCTACACACAGTACGATTCATGCAGACTTGGGCTTATGCTTCTCTGCCGATTATTTATTGCATCCACATCTACGAAGGAAATTGAGTTTCAAGAGTGAATTGAGGATTCTTTTCGACGAATTATTTAATTCCCACATCTAATGCGAAAGCATTCCAAAATGAGGGAGCGGCTACCGTGAAATATTTTTTTTTCCTACTTCAAATCAAACCTGGGGATTTTTAAGATTAAGTTGGGAGGAGCTTTGTTTATATTATTTTGGGATGAACAAGAACCGTCTAGTATTTTGCGGATTCATTGCCATTACAGATAAGTTATCTGTGAAATAAAATTTGAGTGGATGATTTCATCCCGTTTGTGTTAACAATCCATATGTCTTCCAAATATGTTTTGCAGTTATATTAAGCAGACTGGCACGGTGACAAATGTTCTCATTGTGAACATAACTGTGATGTCCCTCTTTGCAGATCAAGAATTATCATATGAAAGGTCATCGCAGAGAGGGTAAGTCAACAAGGAAGTTTGTATTCCATTTAGAATCAACGTAAGTTTAGAGTATTTGGCTGCTATACATTTCCACGTGATAAGCCACTACATTGAGCTATCATTTGTGGCAATGTCGCTTGGAATAAAAAGCTATAGTTTAGTGGACCTTAGCTGGTATAATAAAGAAATAGTTTAGTATTCACGGTCACTTAATCAAAGCGTGTGGTTTTCCGGGTTAAGCCGCGTGTCGAGCATTCTCGTCCCAAGCTTTTACCACCCAAATTCTAATATCCATGGTGTCAAGGCAATTTGCTGTTCTGTAATGTTCACAAACTGGCACATATGGTTCGTAAAAGTTCTGTTAACCAGAAGTCTTCTGAGGGCTTCAGGAAGCGAGGGGTTTAATTCATGCACACGGCACTTTTCGTCTTCACGATTTGTCTGCAGTTCTGCCTTGCGTCGGCCCTGAATCGGGATTTGAACTCTCAACCTTCCGATTGCGAGCTGCTTGCTCTACCACTGAGTCACCCTACCCAACCACTACATTAAACATAATTGGTCATTTGAAAAGGTTGTGTTCATGCATTAGCCAACAAACGGATGACGTATAATGTTGAAATTGTACTTCTGAAACAATAATGAAAATGTAACTTGCGCCTTTCAGGTTTGACTTTTACGAGAAATCGAACTTTGGACGTGGACCTGACAACCTAGACTACAATGAAATGGGATCGCGTGACTGGCACGGCCGAGAAATGGGTCGCCCTGACCGGAGGAGATACGATTCATCCTCGGGCCAGCATCACCATCCACGCGGACTGAGGCGTGACTACGGTGGCAACTATGATGCACCAATGCAAGAATTCAAGCGCGAGCATGGACAATCCCACGTGGCGGAAGATGTTGGATGGTCCTCTGATGCGCAGGGCTATAGAGGAACAGCCTTTAGGCAGGATAATTGGCGACGTGCCGGTGGGCCCTACTCTGCAGGTCCAGGCTATGCACCTGGCTTGGACAAGAGGCAACGTTTTGGAGGTCCGGATTACACCTCAAGATTGGAAGGTCCCCAAGGCAGACCTCGTGTTGGTGATTTCCCTGAATACAGCAGAGGCGCGCGAGCAAAGAGATCTTTCGAGGTACAGCCACGATTAAAAAGTTCACCTATTCCTCACTTGCAGAGACTATTGGTGAGGACGTCTGGCTCTATATTATATTTACAATGGCATTACAAGGTAGCGAGGGCATTTAAAACTCGCAGGTTACAAAGTGGTGTAAGATGTTAAAATGTGTGTACGATTACAGTACTCGGCAGAGTGCAGGTGGCGATAACTTGTCCTCGATTATCTGCACTGCAAATATGAAACTTAACCTCATTGTGTCTCCATACATATCGAGGGTCTCAGTACGAGTCTGCAGTGGAAACTTGCACCAGAAGGAGAGACTGGCGCGAAGAAATTCAAATCAAGCACGCTCATTAACCAAGGGTGTACAGGTGATGAGCGTCACCTGTGCGTTATTGTGTACGTTGTCACAGTCTTTGTTATCCCGTGTGGTAAGGTTAAAGGTGGCACTTGTTGATTAAGAAAGGCAACGAAATATAATTGATAATTGAGTTATTGGGTGAGGCACCTAATGATCTGGCTGTTTTTTTTTCGTAAGGTTCTACCAAACACCATATGCAGCCAAACAAATGTGAATGGTCGCGTACATACTAATGTATGGAACAGCACAAGGGGAAGCGATAAGCAGTGGGAGGGATGCAAGAGAGACCGAGATGTGTTAGGGGAGAATAAGGGGAGTGAAGGTGAGAGGTAAGAGAGATAGGGAAGTGTGTAAAGACGACTGGGACGCACTTGTCTTGAGATGGTTTCTTTGACTTAAAGCTTTTCGTGACTGCAGGAATTCATATCATTTGGGTCCTTCGGTAAATCCAAGTAGAGAGATCAAATAATTCAAAATAATAAAAATAATAACAATAGTTATATTTTATATTATTACCGAAAGACCCAAAGAATATGGTTTCTTTATCAGGGAGCCACATGCTCACACTCAGACAGGCGGAGACCCCACTTCAGCAGCCCCGAGTCTCCCGCCTATTGCCCTTATATAAGGTGTGTGGCCACGCCCCTGCCCCATGGCCACGCCCCTATTCTCGAGACTTCTCGCTGGCCCGAGACCACTTGTTCCACCACTGTCCTCTTACGTCACCGGGCCACGCCCCTATTCTCGATCATTCCCATGGCCACCAGTCCATTCGCACCGTGGCGGGTGGGGGGGTGAAATACAGTGGAGGGAGGAGAGGAACATAGAGGGAGGAAGACGTAGAAGAGGGGTCAGAGGAATAAATAAATTGATAGGGACGAAAAAAAGTGAGACATGAAGATAACATTGGGATATACAGCACAGAGAAGGCAAGAGAAAGGTGGAGAGAGACCGGACTCTTAAGATTAAACGTTTGGCTGGCTGGCTGAGAGGAATGGACGGCCACGTCCAAAGGACGTATGGGTTGCTCGTCGTTGCAAAAAAAACCTGTCACCTGTGTTTCGGTGAGTGACACTAAAAGAGAGGCAATGGCCGGGGCTTTATGTCATCGGCATAATCAGCTGTGTCTCACTGGACATGTCCCTTTGGGGACACCACATTTTACAGGGGCCCTTGAGTGTTCTACCACAAAACAGTTATCACTCAACTTAATGGACTAATCGCAGCTCTGGTCACTTTCTATCTCTCGGATTCTTGTTTCGTCATCCCCAAAGGACTCCATTATTCAAATAGCACAGAAGTTAATTAATTTCACATTTGGTCATTTATTTTATTAACTCACTTTGTTGTTAATGTCGTTGTTGTCGTATCAAATATTGTAACTCAATTTTAAGCCACTTCTCAATGTGGTATCGACTGCAAACTTGATATACTTATGTCATACTGATGACAATACTATATTCTATCATAAAAAATATATTTTTAAACATTATTTTTAATATGTTATGTTTCGTCTTGGGTCTAATTGTCCACGGTCAACTGATGTTGGCTGTAATTGACCACGGTCCCTTAGGTTGTGGCAAGCTCCGGGGCCACTTCCTGGAGTCGTGGAGTTCTGCCATTACTAGTACCTTTCATAAAAGCGTGTTTAAAAAAAAGTTTTTAAAAATATTATTCATTAAAAATTAACTGCACGAAATGCCTGGGAAGAAAACCTACTCATTGTTTATTGTATTTTTCAGATATTTTCAGAGGAGCACATAAAACATGGTAAGTGTTGATACCACGTGAAAATCATTACAAGTGTTTTGCAATGAGTGGTGTTTGGGCAGCTCGGAGGCTGACACCTTGATTAATGTACGTATTTTGAACTTCTTTCATCGTATGTAGCCAACCATGCTAACCGGGAGGTGCGTACAATGGTGCATTGTTGCTCTGAGATATTTGGTATTAATCCGTACAATCACCTAAGGCGAAATTGGTTCCCAAATAGAGCCACCAAGGACTGCACAAAACCTATGGATTACTATCGGTTTGGTACCCAATTAGGACTCGTGGTGGTTTATATCTGAGCAAACTGTTGCATAGCTATATAGTGCAGACTATTGGAAATTTCTTTTTAACCTGGATAATTACCACGACATGGAATTATAATTTTTGCAAGGTTGTCCAGGGTATCAAGCAATGGTATAGACTATAGAGTCTTGAGGGGCATGAGATGAAATCCTGCGGTGCCATTCATTCCACAACATGACATGTGATGATTTGGGGAGATATATTGCATTTTGAAATAGGCCAACATTTAAAAGGTTTTGCCCAAATGTAGATTATCAAAACATTACTTTTAAAATCACTTTTTTCTTATATTTAAGGATACAGTATGGTATTCTAATAGCTGTGATTTTTCGAAGATGAATTTTTGTGACCTGAAGATCTGTGATGGAATTAGTTTATTAACCAATTTCACAGTGAAATACTGTTTGCAATTTGTGCTAAAAGGAATACATCTTCAACATTATTTGCTGTGTTTTATTGCTTTCTTATGTTTTCTCAAATATTAATTTGTTTTCCATGTGTATTTGGCAGGATATACCTCTGCTGTCTCTGCAGATATCGTACCATTCATCACTCAGATATTCAAGCGCACATGGCCAGCAAGATGCACAATGTATCTCGGATGTATATCACTGACAAGGTTAAAGACGGTGCATTGATCTCCAAGTTCATTGATGTAAGCTACTCTAGACAAATATGCGAGTTTAAGTTAATGGTTTTTGTTATACGGATGACCCCGTTTTAGTCGGTTTACCGGCTATTTTTACAAGGGAGATCCGTGGTGTGTGAACACAACAACAACATAATAGAGATTTAAAGCTTTCGTGACTGCAGGGATTCATATTCTTGGTTCTTTCGGTAAAGTCACGTAGAAGGGAAACAATAAAATAATAAAAATATTAAACATTAAAAGTCTCACGGCGTTTCGACTGCAACACAAGCAATCATCATCAGGTGTGAAAACCACAGCAATAAAAGTTTGCTGTGGTTTTCACAGCAATAAAACCACAGCAATACAAATTTGCTGTAGTTTTCACACCTGATGATGATTGCTTGTGTTGCAGTCGAAACGTCATGAGAATTTTAATGTTTCATATTTTTATTATTTTATTGTTTCCCTTCTACATGACTTTACCGAAAGAACCAAGAATATAACATAATAGAGGTTTTTGGGTTGGATCGCATAAATATATAAATGTCGTTAAAACCCGCCACCACCTGACATAGCCAACTAGTAAGGGTTGTCACGTAAACAGAACATGCCAATTCTATATAAGGAACGAAACAGTAAGACTTCTCAAATCTGGCTGTCGCCTGATGAAGCTAGTTGTAATTACTAGCGAAACGTCGTGCTCAGATTGTAAATGTTGTGGCTTGGCTCTCCAACATACCGGTGTGCTGTACTGGTGACGAATTGGTTGCGAAAGCCTACGTGTTAAACAAAAACAACAACAGCAAAAACAACAACAAAAGGCAAAAACGTCAATATTGCAGAGAATGAGTACAGGGTCCATAATGATCATTGCACAATAAACCAACGAGGTGTTTAACCGTCATGAACACAATTAAAATAACAATTAAAAAACGTCAAATATAACGTAAGAGCAATAGGTGAGAGAAAATAGTTTCCAAATTTTAGTCTTAGGTCTTTCCTCTGTCCAGCTTATGATGTTCCATTAAAATATATGCAGTTGATTTTTTGTCACGAACACATCCGTGGCTATGTGTTAAAAGAGAGGCGTTTGAGAACCATTCAGCCCCTGTGCTAGTTGGTTTCACGGTATCTTTCTTGCATTCCTCCCCAAATTCCCAACTCTTCTCTCAAGTTCGGTCCCTCATCTAAATCTGCACTCATTTTTCCTGAAGCTCTTTTCTGCATATACATCTGTCACCCAAATTGACCAGGTAAGGCCCACCGAGCTATTTAGCTCTTTTTCAGAAGAGACCTGGCCACAATTGACAGCTCAACGAAGTGGCTTTCATATGGAAATACATAGCAGCATGATTCTAAATGTGGAGGGAAAAACCAGAGGACCAAGAGGAAAATCCACGTACCCACGGGGAGAACATGCAAATTTCGAATATACAGGTATCTGGGTCGGGATCTAATCCACTACCTCCTGCATACCAGGCGAGGGAGTTAACATCTCGCCACCGAGGTGCCCCCTGTGTACATATGTGTGATTGCGCAAGAATGCAGGAATGTGCATTTATATAAATGCTGCACCTGCTGATGGTAATTTTAAATTCAGCCAGATCAATATACACTCATTTATGCATCAATATTCTACATACACGGGGGGTCGTTGTTGGTGAAGAGGGACGTCATTGCAGCCACGATATATCGCTGCCGCGATGACGTTACGTGCTGCTGTCAATCGGCAGGGTCTGTGGGATACTGGAAGAATTACAGATTATATTTTAGTATCACGAGGGCGCAGTGTTTCACACGGCTGTAGTCTGCCAGTAGTGGGTAACGTTGCTGATTGCTTTTTACCACATTTGCTGGTAAGTTTTACAATTTGGACAAAGACGCCCGCGCACATGGCCTAAGCTTTTTAGCATAATGTCATGAGATCTTCAGCATCCGCTGTGACGCAGATGGCGCTTAGTGCCTGCGTTTAAGTAGTGCGCAGCAGCGATCACACTTACATTTTTTGCTGTAGCAGAAAAGGCGGAAGCAAAATATTAAAAGGTAAACACATTTTTTTAAATATTAATTTTTTAATGTATACTCTTGTAAAAAAAAAAATGCTGTTTTATAACATATTACTTGGTATGTTGTTCCTTGTGTATTTTTCAAATTAAGTCAATGATGACCGTTGTATTACTGTTAAAAGTTAAGTGACATATTCACCAGACTTGATGATAGTATGCGACTTCTTTATTTAATCTTGATTTGAAGCTTTCGTGACTGCAGGAATCCATACTTTTTGGTTCTTTCGGTAAAGTCACGTAGGTAGAAAATAAAATAAACCTTGACGTTTCGGGCGCAACACAAGCGTCTGTCATAATTTTTATTCTTTATTTAGTGTCTATGACATCTAAATCTGCTTGTGTTGTGTTCTTTACCTATTTTACAGGCGTACATTGGGTGGAAGATCAACCTTGTGAAACAGAAATTTGACAAAATGACGATTCCTACAGACGGTGGTGCTGCTTACGTTGAAAGATCCTGTGGCAGAGGTTGTGTAACCCTTTACTACTGTAGGGATGTGGGAAGCGGTAGTGTAGTGGTTAGTGCGCTGTGCTATGAACCCGGCAACCCGAGTGCGATTTCTGCTCATGGCCAACACCAATGATGACTATCTGAACCGGTCCTGGGGCTCTCCTTAGTCGACAAATGAGAACTTGGTGCAATGTGTAAAAACATTGCAACCAGGAAGATGAAGGCGGCTGGGCATGGTGCTGGCCGCCCACACCCTCGTGTGCTATTCTGGCCTTCGTAGGTGCCCACTAATAGCACTTGGCCCAACAGTGTTGAGGCTATGGAGGATCTTTATCCTTTGTATTCTCGGTTGGATTGACCTCTGCGTTTACCTGCCTGCCCCGTGCATATCTGTTGTCCGCAGGGCCCATATGCAAGTCGGATTTGGACGAGGTGATGGAGATAACTCGCTCCACCTGGTGCCGGGCTTGTTGCGAGCACATGACGGAGACCCCTGCGGTGGTACGGGCTCACTTGACCTCGCCCGAACACATCAGGAATAGAACGGTCAGTTATAAACCACCAAGAGTTTTGGTGATAAATTCAGGGGTCACCTGCGGGGGGGTGGGAAGGGGAAATTCACCCTGGCCCTCACACAAAAGAGGTCCCTACCACAGGCCCTTTGGATTGTGGAAAAGAGGGGGGCGCCCACGTGGTGACATTCTCTCACAGCCCTTTGGGAACCTCTGGGCGGCCTTGTATGAAGTCACATCCACGCCTGAATCATTTGGTCGCACTACTGGGTTGCATGCAACTGTTTTGTGTGCACGTCTCTATTGTAAGTTGTGAGCAGTTGCACAACCGGTTGCTCAGCAAGCGTGGATTTAATCACCAAATGTTTTGTTTACAACGAATTTTGTCACGTTCAGCACGTTTGCTCGCTCCGATTTGTTGTTAAAAATCCTCGTGTGGGTGGTGGAGCTAACGCAAAGAGGGGTGGTGGCGAGATGTTAACTCCCTCCCCTGGTATGCAGGATGTCGTGGGTTCAATCCCAATCCTGACGCCTGCTGTATGTTTGGAGTTTGGCCGTCTCTCTCCCCGTGGTCGCGTGGATTTTTCTCTGCATCCTTTGGTTTTTCCCCTCCACATTTAGTATCAATATGCGTTTAGAGTATTTGGCTGCTATACATTTCCACATGACAAGCCACTTAATTGGATAAGCCACAAATGAAGTGGCTTATCATGTGAGTCTTACCTCAGTGAGCCTTACCTAGTAAAATAAACAGTTGAGTTGAATAGTATTTCCGTGAGCTGGTTTTGATTTTCTTTGTGGTATTTTTTATTTCTTACAGGAGTACAGGAATAAACGAGAGTTTTACGTGCTGGAAGTTGTAAACAACATCCTGAAAGAGTCACACTATTCCGCTTTGCTTGACAAGTTTAAAATGGTAAGTTTACTTTGTTAAGCGCTTTAAATGTATCTTCATGCTGGTATAACAAGTAGGCTTTCACGACCAATATCCATTGTGTTAGATCATGTAAATATAAATGTGTCATTAAACCAGCCACCACCCGACAAAACCAACTAGTAAGGTTTGTCACGTAAACAGAACATGCCCATTCGTCACCAGTACAGCACACCGTTGTGTTAGAGAGCAAATCCACAACATTTACAATCTGAGAACGACGTTTCGCCAGTAATTACAACGAGCATCATCAGGCGGGGACAGCCACATTTGTGGATAAATCCTCCTGTTTCGTTCCTTAAATAGAGATATAGAGATAGATGTCTTCACGCTGTTGGTGCAGAACTTGAGTTGCACTCGTCATTTGAGTTGTTGTTCACCATTAGTATATGGACAGCAGATTATTGTGTCCCCTGCAATAAATGCTGCTTTGCAGGCATAATAAAATCCCAAATTAAAATTTTCAGATTCTCTTAAAATCTTGACCTAAAGCTTTCGTGACTGCAGGAATTCATACTCTTTGGGTCTTTTGGTAAAGTCACGTAGATAGGGAAAATAAATAAATAAAACATTACATTTTTATTGTAACACAGGCAGTCGTCTTCAGGTTAAAAAATACAGCAGGCGAACTCCTGAGGCAGGAGAAATATAGTGAGAGAGCTACTGCATCAAGAGGTTTTATAGGTTTGAGATGGGTACAACTCAAGGGTAGAGATGGAATTTACAAGTAATATACCTCGTCGTCTTGGTTCTTTCGGTAAAGTCACGTAGAAGGGAAATAATCAAATAATAAAAATAAACCATAATACAATAAAATTCTCACTACGTTTCGGCCACAACACAAGTAGCCTTCCTCAGGTGAAGGAACAGAACTGTCGGAAAGACAGTTCTGTTTCTTCACCTGAAGAAGGCTACTTTCTGACAGTTCTGTTTCATCACCTGAGGAAGGCTACTTGTGTTGTGGCCGAAACGTCGTGATAATTTTATTTTATTATGTTTTATTTTTATTATTTTATTATTTCCCTTCTACGTGACTTTACCAAAAGAACCAAGAAGATGAATCCCTGCAGTCACGAAAGCTTTAAATCGACATATAATATACCTCGGTCATTGTATTGCTAGAGATTAGCATGTCAATCTGTTAATGTAACCCTACGACTACGGTGCTGAAGAAGCCATTGTATGGCTAGAGATTAGCATGCCAATGTGTTAATGCAACCCCATGGCTACAGTGCTGAAGAAGCCATTGTATTGGTAGAGATTAGAGATTAGCATTTCAATGTGAGATAGCTCCCGCAGCAGCGGCTGTGTTAATGAGAAACATTCAGTCGATTAAACAACGAGAGCCACCGCCACATTGAGGAAAAGGGAAGCAGCGGAAATAACCGCTGACAATGGCAGGTAGGATGGAAACATCAACCACCAGTTAAGGCTTTACCTGGTTAATAACGTCCTTCCAATATATTCTTGGTTCTTTCGGTAAAGTCACGCAGTCTTTACCGAAAGAACCAAGAATATGAATCCCTGCAGTCACGAAAGCTTTAAATCGAAATTTGTCCTTCCAATGATTGATCAATTTGTACCCATCTTCTCGGGTGAAGTTTTGTCTGTGTTTATATATCTGGATGGCTTCATGAACAAATCTTTAATGGATGCCCGAAGGTTTGCAGAGTACCTTGGTCTCGGAAAAAACAATATCGTGCGAGTCGACAGCGTTATAACAATGGTCAGCCACAGCAGAGGTATTGGTTCTGCCGTGTTTCAAATCTGCCTTGTGTTCGCGAACACGGTCCAAGACATGTCGTTTCTTTTTCCCAATGTAACTGCTACCGCAGACACAACTTAGTTTTGTAGACACCAGGGTATTGCATGTCAGGAATCACATCTTTCACAGATGGGATCAGGTCACGGATTTTGTGTACTGTGTTGAATCGAACCTGGATCTTGTGTTTGTTCAAGATTCTGGAAATCTTTTTGGTAACTCCTGTTATGTATGGCAAGGTGATGGTTTTGATTGGGTCTTACCCATGTTATATCTTTTTTCTCTGCATCTTTTTTTTTCTCTCAGAATCCAGACGCGGGTCAAGAAGTCTTCAAAACGTTCCATGCGGAGTCAAAGGGACAAGGTCCAAAAGACAAAGCAAGACCGGAAGGCACGGAGGAGGCGTTGGGGAACAGTGATTCTGCAGCGGAGGAATCGGTCGAAGCGACGGACGACGACAAAGTGGTTCCTCAAAAAGTTGACCATAACGATCCAGCTAAATCCTGCAGCGTTGACGACGCAACCGAAGAAGGCGCCGTTGATTTAACGGAGAAGGGAAAGGGCCAGGGAGCAGGTGGTACTAGCGTTGAGAATTTTGAGAGTGAAGCAAAAGGGGTGAAGAAATACGTGGAAGTAAGTGATTCAGAGTCCACGATTGATTTTGAACATGGGGTCGTTGTACACCATGATGAAAACGAGACGGCCAGTGATCCACAGAGTGATCGAGAGGAATGTGAGGAGCTGGATAATTATGATGATGATGATTGTGATTATGAAGCTGGGGAAGTTGTGCAGATCGATGATGACGTAGAGTAGAGAGTAAATACGCTTCATCTCTTGGTGCGTTTATCCTAAATATCTAGTGCTAACAGAAATGGAACAATTTGGAATCAATCTTGATTTGAAGCTTTCGTGACTGCAGGAATCCATACTCTTTGGTTCTTTCGGTAAAGTCACGTAGGTAGAAGAATAATAAAATAAAACAAGCAAAAGTATATCACACCGTATCGATCGCAATACAAGCGGTCGTCCTCAGGCGAAAAAAATAATCCAGCAGTGGAACTTCATAGCTTATTGCATTGCTCCAGTTTTTTTTTATACATTTTGATCATGTTTGGATTATAAACCCCAAAACCACGAATCCCTGAATTCTAACTACATTTTTTCTTGAGCCGAGTTACTTTTCAGCCCCAAAATGTTATACTCTCCAGCGACGTTTTATCACGTGAGAAATAACAATTCCCAATGTAAAATAAGTAACAAAACATCAAATGTAATACTTAACATACGTGGAGAACCGCAGTGCTTACAAGGTGCTTCTCAGCGTCTCCAATGGATTAGTGCCCCCCACGCACCGTTCCTACACCCGTGACAGTGCCGGCACCACACAGCACAGCTGGTAAACAAACAACTGCAGGCCGCGGTGCGCCCCCTGCCGCCACAGAACACATCTGATCGCTCTTTACTCATTACGCGAACATTCGCTCGTTTTGGCGAATTCTCGTAGAAAGAAGCAAGACGTGCCGTAGTGATATTTAAGCAAGCTTCAACATCATAGCACAAATTATCAGTAATTGTATTATTCCCTTACACCTCTGCGCATTGTTAATGTCGTTGCATACCATTATTACAGCGCGTGATTCGTCATGTTGCCTCCGCTGTATGTCTGTTTATGCCCTTTGCCACATGGTTGTTTTTTTTTGCATTATTAACTTTGCTCGTTCAACTTTAGTTTTCCAATAAGGCGATTTACCTGTTGTTATCCATGAAGGGCTTGGGCTGAAAAAAAAGATCATGATTGTAGCCTGAAATTTCGATTTAAAGCTTTCGTGACTGCAGGGATTAATCTTCTTGGTTCTTTCGGTAAAGTCACGTAGAATGGAAATAAAATAATAAAAATAAAACATAATAAAATAAAAGTCTCACGCCGTGAGAATTTTTCGAACCAAGAAGATGTAGCCTGAAAATTAATACAAAATAATAATTCCGAATTTTTAATGGCGTCCTTCATGCAGAACAGCATCTCCAGGTTTTTATATATTGCCGTTATACCCTCTTAAAGTAGGTCCGGTAGTTTCAAAATGTAAGCTTTGGGATAAGGCTTGGAATAAAAGCTGTGTTTTTAATGAATTCTATAATCTTGGAAAACAATTAAATCAATACAAATTTTAAAAACTATTTTGAACGTGTAAGTTTTCATGATTTGTGAAATGAGGCTTCTATGGTATAGACAATGTTTTTTAGATTAACAATGTAACATGGGTACGTATTTGTAAAATACCCAGTGGGAATGTTTTTCAACACCGTTATACACATATCCTTTTTGTGGTTTACCTGCAGTTATTTTCATTTCAGTGTTAGATGCGCAGTACTGTTATTCGGTTATTCTACATGTGCGGTAAGTATGTTCGCGAACAATTATCTGGTTTATTGTGGTCACCTCGGATCGAGACAATGGGTGCGCTCGGTCAGCTCCTACCTGGTTAAATAAGGGAAAACTTATTTTTGTATTTTCCCCAAATGAAGATTACAATAATTGGTCAGGTTTTTATATATGGCTGTTGTTTCCACCACCTTTCTTGATGCTCATACCACTTGTCAATCCATCCACGTTTTTTTCACAGACCAGCATGCACTAAAAAATTATCTGGTGTGTTGTGAATTAAAAAAAAATCGGCATATCCGCAAGAGTTCCGCAGACCACTTCCCATGGCCTGGTGGACCACCAGTGGCCTGTAGACCGTAGGTTGGCAACCACTGATGTAGTGTATACCAAAAAGCCTTTCGCTATAGTCTTAGTCTAAAGTTAGAACTGGGTCTTCATTATTTTTGCCAATTTCCCCCTTACACCATGATTTTGCTATCAGTGTCGCGTACTGAACAAAAGTATCCGTTCATATCTCTCGCAGAACGGTCACTTCTTTGCTTTGGAGAACGGCCAACAAGAAGCGGATATCACAGAACTATGTTTGAGATCCCTTCCAGTGGTGACCTCTGCTCCGGATTGTAGAGGGCAGCAGACCTGGTTCCTGAGAACTCCCAAAATGTAAAACTTTTTTTTATTCATGTGTAAAGCACAAAGTCGGTCACTTGATGAGCGTGCAATGCCATTGAGTACTCGAGGGTTTTTGTTAAGACGCCTAGGATCCAAATGCCATTCAGTCGGTAGTTGGATCCTAGGGAACGCCGAGCCACAGTTTGAAAGTGCCGCTCTCTGGCTTTGTACATTATTGGATCGGCGGTGAGACGTTCACGACTTCGCCCGGTATACAGGAGGTCGTGGGTTCAATCCCGACACTGACGCCTGCTGTATATTTGCCATTTTCTCTAGGTTCTTCGGGTTTTCCCTCCATCTTTCGAAACACGCGTTTAGAGTATTAGACTGCTGCTTTAAATTTCCACGCGATTGAGCCACTTCGTTGAGCAATCATTTTTGATAGCCCGGTCCCTTCTGAAAAAGAGATTTTCAGCTCAGTGGGCCTTACCTGGTCAAATTTAAAATATTTCATAGAGTAACGGGAAAACCCTTGAGCAACCAAAAATGTATTCCTAAACAAACTGATTGGTATTAAAATTAATTTATTGCAAATTGCATTATGGGTATCCCATTTTTCAATGAGGTCAGCAGATGTCTGATTCTGATATGATACCGTGCGGTACAATACACGATGAGCCACTTTCTTGAGCTTTCATTTGTGGCCGCTTCTGAAAAATAAGCAGCTCATTGGGCTTTACCTGGTAAGAATAAACGGTTTAGTTGTATTTGTTTATGTTTAAGTTATTTGTTTACCTTCCTATAATTTGCACTCCGTGTTTGTATTGTTTGTTGCAACGTTCTGACTCCGTTGCCCCCCTTACTGGACATGTGTGAAAAAAGAGCTTCTTAGCTCATCGGATTCTTCCTCCTGCTGCTGCTGCAGTCCAAATCCAAGATTCTCATTGTGACATCACGGCTGTTGACAAACCCCACTATCTTTTGATTTAAAGCTTTCGTGACTGCAGTAATTCATATTCTTAGTTTTTTCGGTAAAGTCACGTTGAAGAGAAACAACAAAATAACAAAATATATATAAAACAATAATGATGACCGTTTGAGTTATGGTCGAAACGTCGTGAGAATTTTTTATTGTTTTATATATATTTTGTTATTTTGTTGTTTCTCTTCAACGTGACTTTACCGAAAAAACTAAGAATATGAACCCCACTATCGTTCAATTAATGACGTCACGCGCAGGGGGGGGGCATGCGTGACATCATCTGCCAGCGGGGTCTGCGTGACGTACCCTTCAGTGGCGGGTGAGCGTGACGTCATCCGCAAGAGGGTTGTGCGGATGTTTTACGCAGAGAGTGAGTACGTGACGTCATCCGCATTGAGTGGAGGGGGCATTGATTGGGTGTGCGTGACGTTACCCGCACGTTTTCTTTCGATCGCTTCGCTTCGACGTCACTTCCCGTCCACCACCGCGCGCGACCTCGCTGGCTCGCTCAGGCCTGGACACGACAAAATGGAGTTCCCTCGCCGCGGTGAGATAGCTCACTGCCCTCACACTCTGCACCTGCCGTTGTTTCGTTGCGTCTCTGTTCAAATCCTGTGCTGTTGGTGAAATACCGTCGTTTCTGTTGGTGTTGGTACAGCAAATGCACTGGGGTCGTGGTTAGGGAAGGCCCTCCCCATCAGCCAAAGGGATTCCCCACCCCACTCCCTCCCAGTCCTTCACTCTGCTTGATGAAGCTTACTCTTAAACACTCGCGACGGGTTTGCTCTCCTCCTTTGCGAGCTCGGGTGGCCGCTCCTACAACAACAACAGCAGCGGCAGCAGCAATATCTTCGTGAGGCGATGGACGTGAGGCGAGACAGTCGTAGCTGCGACTCGTGGCTGGCCATGTGACCCGAAGTGGACGTCTTGACTGAGACATCTGTGGTGGGGGGTGTTGGTGGGGGGGGGGTAGAGACAGAGCGCTTGATAGCTCATCGGATTCCACCGGCAGTACAAATAAAGATTGTGAAACTGTGACGCGTAAAGCCAGCCCGAAGACGTAGAGACCCGTTTATACGGAGAGACTGATAGAGATACACAGAGACAGAGAGATGCACAGAGACCCATCGAGATGCATGGTGATGCATTTTAGACGAGCCACAGTAAAGAGATTTTGGCCATGTCACCCAAACTATGGACCCTATAATTAACCCGTAGAGACTTATGGCGATACAAAAAAAACCCACAGAGATAAGTTAAAGGAGTAAGATTGTGGACAAGTCAGAATGAGATTGTAAATACATGCTTCTGCAGCTAAACCCCATGTTGTAATGTGTTTAGAGAAGCCACGTATATGGATACGATTATTCCTTGCTCTTTGTCATCCAGGTCACAGGTGGCCCGGCCGAAATGACGAGAGATTTGGAGAGGATATTCTAAACCCATCTGACCCAAGAATGTTGAGAGGTACAACTGCAATGTCTGAAGTTGGACATTGCAGTCTGGTTGAACGCATCCTGTTAGCAACACCGTCAAATCAATGCGGTGGTGTGGAGTTCATAAGTTTAAGCTGATGCTGATATACTTTTTTTATTTTGTATTCTTCGGAATGCCACAATCTGTGTATTGTGATTTTATACATATTTCCTTAACAAGTGTTTGGGAAAAAAAAGTAAATGATGACGTCACCCTGCTCTATTTAAGACCGAGAGCAAGTGAGTGCTTTACCATTCTGGCGAATTGCCCGATGATGCTGGATGTAATTACCAGCGAAACGTCGTATTCAAACTGTAAATGTTGTGGATTCACTCTTCAACACACCTGTGGGCTAAAGTAGTGAACTAATTGTCTTTTGTCAACGTGACACTTTTTTTGCTGATTGGCCATGTCGGGTGGTGGAGGGTTACGACACATTTATAAATAACGCGATCTAACCCAAAAACCTTTATTATGAATAATATTGGTCGCGAAAGCCTACGTGTTAAACTGAAAAAAAAGTATTTGCTCAGCATGTGCTTAGGATTGATTTGGAGACTAATAAAGGATTCGTATGCTAACTATACATGCATATAATTGTGCGTATTCCTCTCGAGCAGTGGTTCTCAGCGTGGTCCCTGGACCACCGGCAGTCCGTGACGCTTCTGGTGATCTACCAAGCTGAGATTCTTGAGTTTGTTTAATTTATGTAGTTTGAAATATGTATTTTTTTGTAAACATTTAATGTGCTTATTCCACTGTTGTATTCTGCAGGAGACATGGGGCCACAGAAGGGAGGTAAAACGTACACTAAGGCTGTGAAGCTGCTCGAAACGATGCTGGAGATGGTGCAGTCTGAGTGTTCAAACAAACCGCCTGGTATGACCCATTCCTCCCCACGGTTCAATCATCTCGAGGGACTGAGCAGTGCTAATTGACCGTATTATGGGTTGGTATACATTACGTTGTTCACATTATAAAGTATTAAGCTCTTTAAAAATATAGCCTTTGTCCACACTTTGGATATAACAGTATGAGAATAGCAGTATCGTTCACGCATTGTTGTGAAATCCAATAATGTTTTTTTTAAGACGGCCTCTGGTAATTTGTTCCTCTACGTATGGAATTTATGAAATACTGAAAGTTTAAAGACAACGATAACACTTCTAAAAGCCTCAACTACTTTCTCAAACCTTTCATTTCACACCAGTAGCATTTCACATGGGGTGTACGCTTCCAAACCTCACACTCGAAGACACCAGGGGCCTGAACATATGACTTGAGAAACCATAGCAATTTCCTAAGCTCTATCTCCATATATATAAAAGGCAAAGTTGTGATTATGTGTGTCTGTTCAAAATGTTTAGTGTACTTCCCGACATGCAACAAACTGCAAATTTGCCATGTGGGTACTTTCCAGACTGTACACCATGCAAAAATGATAAAAATACACTTTTTTTGGGGGGGGGGGGGAGGGGGAGAGCTCAATGCATATATTTTTTGCATGGCAAGTGAGCTGTGACGTCAAATTTGTCATGTGACCCTCGCATGTGGAAGCGTAACGCATTGTAGTGTAGTGGTTAGCGCGCTACGCTACGAACCCGGCGACCCGAGTTCGATTCCCGCTCACGGCCACCACCGGTGACGATTATTTCAACCGCTCCTGGGCCTCCCCTAGGTCGAGTAACTGGTGTGGTGTGTGAACATCGCCACTGGGGAGACAAAGGCGGCCGGGCGTGGTGAATCCAAGTCGCGGGCGAAGCCGGGTTGTAAAGCTAGTTAATAATAAGACTTGCCATAGCTGCGAATACATATGTAAGTGAAGATATTGGGCATACTAAAGTGAGTGGAGATGTTTGTGGTAATAGGAATCTTTTTTTAAATAGGAGGAATCGGAGGCACTAAGTTATTTTTCACAGATGTCTAGTAGTCACAGATGTCCAGTAATAAGGACCACTCGCCAATTATAACCAATATTAACAAAGCATGATGACAGCATTAATTTTAATAGCAATAAAATCATTTATAACATTGATGAAATCTAGAATTAATAACAAACATACTCAGCCACAGACCAGTGAAGGAAATTGATTGATTGATGTCAAACTGGCCATGTTGCATGGGATTTGTCTCCCTGGAAGCTGATTGGCTGGTGTCGTGGGAGTGGTGATGTAATCCCAAACGACAGCTACTATGTGAGCGAGAGCTGCGATCTCACTGAGAGATCCCATATTTACTTTCAATTATGATGCGTACACCTCTTCAGGGATTCAGGATAATACTACAGTCGCAGCCTGCCAGATTTATGATACATATTGAGAGCAGGCCCCGGTCTATTATACCAAACGACATGACGCTGGCTATACCCATCTGTGAGACAGCATCTTTAATGTTATTCTTTGCGCTGTAAGAACAGCTCCAAAACCAAATGTACACGTTTATTTAATTGTTTACTCCGATCTTAATTATTTTTGTTCCGTTACTCACATTTCCTCGGTATTTTTTTTTCTGCCTGAGATTTTTGTCTCTGTAGAGGAGACGCATCATTATGAGTATATCACAAACGTATTATACGTTATGTTTGTTGTATTGCACGGCACTTTTGTCGAATATATATTTTTTCACGAGGTCATTCATCGGCTAATGTCGTCCCCTGTTTGCAGGTGGAGGTGGACGTGAAAGGTCACCTCACAGAGGGTAAGCGATGACATAATCAAGGCTAAGGTCAGAGGTTGCAGACGAGATGAATTATGGTGTTGAGGAATGTGGGTCGTCTGGAGAGACCTTCATCCAGCAACAGATAGAAACTGGTTGATAAAGATGATATTCATGAAGAAAAAATGCTCCAAGTGCATTGGCTTTGTACTGTTTGCCTTTTGGTGTTCTCTGGTCTGACACTGGTAAGGCTAGACCCTAAATAAAGGATGTTTTATTTTTTACCTACGTGACTTTACCGAATAGAACCAAAGAGTATGTCTGGTGTAGGCCAATCAGTTTCAAAGACAATGCATATATTATCAAAGAATGCTTGCATGTTCACAAGTACGTGTGGTGAATGCAGACTTGATTCCTTGCAAAAGGTTTCTATTTGGTGTTTGAACATCTTAACACCTGTTTTATTGCCAGATAGGGTAAAACCTATTCTTATTTTTTTCATTCTTTGATACTGCTAAAAGGTCCCATTTTGAAGATGATATATACATGATATATATAGCATATGTAAGTCCAGATACAAACTTTTATCGGCACAGATAAAAAAAAGTTTAAATGTAAAATGTTGGTTTTTGTATCATATCGGTACAGGTTTGTGAAGATGGATCCAAGGAGCAGATAAGTATTGCTACTGGTTCATAGCGCAGTGTGCTAACCACTGTCACCGCTCCATCCCGATTCAGCCAATTAAGGTATACGTAAGGGCTGTCTTCCCAGCTGAAGAAAATTTCCTTCCTACGCAATTGCAACATAAGCTGAATATTATCGTGATTATATACTTCATGGAAAAGAACACGAGGAAAGAAAAATAAATCAAGTGTACGTAGGCGGGAAGACCCAACAACTCCATGCATAAATGGCAGTGGTGCAAGAGCGACCAAGACTGATGCCAGCAAGTCTGATGGTGGTTGATAGTCACCAGGGCTGGTGTCGGTGGTTGCAGGTGGTCACTGAGCTGGTAGGAGATGTAACTATCCCCTACACTCGTGGAAAATCAACGATTGCCCATGGTGCGAATGTGGTCGCCAATTGCTAACCATGGACCACATAGGGCACTGTCCGCTTTGGACACTCGCTGGCAGCGATTCGGATATTCGCCAGGAGGTTACTGCTGAAGTCATCTACTGGCCGACTGCTCCCTCGCTAACCTCGACATGAGCATTGAAACCCCGCCGGTCAACTTATCGCCGTATCAACAAAGACTGGACTGGCGTTGGTAGTCACAGGGCTGGTAATTGTCGTCGTGGGTGGTCACGGGGCTGATGTTGGTGGTAACGGGTGGGCCGGGCTTTGTGTAAAGCCCATGCAATGGTGGCGGTGGTCCTTGCGGTTATATAGACTGGTGGCCCAGTTTGCAGAAGTCCCCGATGACAACAGTGAAGATTATTATGAAGTGAATATTCTTCTCTTGTGGCACCAACAACAATAACCGCCATGCTCCATTAAGTGGCGGTGACATCACCACTGCGCTTGTGCAATGGTGGCGGTGGTCCTTGCGGTTATATAGACTGGTGGCCCAGTTTGCAGAAGTCCCCGATGACAACAGTGAAGATTATTATGAAGTGAATATTCTTCTCTTGTGGCACCAACAACAATAACCGCCATGCTCCATTAAGTGGCGGTGACATCACCACTGCGCTTGTGCCAGGCTATGTGCATGTTAAGGCCATATGAAGTGTTGAACGCTCGCTGGCAGGAGGTCACGGGATAGACCCAGGTGCGATGGATCGACTGCCCCTTACTGTGCCAGCTTTCTGTGTTTTAGCCACCCGGTGCTCTGCTCGTTGTTGTGACCGTCGCTCCCCTACCCTTCATTGTTTCTGGATTGCAACTGCTTCCAACTGTCCAGTAGCCTCCTCCGCACAGACCTCCTCGAGCCTCCTCCACACAGGCCGATCTTGATACCACTGGTACCAGTCATCGGCAAGTCCACCCTGCTCCACATCCTCCTGTACCACATCACTCCATCTCTTCTGTAGCCCATGCCATGCCCGTTTAGCCCCCTCTATCCAGCCAAACAAAAGCTGTTTAGGCATGTGGTGGCTGTCCATGCGGGTTACTTTGACCCAGCCAACGCAGCCTTGGCTGCTGGAGGAGCTCACTGATGGGACTTTGTCCAGATCTTTCAAGAATTTGCGAGCTCGCACAATCCAGCCTGGTTAAACCCAGGACAAATCGTAGGCAGGCCTGCCTAAATGTTCCTAACTGGCGAAGATGTTTCATTAGTGTGGGCCACGTTTTGCAAGGATAGAGAAGGTAGGGCATGACCGTGGCCGAGAACACCCGAAGCTTCATGCAGAGCGACAGATCAGGTAGCTTCCACACAGTGTTACGCAGCGTTGCAGCACCACCTCCGCTATCACAGCTACCGAGGTGGCCTTACCATCCAACGTCTCTCTTGCACCAGCGTCCGCCCTGCGCGCTTTTCCACCGGTCCACGTGCCGCCACCTCTCCACCGGTCCACGCGCCGTGGTGGAAGCAGCGCGGGGTATGCTGCTTCGTTTGCTCCAGACAGCTGTTGAGCAGGGCTCAGGTTACGGTGCTGAAGATCAAATTCGGCAGGTGGATCATGGGGGTGGGAGGGGGGCCTCCATGAGGAATTGGTTCCTCCTTGACATCCTGGTGGTGTGGCACGTGAGTCCACGGTGGGTGCCGTTAATGACAGGCGGCCAGCAGGAAAACTGAAGATATTTGACGGGCGGTGGAAGACTTGCGTTGGCGTGAATCTTCAGTAGTTTTCTAGTCGCAGCCTCCCGACATTTTTGTGGAGGGGCGAATGTGTAATTTTAAAAAGTGTCAAGTAGTACCGTTATTTTTTTGCCTTTCCAAAAAAAAAATTTTGGTTATGAAATTCTGCTACTTTGTTTAAAAACTGTTCATTGTAAAGGATCAAACAAACTCTTTAATGTTTTTTTTTCACACATTTTATATGATGCATGTGTCGTGAGCATTAGATTCCAGTTGAATGGATTAATCAATAATTTTTGTGATATTGAATTATTAGTTTTCTTTGCCATCATGTAGCTCAGTCACAGGACTTGATGGGCATTTTGTAAAAACAGACTTTTATCATACAATATTAGAATTGGCTGCTATCATACAGCATTGCCAGCTTTAGCAGTTGTTTACAACTGAGGCCCTGTAATGGTTGTTTATTTTTTGACACTTTGAAATGTAAATTTTGATTTTCAGACACAACTCAAGTGAGTCGTTTGACTCCAGGCCAAGATTCAATGAACCCAACCCATTCATTCAGCAGGGCACAAGAATGAGTAGTTGTAACCGTGACAACTTCAGAAAGCCTCAAGAGCATCCTCATATCCAAGGCAACAGTTATGATGACAAGTATAATGTTCCTGCCTGGGCAGAATATCCAGACCACCAAGAAATCGGAAGACCAAGTAGAGCGAAAAATATTGGAAGGCCTTCCAATGATCAGAGCCATGGGAGGGATAGCATTGCTGATGTGCAAGATTTTCAAAGATACGCCAACAAGCAAGGTTTAAAACATCGGGACACTGAACTACTTTTTGTGAATTCTGATCGCGATCCAAATTTAAAAGATTCGGAAAACAGTATGCCATTTGAAGGTCGAAGCAGACATGGATATGTGGGATTCAACACAAATCCAAGTTCTCACGGTCCAGACTCGAGGCCAGGATTACCAGAGCCAGTTGATAAGAGAGGCTTTAGAGGTCCAGATGACAGGTCTCGTTTTGGAGGTCCACAGGGTATGTTAGGTTTTGAAGGGCCAAAAAGGTCAGGCAGTCAAGGTCCAGGTAACAGATCAGGTTTTAGAGGTACAGATGACAGGTCACAACATAGAGGATCACACAGCATGTCACGTGTTCATGGTCCTGAAATTAGATCAGGGTTTATAAGTCCTGCCTGCACATCAGGCTTTGGGGGTTTGGATGACAGATCAGGCTTTCAAGGACCATATGAAACCTCTGGCTTTGGCAGTATGGATGTCAAGTCAAGCTTTCAAAGTCAAAATGACAATCCTGTTCGTCCAGGTGTTTTGACTGGATTTGCAGGGTCACAAAAAGGATTGCTGTTTCAAGGCCCTGACAATAGACACAGCCATGAAGGCTCAACTGGCAGACAAGACATCAAAGGTTTAAATGACAGGCCAGGAATTCCAGGCCTTGGGTGCATACCAAGCTTTGGAGGTTCAGACAATAGGGAAGGATTTGGTGGTCCAGACCTAAAGCAAGGGTTTGTAGATGTCGGTGATAGGTCAGGCCTTAGAGATTCCAACAACAGGCAGCGTTTTGAAGGTGCAAACAGCCAGTTGGCCTTTGGAGCTCCAGATACTCAGTCTGACTTTAGAGTTTCGGATAACAAGCTGGGATTTGGAGGTCAAAATAACAGACCAGGCTATGGTAGTGCAGACGCATCAGGTTTTGGAGGTCCGAAAAGCACTCAAGGCTTTGGAGGTCTGGACAGTAGGCCATACCCTGGAGGTTCAGATGACCGGCCAGGTTTTGGAGGTCACGATGACCGGCCAGGTTTTGGAGGTCACGATGACCGGCCAGGTTTTGGAGATTCAAATAACCGGCCAGGATTTGGAGATCCAAATAACCGGCCAGGATTTGGAGATCCAAATGACCGGCCAGGATTTGGAGGTACAAATAACCCACCAGGTATTGAAGTTACAAATGACCGGCCATGTTTTGTAGGTCCAAATGACCGGCCAAGTTTTGGAGGTCCAAATGACCGACCGGGTTTTGGAGGTCATAATGACCGACCAGGTTTTAGAGGTCTAAATGACCGACCAGATTGTGAAGATACATCTGACCGTCCAGGATTTGGAGGTACAAATGACCGACCAGGTTTTAAAGCTCCAGATGACCTGCCAGGTCTTGAAGTTACAAATGACTGGCCAGGTTTTGGAGGTCATGATGACCGGCCAGGTTTTGGAGGGCCTAATGATCGACCAAGTTTTGGAGGTCATGATGACCAATCAGGTTTCGAAGGTGCATATGACCGGCCAGGTTTTGGAGGTCATGATGCCCGGACAGGTTTTGAAGGGCCTAATAATCCACCAAGTTTTGGAGGTCATGATGACGGACCTGGTTTCGGAGGTCCAAATGACCGACCAGGTTTTGTAGGTCTAAATGACCGACCCGGTTTTGGAGGTCTAAATGACCGACCAGGTTTTGGAGGTCTAAATGACCGACCAGGTTTTGAAGGTCTAAATGACCGACCAGATTTTGAAGGTACAAATGACCGACCAGATTTTGAAGGTACACATGACCGGTCAGGTTTTAGAGGTGCGAATAACCAACCAAGATTTGGAGAACCAAATGATCGGCCAGGTTTTAGAGGTCCAAATGATCGACCATATTTTGAAAGTATAAATGACCAACCAGGTTTTAGAGGTTCAAATGACCGACCAGGATTTGGAGAACCAAATTACCAGCCAGGTTTTGGAGATCCAAATGACCGGCACGGTTTTGGAGGTCCAAATGACCGGCATGGTTTTGGAGGTCCAACTGACCAGCAAGATTTTGGAGGTCCAACTGACCAGCAAGACTTTGGAGGTCCCAATAACAGGTCTTGGGTTCGAAGACCAAATGTAGAGCCAGGATTTGGAAGTCGAAATGTACAGCCTTTGCTTGAAGGCCTCCATGACTGTCCTGGGTTTGGAGGTCCGGTTGTACAACCAGGTGTTGGAGGTTCCAACGAGCAGTTACGATTTGAAGATCCATACGTACAGCCAGGGTTCGGAGGTCCAAAGAACCGGCAACATTTTAAACCTCCAGGGTTTGGACAACGTGGCATCAGAGGCTCTGGTCCAAGCGGTATGCAGCATTTTGGAGGTCGAGGAGATGGGCCAGGGTTTAGAGGTCCATACAATAAAAATGCTGGGTTTGTTAAGATTCAAAAGAAGCGCAGTCGCTCACATAAACTTATCAGCAAAACATGGACTCGTGGGAAAAGACTGGGTCCTCCTGTCGTTGAAAAAAAACACCTGGATTCTGTGAATACCAAGAGCAGCACCCCTTTAGCACCTTCAAGGGATCCAAAATCCCATCACAAGCCATCCACGCCAAGTGACACTGCAGTAAGTATGAAATTATTTTCGTTACGTCTCCTATTTTGCTCACGATGCTAATTTGAGCAAAAGGGTAAATGATCCGTAACTCTGTATTTTGTACAAGATCACATTCGGTTTATACCATGTGTGCTGCAGAGTGGCACGGTGGTAACATTTTTGCCCTAGGGCAAAAGGTCCTGAGTTCGATTCCTGTCCCATGTACTCTTTCCGTGTGAAGCGTGCATGTTCTCCCCACCCCCGCCCTACACTGCATGTATTTTTTCTGGCTTCACAGTGTCCTGCCATATCTAAATGTGCCTTAACAGTGTCATTGGTGTGGCCAAAAACATTCCAAGGCAAGACCTTGCTGAAAAAGTTCTAATTACTCCATGTTGCTTTGTTCCGTAGATTAGTAATGATTATATTTCCACATGACAATCTGATGTATTGCAGTGATTGTACCACTTTTAGCACATTGCCTACACACTGCCAATATACTGGATAATATTTCCCTGGGTAATTTAGGTCTTGGGCAAATTAATGTTACTGAAAATATTTCGGACTCGCTGTGAAACACATTTTTGTCGTAGATTAAAATAAAGTGCATTTGGTGTTTTTGCCACTTTGTATGGCTGAATTTTATTGTTGGGTCCTATTTGTGCCTTTGCAAATAAAATGTAGTTATTTTTTTTGTTTTTATGAAAACAAGTTACTGCCATTTGTCAATCCAATGCTATATAAAGGCCTCCCCACACCACGTCAGTCATGGGGGTTTTCTTTGACCATACTTCACCACGCTGGTCAGTACAGGACAGTGAAGGAGCACCGAGGACCACTCGCCACTGATGTTAGCCGTGGCCAAAAATGGAACTCGGGGGGGTAGCTGGGTTCACAACGTATTGTGCTAAACAATGCACCACCACTCGGCGCCTGTATAAAGTAGATAAAATATAACTGTTTAAGCGTCAAGGAATAAAGCTCCACTTAAAAGTTAGTTTCCAAATGAACAGTAGGGATAGGATACTGGAATGTGCGAATCATTTTCAGAAAAGACAAGTATAATGTGTAATTTTAGGGATAAGTTTCAGACTTAAACATTTCACACTCTCGTATTTTTTTTTACCATTTACCCGTGGCACACCAGAGGAAGGGAGTAGAATGAAGCAAATACGGTGGCTGGATGTGAACTACCTCGCCTTGTATAAAGGAGGTGGTGGGTTCAATCCAGACCCTGACGCCTGTTGCATATTTCTATAAATCATTGAAAAAAATTGCAATCAGTATGGTACATTTTCAGAGGTGTTCTATGTTTATGTCCTTACAATTTAATTAAAATTAGGGCGAAAATTTCATTGACAACATTCAGGGTAAACGTTGTTACAATGACGGTACGTTTGTTTTACATTATGTCACATTGCAAAAGACCCAACAGAAAAATTACGAACTATTAATATTTTGTAAACTTACATTCAACCTCATCGATTATTACGAGCATCTACTCATAGCGTTTGTTTTGCGGAGAAATCAAGAATCATTGTCCTATTAATATATAATTAGACCCCACCATAGGAATGAGGAATTTCCGCCAGTGGCTCTGCAGGGCTGTCAATTAAGAAATTTGCCGGTAGAATTGGTAAAATTAAAATGTTTTTCGTCCTGCTATTTTTGAGAAGCAGAGGTCAATACAGAAACCAAGAAGGAATAAAAGTCGTGCATAAATGCACGAATACTGTAACACTGATCTCATGAGTGAATGCGTGTACTGCCTGCTATGGCGTCAGAAACGTGGAGAAACAACGTAGAAAATTGGGAGTGCGCAAAACGTGGGGGAGGGTGTGTGCTTAGAAGCACATCGAGAGACGGAAAGAGGAACGGGTGGACACGTGCGTTGTTGATGATACCGTCAATATTGCATTGCGTGCGTTGTGGTTTCTCAACGTTTAAGGTTGGCGCCGAGGCAAAGAAAGCAGCGACAAAACCTGTGCAGGACGCAAGTTCCCGCCCGCAAAAACTCCCCGACGCTGGGAAAGGTAACCCCACGCTTGTAAACATGTGGCCACGCGTTCGTAATCTATCGTCGTGCGGATGTGACGGCGATCATGTTGCCGTACGGGCGGCGGTGGCTCCGCATGTGACCTGTAATCTAGCAACTGGAGGTAGTGAGGGTTGGTGGGTTACTTTAAAACAATAGCTTTATTTTAACAAGTAATCCCCACTGAGCTATGTAGCTCTCTTTCAGAAGCCACTTGTGCTATCACAAACGATAGCTCAATGAATTGTCTCGTTCAAATTTATAGCAACCAATTACTCCAAATCACATCTTCTTAAATTTGGAGGGAAAATCCACAGGTAGAATATGCAAACTCCAAATATACAAGCGCCAGGCTCGGAATCGAACTCACGACCTGTACACTAAGCGAAAAAGATAAAATCTCAACATTGCGGCGCCCCAGATGTCGACTCCCTGTACAATGATGTACAGGGAGACACTTTGATATATTTTATTCAATAAAATAATTGAATAATGACAACATTAACAACGCGCCAGATTTTTCAGACACGTCAACTCGAAGGTGCAGAGCCAAGCTCAGGGCTGCTCGAAAGCCCGACCCAAACAGAGAGGGATGTGCAAAGGGATAGGGTTCGCATTGGTTAGCCGTGCGAGCTGTGCAGCATGAAGGCCTGATATTTGTTAATGTTTGCAATGTAATATCTTAACAGGCATTGACAGACCACCGATGAGTGTTGTGTCACCGTGGGCTCGGTGCTGACACGTTTTATATGTATCGCTTGCAGACAAGAAAACTAAAGCCAAGCCCGCTCAATGTCGGTGAGTGCGAGTTCAGACTGTTGAAAATGAATGACTGCAAACGAGAGATTTTGTAAGACGATTCATTTGCTCTCGGCGACAGTTCATGAGCAAGCTCGTAGGCTCACAATCCGGTACAGCGTTGGCCAAGCTACCAAGCTACCAAGCAAGGGATCCATTCTCGTGGTCTCAACGGGCCCTGAAATCCACCAGAAAGCTGTGACCAACGATTACCCGCATGGACTTAACTGCATACTATGTAGACATAAAGTACTTGTGTAAACTACTTGTGCCCATTTATTGGAACAAGTTATTATAATCGTGTGCTCATGGTGGTGTTCTGATTTGTCCTGGGATCCACAACAAAATGTGGGTACAGTAAAACCTTGGATTGCAAGCATAATTCGTTCCGGAAACGTGTTTGTAATCCAAAGCACTCGTATATCAGTTGTGATCACGTGACGCTCGGCAGTACAAAGCGTGTGTACGTACTACGCGCATTGCAAGACCTCGCTCGTTTATCAAATCAATATTTATTTTAAAAAATTTGGTCATGTTGCAAAACACTCGCAGACCAAGTTACTCGCAATCCAAGGTTTTACTGTACTCGAATGGTCGTGTGCAAAAAAGAGTTGTCAAATTGCCCCCGATCAACCAACTGCGATGGCTGTGACGTGGGCTTGCAGTGGCGCGTTCACCGCTTATTCACGTGGCCTCGTAGCATTTTGATATCGCAGCACAAGGTAAATTTCCAGGAATTTTACATGGGGTAATGGGAGCGGACGTCTGCATGCCACGACTGTGTCTTGACAGGTACAACTACGCCTGCTGTTTGTGCAAAGTCACGGCTCAAGCGTGCGCCGAGATGGATTCCCACATGGCGAGCAAAAAGCACAAGCAGCTGATGAAGCAACTCGTGGCACTCTGTCCCGACGGAGAAACCCTCTCCAGTTTCCTTCAAGTAATTTGCACTACATTTTCTTTTAGATGTAAATTATTTTATTTAGCAATAGTCTTTTGATTAATTATTGAAGGTGGCAGGATGTTGGGGTGCCCCGGTGGTGAGATGGTATACAGGCAGGCGTAGATTCGATCCTGGTATACAGGCAGGCGTAGATAGTATACAGGCAGGCGTAGATTCGATCCCAACCCTGACGCCTTTATGCAGTGAGGGAAAAAAGTATTTGATCCCCTGCTGATTTTGTACGATTGCCCACTGACAAAGAAATGATCAGTCTATAATTTTAATGGTAGGTTTATTTGAAGTGAGAGACAGAATAACAACAAAATCCAGAAAAATGCATGTCAAAAATGTTATAAATTGATTGGCATTTTAATGAGGGAAATAAGTATTTGACCCCTCTGCAAAACATGACTTAGTACTTGGTGGCAAAACCCTTGTTGGCAATCACAGAGGTCAGACGTTTCTTGTAGTTGGCCACCAGGTTTGCACACATCTCAGGAGGGATTTTGGCCCACTCCTCTTTGCAGATCTTCTCCAAGTCATTAAGGTTTCGAGGCTGACGTTTGGCAACTCGAATCTACAGCTCCCTCCACAGATTTTCTATGGGATTAAGGTCTGGAGACTGGCTAGGCCACTCCAGGACCTTAATGTGCTTCTTCTTGAGCCACTCCTTTGTTGCCTTGGCCGTGTGTTTTGGGTCATTGTCATGCTGGAATACCCATCCACGATACATTTTCAATGCCCTGGCTGAGGGAAGGAGGTTCTCACCCAAGATTTGACGGTACATGGCCCCGTCCATCGTCCCTTTGATGTGGTGAAGTTGTCCTGTCCCCTTAGCAGGAAAACACCCCCAAAGCATAATGTTTCCACCTCCATGTTTGACGGTGGGGATGGTGTTCTTGGGGTCATAGGCAACATTCCTTCTCCTCCTCCAAACACGGCGAGTTGAGTTGATGCCAAAGAGCTCCATTTTTGTCTCATCTGACCACAACACTTTCACCCAGTTGTCCTCTGAATCATTCAGATGTTCATTGGCAAACTTCAGACGGGCATGTATATGTGCTTTCTTGAGCAGGAGGACCTTGCGGGCGCTGCAGGATTTCAGTCCTTCACGGCGTAGTGTGTTACCAATTGTTTTCTTGGTGACTATGGTCCCAGCTGCCTTGAGATCATTGACAAGATCATCCCGTGTAGTTCTGGGCTGATTCCTCACCGTTCTCATGATCATTGCAACTCCACGAGGTGAGATTGCATGGAGCCCCAGGCCGAGGGAGATTGACAGTTCTTTTGTGTTTCTTCTATTTGCGAATAATCGCACCAACTGTTGTCACCTTCTCACCAAGCTGCTTGGCAATGGTCTTGTAGCCCATTCCAGCCTTGTGTAGGTCTACAATCTTGTCCCTGACATCCTTGGAGGACTCTTTGGTCTTGGCCATGGTGGAGAGTTTGGTATCTGATTGATTGCTTCTGTGGACAGGTGTCTTTTATACAGGTAACAACCTGAGATTAGGAGCACTCCCTTTAAGAGTGTGCTCCTAATCTCAGCTCGTTACCTGTATAAAAGACACCTGGTAGCCAGAAATCGTTCTGATTGAGAGGGGGTCAAATACTTATTTTCCTCATTAAAATGCAAATCAATTTATAACATTTTTGACATGCGTTTTTCTGGATTTTGTTGTTGTTATTCTGTCTCTCATTGTTCAAATAAACCTACCATTAAAATTATAGACTGATAATTTCTTTGTCAGTGGGCAAACGTACAAAATCATCAGGGGATCAAATACTTTTTTCCCTCACTGTATTTGGAGTTTGCATGTCTCTCTCTCCCCGTGATTGCGTGGATTTTTCTCCGGGGCCTCCGGTTTCGTCCCCTCCATATTTAGGATCAACGTCACCCGTTGAGAGTATTTGGCTGCTAAAACATTTGCACACGACGATCAGCCACTTCGTTGAGCTATCATTTGTGATGGCCAGGTCGCTTCTGAAAAGAGCTACATAGCTCATTGGGCCTTGCCTGGTAAAGTAAAAAATGTCACGAAAGATGAGCAGCAATGCCTCATTGCTCATCTGAGCACGATCTCCCTTGTACTTATTTTGAGTGTCTTTTGAAGGCTGCCCATTCCTCCCTTCTGTCAGGCGTACATGGACTGGAGGAACGCCAGAGTGGCGAAGCTCGGCGGCGACGTCACCCGCCCCTTGGAGGGGCACCCGACTGCCTCGTCAAGCGACTCGAACAAAAGTTGGTGACTCCCGTACGCACGTTGACATGTCGCCTGCTTAGTCTGCGTGTCGGGCGTGTATCCTGTGTTGTCGCGTTTACCGCCTCTTACATATTTACAGAGCCGCTTTCGCTCGGCGCTCTACACGGTTAAACGATTTTGAGTGATTTAGATGGCAAGGGGCGTGCAAGGGCCGAGGAATGAGTGACCGTAAAAACGGAGGTCTCGCAGGGCTGCAGGGGAGGGACGGGAAGCAGTGGAGGGATGAGGGGAGGGAAGAGAATGGGCAATTGAGAAGAGGCGAGGCTTTAAGAGAGAAACGGAATGAGGAGGCCTGCTCAATGTACAGCCGTGCATGCCATGTTGCGCTTGCAGTTCCGTCCCATGTTGGCACCGTGTGTTTGAATGTAGCGTGTCTGCTATTGTCGCCCTACATTATGATCCCGGAAAAAGGCTTGGAAGTCCGGTGTGCAATCCATTACACCGCTGCGGCAGCATCGCCTTTTATTCCTCAACATCAGCATTTTATTCGCGCGAGTCTTTAGGCCCAGGTGTTTTGCGCGCGCATTTTGCCGCTGTCTGTTGCCTGCCTCGTTGTTCATCCCCCACGCGTTTGTGCGCGTGCGTGCGTCCGTGCCCACCTTTGCGTGCGCGTGTCAAGATGCTGAAGCAGCGCTGGACGAAGCGCTGGAGGCGACGCGCGTTGTGTGGTGCCACGCGTGCCGTGTGCACGTGCCCTACGTCTCCAAGTGTCTGAAGGAGCACATGTACTCGGAGTTGCACATCACTAACAGGAAGGTCAGTCTGCCCCCCCCCCCCCACCCCCCCCCGTTGGTTTTTAATACGAGTCGTTTGAGTACGCTTTGGTCACTGTTCTCAGCGGTAGAGCGAGCGGCTCGCAACTCGCGACCCGTGGGTTGCGAGTCCAAATCTTGGTTGGGGTGGCAGGGGAGTGAGTGAGGATGACCGAGCCATCATCTGTCTGGGGTTGGTTAAACGGGGTACCGCTTTGTGGGGAAGGCAACGGTGGTTGTCCTTTGGAGACATTTACCCCTGCCATAGGAATGTGGAATTTCACAACCACTGGCTCGGTGCTTAAATAGGAGGCGAGCGTTACCTCAGCGTCTCTTATTAGCGACATAGTTTGATGATGCTACATCGGGGCAGTGGTGCAGAAGCACAATCGACAAAGACCCTTCAGCGTTCGTCAAAATGCACCGCCTTCAAACGAAACAACAGAGGCGACGTTTCGGTTCCTTGCACATAAATTGAGCGGAGGTAATGACTCTCTCCTGTTGCCACCGCTGAGCTCCACGGGAAACCCCGCTGCCGGCGCTCGCATTACCCGTTCAAACGTGCGCTGAAAAATCACCTCGTTTTTTCATGCGTGTCCCCTTCTCTTCAGGTGACCATGAAGGAGAGAACGACCAACGTGGTGGACATATTGAAGAGCTTAATGCAGCTGCCAAAAAGCCTCGCTTTGTTGGAGTCCTTTAAAAAGGTTTGCAGTTCCACTCTTCGTGGTCTGTGCCGGTGTGTGTTTGGAGAAACAGTCAATGCCACCACCTTCAGCCTCCAGAATTTTTTTTTTTCCCCCCCCGTGTTAAATTGCTGGATTTTATATTTTTTCCGCCTGAGGACGACCGCTTGTGTTGCGATCGAAACGTCGTGATTTATTTTATTTTCTACCCACGTGACTTTACCGAAAGTACCCAAGAGTATGGATTCCTGCAGTCACGAAAGCTTCAAATCAAGATTGTTTTGATGAACACAGGTGTAGAAACAGAGGACTGCTTTCTTGGTATTACGTGTCATCGCACGGTCTGGTTCAATATTCGATCTCATAAAAGTTGAGTGGATTAACAATTTTTTTCTGCTGCCACGTAGGGCCCACTGAGCTGCATAGTTTTTTCTTTCTGAAGCGCGCACCTGGCCACGAATGATGGCTCAACTAGAGGTGGCTTATCAAGTGGATATTTACAGCGGCCAAACACTCTAAACACGTGATGTCGATTCTAAAAGTGGAGGGGAAAAACTGGCGGACTCGGAGAAATACCACGCGGAGAGAGACACGCAAACTCCAAATATACAGCAGGCGTCAGGGTCGAGAGAGAACCCACAACCTCCTGTATACCAGGCGAGGTAGCCTTGTAATGACGGTTCACCACTACAAAGTACGACGAGTTTTTACATCACTCATTTGGACGATGAAAACGGGTTCGTGTACGGATTTAATCCCTACCACATCAGCCACACAGTAGAACTTTGTTAATCACATCATTTAGGTGTAGCGCAACGTTTTTATGAACGTTCCACGCGTTGTGAACAATCACTGTCATTCGCACACATTACATTGACGGGTCTTATTTTTGTTTTCTCCTCATCTCTTTCCTTTCAGGGTAAAGATCCGTTCACAAACGTAACCGCCTTCATCGAGGAGTGGGAATTCAATCCTGAGGACAACGTAAAAGAGAAATCCGCCGAAGCGAGTGCCAAGGTTGTGACGTGTGAAGAGGGCACTTCCGGGCAAAATCAAGTGCCCGTTATGGAGCTTCTGAAGAAGCGTAGCCAGCCCGATACCGCTCGCTCGTCTGCTTTTGAAAGGGCCAAGGAGGGCGTCCCAGCTCCGGTGAACATGGAAAAGCAGATTAAGCTGGTGGGTAAGGAGATTGACTTGGCTAAGAAGAAAAGACCACACGTTCCTGCCAAACCTCCCAACGTTAAGAAGGAGAGAATCGACGCCCCTGCTAAAACTTCCAACGTTCAGGAGAGAATCGACGTCCCTGCTAAACCTCCCAACGTTAAGAAGGAGAGAATCGACGCCCCTGCTAAAACTTCCAACGTTCAGGAGAGAATCGACGTTCCTGCTAAACCTCCCAACGTTAAGAAGGAGAGACTCAACGACGCTCCCACTAAAACTTCCTCCATTGCATCGGCAGGTGCGAGTGTCACAACGGCACAGAAGGAAATGGCGAATGCTCACTGGGCCGATGTTGACGACCGTGCGGATGGAGGCATGGGGAAAGGAGGAGGGTTCGAGGGAGATATCGAAGGGGGCTTGGAAGAGGAGGGCATAGTTGTGCTCAACATGGATGAGGACTTCAAGCTGGATGATTTTGACGATGAGGATTATGAAGCTGGTGAAATTGTGCACATTATGGCCGGGGAATAGACCCGAAGAGCAAACGTGGCAGCATCTGTGGCCTGGTTGCGACTACGTTAAGTGCGAGACCCTGCCGATTTGCTAAATGTCTTGTTTGTCAAACATAAAACAGGCATTGTTGTGATTCAACAGGCATGGACGTGGCACAATATTAATTCTTTAAATGAAAAATCCTACAGGGGGCTAGCAGTTCAGTGCCGGCTCACACCTTCTAACGCGAAGCAAAGGTGTTTAGCCCCCAGTTCGCGCACTGTAGATTTTGACACTGTTTTTTTACGCTGTCGTTAATACATTTATTTTTACGTCTTAAAAGTCATTGCGAGACACGTGTGATCAGCACGTATCCGCCATCTAAATCATTCTATCCTGCACATGAGATTTCAACGTACGTTAATAACTTATGGATTTGCCCTTAAGCCCAAATTAATAATCTCCAGTTCAAAATCCACGTTATTGCCTCTACAGTACAGTAGTTGCATATTTTTACAACAGTGGTGTTCATAGGCGTGGCTCTGCTGTCTGCTTAGTGGGCTGATTCTTCTGCACGGGAGCGGGAAAGTGCCATCACTGACCACGCGCATTCGATTCTTTACAACAAATTTTTGTTTTGTTCATTAACAAACTCAACTTTTTTTTAACTTAAACATAATTAATACCTATATTCGTGGCTGTTGGCATAGAGAGCTGCGGAGAATAAATTATCCGCAGCCATCCTCCCCGTCGTTAGTGCGGACAATCCGAGAGTCTTCTGTATATTAGAAAAAAAAGTTTTGCTGGCTGGTGCGCGGGCAGTGACGTCACTGCACGATGCCATCACAGCGTTGATCCGGTTTCATTCGTCGCGCTGATGTCATGCAGCCCCTCTTCCCCCCCCCGCCATCCATCACGGCCGTGTATCCCACTCAAATGCGTGGGTCAGTGCTGGTGTGATGTAGAAAGTGTCGTCTGAAAACCAAAATGTTGACCTCAAGTTGATTTGATTACCTAGATCATAATTGGTGAGGGTTTTAGGTTACATATGTAATGGGGTTATACGGTAGGAGTTTTATTATTTCCCCTTACTATCTGGACACTGTTACAAAAGTAAAATGAAAATAAATTTTTTTACAGCTTAAACCGTTCACAGCATGAACACATTTTTGAAATGTATACGGTCATGCTATTCCCAAGACCGGATGATTTTATCATTTCCTGAACCTGCATGCGATACAAAATCCAGATTGTGTCGACCAGTTCCCGGAACACATTCCTGCAGAGGGAGCTGGTAGGAACGTTGGGTTGCTCGGTCAATGGCCAGGGTCAACGGCACCACGTGGTGTATTCCGCAAATATGCCCGACTGTGAGGACGGGCACAAGCTGGCGTGAGTAGATTAAACGTTGAGTTTTATAAGGGCACCACGGGGTGACCAGCCCCTCCCCACCCAGCCCCACCCCTTCCAGCCCCCACCCAGCCCCACCCTCCCCACCCTCTCCCCACCCTCTCCACCCAGCCCCTTCCCACCCTCCCCTCCCCACCCACCCTCCCCTCCCTACCCTCTCCACCCAGCCCCACCCCTCCCATTTTTGGATGCACGACGGACGGACAACAATCCCCTGTGGGCTGGTGTAACCAGGAGGTTCCTACCAGTATAATATGTATTTATACTTGAGGACTCTGATGAGCTATAAAGGTTTATTTAATAGATGTCCAGTCCGGGCATGGGGTAAGAACGTTACAACAAACAATACAACAATACGATAGGAGTGCAAAGTACAAAAAAGGTTAAAAAAATCACTCAAACACAGAGAAATAAATCATCATCCCATCTGGATTGCGCAGAAATAATCGCCCCCAAGTGTGAAACTACTACGGAGTATGAAGACTGACTATTTTTGTGATAAACTTGCGCTATATGAATGGTGTCAACAGCAACTGTGCTAAATAGTTATTTACCCGCTTTGTAAACATTGTTAATGCACGTTTGACTTGTGGTTGTATAATTTGTATACTTTAAAATCAAATAATCACGGCTGACATTCCGCTTGTCTGTGCAAGGGCCCTGTTTAATCATGCGTCAAAATCAATGTTTTGGTGTCTTGCACAAGAACAAACTTGCAGAGATGTTGGCGCGGCACAGAGACCTGCTTGTGTACAGGCTGATGCACTCCCAACTCCCAGTGGGAGTTAGAAGTGGGCATATTGGTCAAGAGCGGGGAGACGTTTTGTTGTCTCTTATAAAACTGACGGAAGAGCAACTGTTTGGGTATATTTATACCTTGTTGTTTTCCAGCACTGTTTTTATTTTATTACACATCACGACTTTTAATTCCACGACCGATCAATACAATCCCTGGCACGGCGAGTTATCACTCGGCATGTGCTTCAACAAATGAGCTAAAACAAATCACCCAAACCCACCGCCCCCCTCAATTTCCGTCTCAGGCGAGCACCAAATTTTGCCGGTTGCGGAAAATTCTGATACCTGTCCTTCGGGCCCCCCAAAGCCGTTGTTGCCTCCGGACACTCGGAGAGGTGATAGCTTCACGTGCTCGAGATCTTCAGAGCGGTTACAGCTTTACGTTCAGAAAGCCGACCCATCGAGAAAGTTCAAGCAACTCCCCCGTCCAGCAACCAGGCAGCCCCACGGCCGCATGGGGTAATTGTACCAAGTTGATGCCGCTCTGTTATTTTATATTGCTCATTGAATGTCTGGTCAAACGTTACGACAAATACAAACTTGCGTGGGAAAGCTAAGCGCGTCCTTGATGATGGCACAGCTAAATCGCCATAAGCGAACTTTAAACAACCCACACCCACCCAAGCCGACTCACCCTTATTCATCCCCCACTCGCCTATATCCATCCCCTACTCACCAATATGCGGCCCCTTCTCAACCATACCAATCCCCTACTCGCCAATATGCATTCCCTACTAATCCACACCCAACCAGCCACCCCTTACCCTACCCACTGCTCAACAACATCAACAGTCAATGTTCGTCACTCAGGCTCGGGGCACTTTGAGGCCACGTGGAGTGTCGAAGGCTGCCTGGCAGAAGTGTTCGCGACAAGGGTTGACGTCACGCACCTAGGGGGGGCGGGGCGTCAGACATTTGTGACGATGTGTGACGAGGGGGGGGGGAGGTTTGAGGAATGTGACGTCACATCAAAATGCGCAACTTTAAATAAATATAGACAACACGTTCTACTTAAAGACGTTTTAATGTTTTCTACAACATCAGAGTGCAGCGCCACATTAAAGACACGACAATGACAATAGTTTAAAACGATTTGAAGCATGGGTTTTTTTTCAAAATGGAAATATGTTTTTTTTTGGGGGGGGGGCAGAGCTTTGTGACGTCATATTTGAGGGGGGGTCTGACTATGTGACGCCGTGTGACGAAGGATCGCGTGACGTCATTTATGGACGGCCCCCGACGGTTTTGACTGGCAGATGCGATTTAGCCGCACGCGGCGCTCCGCTGTTTATTCAGCGTCGCTCCTCTGAGCCCTCCGTGGTTGTTGTCGTGAATGCGACTACCCGGCCTGCCCACTCGGCAAGCCAGCCACAGGCGAGCCAGCCACCCGCCCCTTGTGCCCCTCCCTCGCCCCGCACTCACCACCCCACGCGGCCCGGCTCTCGCGGGTCACGGTTGCGAGGGACGCGGCGAGGAGGAGGAGGAGGGAGAGGGGAGGGAGGAGGAGGAGGGAGGGGGAAGGGAGGAGGATTAGGGAGGGCGAGAGGTGAACCCGGCAAGCGCATTGCCTCCGCAGAGTTACTCAGAGCCAGCAGCAGGTGAGTATCACCCCGTCTACCCGTGTACGCTCACCGTCTGCCCGTGCGGGGAAATGTGCAAGGATTGCAGCTGATGTCTAGTTATGACTCGAGGAAACACGCCAATGTTGACAACGTTGGACACTGTTGGACCAACGTTCCGCGTTGACTGGCGGTCTGTGTTGGCACCCTCCGCTGTGCGTTCTGCTGGCTGGCAGGCTCTATCAACGCGAGGGGTCGTCTTCGTCAGCCACTCAGCCAGCCACCCACCCAGCCAGCCAGCCACCTAGCCAGCCACCCAGCCACCCAGCCAGCCAGCCACCCAGCCAGCCAGCCACCCAGCCACCCAGCCAGCCAGCCACCCAGCCAGCCACCCAGCTACCCAGCCACCCACCCAGCCAGCCACCCAGCCACCCAGCCAGCCAGCCACCCACCCAGCCACCCAGCCACCCAGCCAGCCAGCCACCCAGCCAGCCAGCCACCCACTCAACCAGCCACCCAGCCACCCAGCCAGCCACCCACCCAGCCACCACCCAGCCAGCGACCCACCCAGCCAGCCAGCCACCTAGCCACCCAGCCAGCCAGCCAGCCACCCAGCCAGCCACCTACCCAGCCACCCACCCAGCCACCCAGCCAGCCACCCAACCAGCCACCACCCAGCCACCTACCCAGCCACCTACTCAGCCACCCACCCAGCCACCCAGCCACCTACCCAGCCACCTACCCAGCCACCCACCCAGCCACCCAGTCAGCCAGCCACTCACCTAGCCAGCCACCCACCCAGCCACCCAGCCAGCCACCTACCCAGCCACCCACTCAGCCAGCCAGCCAGCCACCTAGCCACCCACCCAGCCACCCAGACAGCTACCCACCCAGGCACCCACTCATCCAGTCAGCCAGCCAGCCACCTAGCCACCCACCCAGCCACCCAGCTAGCCAGCCAGCCACCCACCTAGCCAGCCAGCCACTCAGCCACCCACCCAGCCAGCCACCTACCCAGCCACCTAGCCAGCCACCTAGCCACCCACCCACTCACCCACGCCTCCATCCTCTTCGTGTCGTTCCCGTCGGACGGATTCGCCCTCCCAAGCTCCTCTGCCACATGCGGGGCGCCGGCGAGGAGGATGCCGAGAAGGCCGAGGCGGAGGAGGAGGAGTGGTGGGGCGACGGTGACGGCACCCCGCCGACAGCGCCGCCGCTGCTGGGGGTCGCGGTGGAGCGCCTGGCGCTAGCGATGCAGGGCGCGGGGCGCGACGCCGCTCGCGAGCGGCTCCTCGCGAGGAGCCCCGGGCGCCACGCGTGGCTCCACGCGATCATCGGCGCAGTCGCGTCAGCCGACACGAGGTGAGCGCGGTGGTGGTGGTGGTGATGGTGGTGGTGATGGTGGTGGTGATGGTGGTGGTGATGATGGTGGTGATGGTGGTGATGGTGGTGATGGTGGTGGTGATGGTGGTGATGGTGGTGATGGTGGTGGTGGTGGTGATGGTGGTGATGATGGTGGTGATGATGGTGGTGGTGGTGATGGTGGTGGTGGTGATGGTGGTGGTGGTGGTGATGGTGGTGGTGATGGTGGTGGTGATGGTGGTGATGGTGGTGGTGGTGGTGGTGATGGTGGTGATGGTGGTGGTGATGGTGGTGGTGATGGTGGTGGTGATGGTGGTGATGGTGGTGATGGTGATGGTGGTGATGGTGGTGATGGTGGTGGTGGTGATGGTGGTGGTGATGGTGATGGTGGTGATGGTGGTGGTGATGGTGGTGGTGATGGTGATGGTGGTGGTGATGATGGTGGTGGTGATGGTGGTGATGATGGTGGTGGTGGTGATGGTGGTGATGATGGTGGTGGTGATGGTGATGGTGGTGGTGATGGTGATGGTGGTGATGATGGTGGTGGTGATGGTGGTGATGGTGATGGTGGTGATGGTGGTGATGATGGTGGTGTTGATGGTGGTGGTGATGGTGATGATGGTGGTGGTGATGGTGGTGGTGATGGTGGTGGTGATGGTGGTGGTGATGGTGGTGGTGTGTAAACGTCGCCACTGGGGAGACAAAGGCGGCCGGGTGTGGTGTTGGCCACCCACCCCCTCGTGTGCCGTGCCGGCTTTCATTGGTGCTCGCTAACAGCACTTGCCCCAACAGTCTGTTCAGGCTATACGGGGGATCTTTGCATTTGGTGATACTGATGATAATGATTCTATTTATTATTGTACATGATGGCAGCAGAAGCAGGAATGTGGACGTATTGGCGGTAACACCGGTCCAGCATAGCACACCGCTCCTTTATAAAACAGCCTAGAATCAAAACGTGAATCGGCAAATCTGTGCATCGGTCTTGAAGTGATCCTGTGGCCAAGCTTGAAGCGA